GGGCTGGTGCGAGTAATTTCAGTAGATGGATGATGTCTGAATATCCTGTTGGGATGGGAAGAACATTGTTGCTTTTCTGATTTTTTTTTATTCATAAACCACTCTGTAAGCACAGCTCTCGCTCAGCAGTGTCTTCTGTTTGAACTGATAACTCCATATATACAACTGACCTTTGCCTAGTATGTTGGTGGGGTACGGAGGGAGTGGCGGAATCACAATGATTGATCAAGGAGGGAAAATAGAAAATTTAAAATAATTTTCCGCTCGTTCCTATTCTTGCGGAACATCGTCCTACTAAATCACCATCAGGGAGCCCACTTCTGCAAAGATGATAACTTGCACTAAAAATGCAGCCATGTCAACAATCTTAATAAGACATACGCCTAATTTTGTCACCTGCATATTTCGCCATCTCAGGCCCTTCAAGAGGATGAATAGGATTACTTTCCAACTGGAACGGCTTGATATTGCCGGATGCTTGCTGGATCTGAATCTCGGTCTGTTGTTGCGAGCTGCGAGGTATTCTACCCCAGCAGAAAGGCATTTGCTGTTCAGCGGTCTGGCTTTCAGGAGCTGGAGATTCCCGGCCCGCTAATTGAGAACACAGTTTATTCTCCATTTTCCTCTTCTTAGATTGGTATGATGGTTTCTTGATTGCGTGATGGCTTTGTGGAAAGGACAGGGAAACAAGGAACAATAGGTTCTCGTTGTCACCCTTTGGTGTTTTGTGGCCCTTACTGCAGTTAGGTAACTGATTTATGGTTCTGAAATGGAAGAAGTTAGTGTATATTGATTTTGTAGGACTAGGATTTCGGAGTTCCCTGAGAGTGGAAATGGATTATAGGTAAGATAAAGCTTACATTGTAAGGGATATATAGAGCAGCTTAGGAGCAACTGTGAGATCAAAGCAACTCTTACCTTGCAATCATAGTTACTCATAAGTATCTTTCCTTCTGATATATACGGTTGGCAGACCCCACATCTGCTGTGTAATCACCAATCCATGGACATTTCGATCATCATGACGTCTACATTTAATTGTTTAGGGGGTCTCGCTGTTGTGGCTAGACCGTCGGACTATTTGGACCCAAGGAATGGGGTGTAACCAGTCCATTTTTCAACCCAAACCGCGGTTTTCCCGCAAGAAAGTTTATCATCTAATCAGCCCATCCAGCATGTTTGACAGCGAGCATGCGTCACCTGACCATGGAAAGGGCCCTTTTGAGGTTGAGATACGGAGACTGCTGTCAGGATTTTGGCACTGAGGGATAGTTGAATAAAACATTGATTGGATTTAGCCACTTGTATCCCACATGGCACCCACACATGGCTCCGAGACGGATCGGGTTTTCAATAAGGAGACGAAATTGAAACAATGTCACGATGGCAACTTCTCTTCATATAGCACTGTATATCTATAAAGGTTAATGTTGATACGATACGTGCATCCTGGCAAAGGTAATGTGCCTTATGTCAGCTCTCGAATATGCAACCTTCTGACCAGCCAAAAAGAAACGTAAGCGCTGGGCGGATGTGGGTTCAGTGGGATAACGATTTAAAGTAGGATCACTTAATGCTATTTTTCTGTATCATACCAGCTTCATAACCTGACGTCCCAATTAATCTGGAGCAATAAAGGTCCTATCACCTTAGTTGATTAAGGTTTAACAAGTAAGTTGCTAAGTATAGCCTGTCTTATTTGGCAAGAACACCAAAACCATTGAGCCAAAAATATTGAAGAAAAAATTGGTCTATAAGCGAACTTGCGCAGCGAGGATAGCATAAAGGGGCTCATCTATTTATACAGTTAGTTGGATACCATGGTCTTGGTGGTTACGTTGATGCCAGTATCAAGGATGAGGTCTAGGAATCTGGGGGAAGCCGTACTCCTCACAGAGTCCATGTCCAGTGGGAATAGCTCCTGGTGAAGATAAAGTCACCAGGTGAGCCCTATAATAGTGATGAGGACGACGCCGCGCGTTTGAGGCCTTGAGCTTTGTGATCAGTGCTTGAGTTCGACGCCACCGTACACACTGATCTTAAAGGTTGGTGCATTCATCTCGCCGCGGTTGTGTAGGCGACGTTCTTGACAGTAGAGGCCGAGTTCTCCCTCTGCTACTCCACCAGTCTGTGCTTGTTCGCCTGAAAGGACGCCTTTGTTCTGGTAAAAGCTATAATTATATGGTTAGATAAGTGTCTGCGGCGAGCTGCTCATAGCCGACTGAGTATTGACTTGCAGCACCATGCATGCGTTGCCGCCGCGCGCGTCAAAGTTGAGAAGAATCAGTCTCGGCTATCTGCCTTGCTAAATATCCTGGCCTCCAAAAAAGGCCTCAATGGCCAGGGCCTTGGAGCGATGGAAATCTGGGGCGGAGAGTATAGGATATGCCTGCTTGTGGCGGGTCGATGTCCTTCTGAAAAGTCGTGATATACTTGAACCATTCTGCCGTAGGAGCAGCCCAGGCTCTCCGATGTTGCCAAAGTCTGCGCTGACACCTCCCACCATGGATGAAATCACACTGAAACGGCTGGCAGTTGCCCGTATTTGGCAACAAGCCAGATCTGTGCTGAGACAAATTCACAACTAGGCATAGCTCCGGACGTTGGCAGTGCCTGCAATGGCCATGCTGATTTCCTTTGACAGTAGACTCATATAAGCCAAATGCATCACTGCGGTTGTGGACGCACATACAGAGTCGAACTAGTAGGCCAGACCCTCTCACTTGAAGTGCCAGGGGGGGTTTCAGGGCCAAGCGCATAATGAAGTCCCTGCAAAGTATGCTGTTGGGTGACTAGGGTCATGGTGGTCGTTGGTGAGCGAATCAAAGAGTGCAGCGATGTGGTGGGCCTCGTCATTTTTGTCTGTCTAGACGAGGCACAGAAGAACCAAGAATGAAAATCCCCTGGTTTGATCATAAAACAGCCGTACCTAGTTGTCATGGTAAATCACTTGTCGCGATGGCAGGACATTGAAGCGACATTTGGGGACGTCGTGGTAGACATAATGAGTCCCAAACTTCAGCTTTCCCAAGTTTGATGCAGTTGGTATCGTCAGGATCACTTTAACTAAGGTCTACCGGCTACACACGCTGCTAGACCCACTATCTTGAAGGCAGCGGGAATGATTTTATGGCCAGGTCAAGATCACAAGTGTCATTTTTTTAGATGCAGAGGATGGAGAGCCTCCGTCACCACAGACTGAAAGCATTCCTATCGTGGCATTGAGCTTGCCCACGTCCTAGATAATGTCCAAAGGACAGGAGAAGTCTAGGGAGCATGCAGCTCTAAGCATGTCCCACCAGTTGGCGTAGGCGGCTTTCGGGTCGTCCGTACACCAGAGACAGACAACTAAGCGGTCTACCAAAGAAAGCCAAGCCGTCCTCCAAAATGTAGTAAATTTTCCGTGTGTGAGGGACTGAGGGCGTGCTTCAGAGCCTTCATATCCAATGGGTTTGTTGTATGACCACTCACAGCGGGCATTGATAAATCGTTGTAAAACTGAGGGATTGATTGGGTGCTCACTTGTAGTCCTAGGTGTAGCCACCGAAACTCACTCCTGTGAGTTCGGTCTGGTTGGTACCGGTTTCTGCGGGTTGGTGATGAATGCCACTCTAAGAGAGTATCTCGATAATTCTCATTCTGATCTTTTCAAGCTTGATATTCAGCCCCAAGGTCCATGTGAGGGTAGTGATCCTGGCGGAACTAAGCCGGACATGGATGGCGTAATTCGTATTGGGGATGAGTCAACCCGAGGGCCGAGGTTCTCTGAGACACAAATGTCACGAAAGTTGAATCTCAATCATTCACCAGTCTTTGTGAACGCGAGCTAATTCTGGAAGACGAACACCAAAATGGGCGATATGCAACGAAAATACCCTACCTGGCACGGCTACTTTGAATTCACCACCACTGTGTCCCCTCCCACAGAGAGTATCAACTTCTTCAGTGCTCAGCCATCCGCCCATGCTTATCTCCAGGACACAAGCGCCTACCAACCCATTCCATTCTTCTCTCGGTACGACAAGGGCGATACATCGGACACCTTCTTTAATGAGACTCTACGTACAGCAAGAACCATTCCCCACGCCCTTGCAGTTGCGCGGAAAGAGGCGTTGAATTTGCGTGACAAAGCTGCCGACAAATGGGTGACTGGGGGCGCTGACCAGCCAGATTATCTGCTCTTCGTGCAGCTTGCCTCCGGGCTGAATGGATATAGGGATACTGTGCACGGTGGTGTGCTGGCCTCGCTTCTGGACGAAGCTCTGGGGTGCTGTGTGGAGGGATTCCGTCAACAGCTGAAAGCAGGGGAACGGACGGCTCTATACACTGCCAACTTGAATATATCCTATCGCGCGCCCGTGGCATCCCCAGGTGTATATGTGGTCAAGGCCTGGCTTGCGCGACGGGATGGGCGAAAGTGGTTCCTTGAGGCGCAGGTTGTTGGGGAGGACGGGAGAGTTCGGGCGGACGTGAAGTCGCTGTGGGTTAGTGAGAAACCTCGGGTAGTATTGTGAGCTGTATTGTGCATTCAAGATCTCGATACCTCAGGACCTTTACAGCGACTAAAATATGCATACATTGAAGCGCTCAATAGCAAACGTCACTTTTGCCTTTGAAGAGCATGTGCATCATCTCTGTCGTCAATAGTTATGTCCTATCGCCTCGCTATTAGGTCACTCGATCCCAGAAACAACAACATCCACCAACTGAGTAGATAGCTAGCAAATGAGAACCTCCACATTGCTCCCACAACCTCTTTGTTCTCTGATCAGAATCCAACCGCTCCCCATGAAGTAGCCGTATACTTTCCAGGGCCAAATTCCCACCCTGCCATAACACTAGTCAAGTAATCTTCTGAGCTATACCAGCCATTGGCAATACCATGCTCGAAGAATGGCGTCAAACTACCCGAGAACCAACCTGAGTTACTTGGGTCGACGTATGACATGGTTAAGTCACCGGTGGGCCAACTGTAAAATATGGGTTAGCAGGTTGATTTCAAAATACGCCTGAAGTGAACTTACTGATACAAGTAAACATCCCACGGCTTGCCGCCAATATTCACATTCCGTGCCCAAGGCACTGCACCATTTGAGTCGTAGTGGTCAGAGAGAGGACTGTTAGGAGCCCGGTGACCAACCCAGATCATCACCTCATATTTGCCGTTACGATTAGTGGGAGCGTAGGTTGAGTCGATGAAAATGTCATAGCTAGTTCGTTAATACAAGTGGGTTCCCAAACTGAACACAAATGGACAAAAGTATATAAGGACTTACCAAGCATCGTATCCTTTGCCTTCCGCAGGTTGAGCAGTCTGACTGAACCAGGTTGTATGACCCGGGTTAAGATCCTTGATCTTCTTAGGTAGAGTGTGGACTGGGGACCAAGTGCCCCAGTCTTCGCCAGTAACCATCACAACAAATCCACTACCGCCTGGGGCGTCCACACCCCAAGAATTATCATTACTATACCATGGACTAATGCTGCCAGAAGTGCTGAAGTGCTTAAAGTAATAAGTATCTGAATCAGCACCATTGGCAGCATAACCAAGTCCACTCAAAAGGATGAAAGAGGCAGAAACAAAACAAGCAAGCCACTTCATTCTGAATGCAAGAACGCCGTTCTTTGGATTGATTGCGAGACTTGTATGTCAATTAGTTTAAGATATGGGCTGAATAGTGCGTATTTATGGTCATCAAGCTGCCCAGTGAAGCCAGCCAGTGCTTCCAGGCAGAATGGATTATGGAACCTGGCAGGAAATTCCTCTGACAATAGCCCGCTGGGTTGATCGAAGCCCTCCATATCAGAAATTAAACTGCTACTCAGCGGACGCAGTGCCACTCCGCTGAGGACTTTAACCGCAGATTGTGAAATGATCTACATATGTTGAAGCCCTTTTGATAATCTACGCATTCGTGGAGAGATCATCAGACCTCGTGTTTAATTAAAATATGGCGCCAACCCTAGCTGAAACATTTCCACAGGAATATACAAAGAGACAACGTTTCTGCTTGCCTGGCCAAAGTATACAGCTGCTCCAAAGCCAATAGAAGCATCTGTTTGTTCCGTTCATATGCGCTCAATATATCCTGACAGCTAATTGCACGTAGCTTAGTCCTGGATTTAGACTCCAAGATGCGGTGCTTTTAAGGGGCTTTTCCATGTCTCTCTAATGCGTGAAGGAGCTTGGTGACGACTCTGAATAATCTACTGATCAGTGAAATGCTCTACATATTCATTCTTCCCAACTTTATGCCTTATCTCTGGCGACCAAATACCACTGCTCAAGCTCCCGACAGAGTTGGTTTGTCTGGTTGCTTTACCATGTGGCTCAGTCCTGAAACTTTGCAGCAGGGACACCGAGCGGAACGCTCCGAAAGTTGCCTTCAGATAATTATACACCGTCGCTTCATGACTTGAAGCCATATCAATGGATGCCCCAGACACTTTTCCTGAAACTGTTAAGCACAATATACATCCCCAACTTACAAATATGGCGTAGTTTTCTGCGGATAGTCTCTGAATGCGGAGTTTATCTCTTCCCCAGGATCGCCAACAGATATGCCAAAGCCCCCCTCCGTCATCCCAGGTCTAGAGAACCACAGCGGCCTGAGCACAGGATTGAAGAACAAGACGCATCCCATGAGCCCTGGACCTACTGTCCTAGACATATTCTATGTCAATAACTATAGTTTGATTTGATTATCTTTGATTCAACGTGAATATTTCCAGCTGTGTGAGTTGCTAATGCGATAGGGGCTCTTCCCTTCATTGACTGTTGGAAAATATTCACACTAGTTAAGGGGTCCTCTTAAGATTCAATCTGGTAGCGTTGCAAATCAAGGAAGACTTATTGCAGCAGCATGCATTTCAAATAGAGTTTGTCCGACGGCGAATTATACTTAGTTGCGGCAATGGATGTACCTCCATCTGGATATATATGAGGTTAAATTTATCCGGATTACAACCTCCCACACCGGACCCCGGCGGGGAAATTAAGGAATGATACCCCATTGCAGTTTCCAGCAATCCGTTCTAGTCGAGCTCCATCCGGACCACATATCATTAGACAGCCCCTGCTAAGCTGCTCATCGCCAATCTCGAGTGGCTGGCTTCTATCATAGTCGGCTGACTTTCTTTCCCCTGTGTCTCAGATTTGATATAAGTGCGGGCTAAACATCTGCAGGTTTTGGAATACCACACGCAAAGTGGTTCGTGGTCACGCCATTGGGGTCGCAGCCTTTGCTGCCACGGGAAGTTTCTTGTTTTGTTATGGCTCAAGTGCAATGGCGGATGTGATTGCCTCTGCGAACTTCCTGGAATTCTTCAATACAGCCAAGGCTCCCTCAATTGTTGGTGCTGTCAACAGCACTTGTTCCGGTGGCGCTAGGTTGTTGAATCACCCCTCTTTTCCCCCACGGGAAGCTGTATACTGACCCTTTTCTTTAACCTTGGTTAGCCACCGTGAGAGCTCTCATGGCCGGTTTGACTATAGGCTGGCTGGGTCATAAGAACACTATCCATATCGGCGCTTTCCTCTCACTTGTTGGTGGTGTGTTGCAATGCGCAGCACGGAACTTGGTGTGATCCAACTCGGACGAATTGTTGCTGGCTGGGTTGTGCATGTGATGATGTATCTGCGCTAGTCCACCTGGCTGATTGTGCGCATCCAAAGATGCGTGTCCTGTAAGGGATGTCGCATCACGGATTATTAAGGGGGAAAAAGAAAAAAAAAAAAAAAAAAAATAGACCTTGACGACTTCTGACGCGATCGGGACCCGGATTGTCGGTCTTGCAAGTGATTGGAGTTGGTTTCATTGTCGGCAGGTGAAGTACATCATCCTTCTTGCCTACTTACCTTCCAATCAAAAGGCCCGCGCTCACCTAAGGGACATGCAGATGGATTGGCTACAGTTTCTTGCATATCCCCGAGACAAATATGCTGCAATGGTATTTCCGTTGGCCTCAAGGGCTACCAGCGATCTTCCACTTTTTCGGCTTGTCTTGGGTGCCCGAGTCACCAGCCCACCTTGTCAGAAAGGGAAGATGATATAGCCCTGAAAGTGCTGCGACGCCTCCCCTATAAGAGCTCCAACGGTGAGTGGATCGGCAGCGGATTTATAGAGATCAAAGCTACCATCAGCACAGAGCGGGATATCAGTGCCTCAGGTCCGCTTGTTATATTCACGGTGCTCCAGTGGCGGACGCGACGGCTTGTATGTACCGCAGTGCAGGTGTTTACCCAGAATACCAGGCATCAACATCATCACCTACTGACAGAACATCATGTACGAAACACCGGGAATCGAGGGTAGCCGCGCCTCGCTTGTGGGGGACTTATAATGCCGTTGGTCCTCTGGCGAATCTCCTGTTTATTATCTTTTTATTGATCATGTTGGCAGACACAAGCCACTGCTCTTTGCCGCCGCTGGTATCACCCTTGTTTTCGTTTGTAAGGGTGCCCTAAACTCCCAAGACCTTGACGAGACTAAAGGGGGATACAGAATTGGTGGTGCCTTCTTCCTCTTTTTTATTTCGGACATATTCCCCGTCTCCTTCCATTTACATGCCGGAAATCATGCCGACGCAAATCTGGGGTAAAGGCAATGGTTTTGCCACCGGTGTCGGGAACTGGTTGGTTAGTACATGTCGAGCCAGGTTTCTCCTATCTCGCTACACAAGCTAGGGTGGAAATTCCACTTTATTTACGTTGCATTGAAGGAGTAAGTGAGACTTCACACTGCGATCTGGTTACTGATCTTTACTAGTGCCTGATAGATGTGTGGGTAACCATCCTAACAATTTATCTCTTCTTCAACGAAATCAAGCAACAGCGGCTTGAGCAGATCGATTAGGTCTTCGGGGACAGTTTCCTGGGAATGCTTGATGACGATCTGAAAGCCAAGAGGGTGGAAACGGAGACCTTGCCCGAGGGGCAGCCCAGATTGAGGCTGTTGGTACTGTAGTAATAATCAGTAGGTGTTCTGGAAATCTCCATCCAATAGCCTGGCGTCTTTCCGATTGGAAGTAGGAAGCACACCTAGCACATTTTGTGGCCGACTTTCGCCAGTTTTTTGAATCGCAATACTCAGATGTCAGATAATGTTCTAGACCGTACAGAAAACTGTCAGGAACGAAAGGCTACATATATGAGGCTGAATGAAACCTCTTGTTGAAATAGACGTTCATTCTGTCTGATGCTTTCTGCTAAGAACAGGACTTATAATAAAATAATAGATTAGACTCGCATAACTGAACCGCTAAAATCAAATCCAACCCTCACTGAACCCGCAGTGGTTCGATTTCGGTGCCACACTGTTTCGCTTAGTGATGACTAATTTCTAGAATTTCTTTAGAAATATTTATATCACTAGATAGCCTAGTATCTAGTCTATCTAATTATAAAATATGAATTCAAAATATCTAGTGGTTGCTGAGATATAAGGAAATAATCATTTCTGTCTTGGGTTGGTATGAAAGTGGTGATGGCTTATTTATATATTATAATATATGCACTACCTTTGACAATCACTATTGACTAAGAATAATTATTTAACTACCACTTATTCAGATAAAATAATATAATAATAATTACCATATATTTCAAATAAAAATATTAATTTTGTAAAGGTATATTTGGTATGCCCTGGGTATGATGATCTCATCTGTCGACCCACTTCTCCTAAGCTGCGAAGGGAGCTTAGGGGAGGTTGCACAGAACACATGCTTATTGGCAGAAGATTAGGCAAGGCTGATATTTGGATGTCATTGATTCAATAACGTGAACTAATTCCCAATATCTGACTCAGGCTAACGCAGAAGAAAATACGGGTTCGCCCGGCTACTACTCAACGACAATGGATCTGGAAACTCCAATTTTTGAGTTGACCAGAACTGTGCGATGGTTACTTTTCGGTTACATTGGCGACATTTTCGAGGAGGTATGTCAATGATGGTCTTAATCAGGTTGAGTGATGCTAAGGTGACAATTTCGTGGTTCTGGAAAACCCGGCTTAAGCGCAAGTGCTGTACACCAGCTTTATAAGGTGGAATGTGATATATATGCTTGATCCTATTGGCACAAAGTCGCAATGCTCATCCCAGTATATTAATCTCCTCACCCGTCCTTCCATCAATTGATCTCAATTATCCTTTCTCAGTCTTGAGTTTCCATCCACCGAATTGTCGTGGAAATGGTTCCGAGCAATGATACTGTCCATTCAGCGCAGTCGAAGTCAGCAGAGCGTGTTTTGTTGCTTACCTACCCTCGAACGGCATCCAACTTACTGCTGAAAATACTCTCCCTGAAAAATCAACCAGACGTCGTCTCAAATGAGAAGGGTGGTTACTTCTTTATGGATGCTTCACGAAAGAGCGCAAGACTGTATGTACGCGCAGACCAACTGAGCAATGGACTGTCGAAGAAACCGAGGAAATCCGTCAAGCCTACCAAGAGAACTTTGATTACTTTGAAGCTAAGTCACAATCTGCGAACTCTCAAGGCAAGATATTCTTCGCGAAAGAACATAGCCCGCGGTTAGCCGATCCAGCTGCACTCATTCAGTACCTCTTGAACCATGATTATCAAACGGCTCCGCAACCAGGCATCCGAATCCTGAATTCCTCTTATCGACTTGGCATCCAGGTTCCGAATTCATACGGCGCAGTCAGGACGATTTCACCAAAGAATATCACCATATTTCCAGACGCATACATAGAGAAGTGGACATTGACCTTTCTGATACGACATCCGGCCCTAGTATTCCCATCTTACTATCGGGCACTGCGGAACTTGAAGCAAGAGGGGTTTATTGAGCCCAACACGATCCAACCAATGTTGGAGTTGCACTCTACGCTCATATGGACTAGACTTATCTATGACTGGTACTGTGCTCATGTCGTGCAGTCATACCCGGGAAGGCAGGATGGCATTTGCTTTCCAATTCTTTAGATGCCCAAGACGTCATCCACCATCCGGAGGTGGTCTTGAAATACTGTGAGCTCATAGGAATGAATCCAGAGAAGGTCAAATTTGCGTGGCAACCGGAGAGCTCTCCCGTTTCACAACGGGAGTCGGTCCTAAATGCGCCGAGGCAGTAATGACGGCAACTCTAGACCGTTCAATGTCTCTGCTTAAGGAGAAAACACCAGCTACTGTGGATATTGCGTCCGAAAGGAAGAAATGGGAAGAGGAGTTTGGCGAATGCTTGGCCAAGCAAATGGAAAAATGGGTCGAAGATGCAATGCCGGACTATAATTACTTATGGACTAAGAGATTGCGGGTGAATTAATGCTAATGTGAGTTGTATGTGGTACTTTCAAAGTGCAGATCAACGGAACTGGGGCTTGGATCCGAGCTACCAATTAGAGGTAACTCCCAGCAAAGGTCTGGCAACTTCCCTAGGATGCCGTAGATTTTATCAGAGCTTGAGAATAGCCCTACATCCTAGTACATAGGCCATAGGGGCCTCAACACAAAGCCAGGGGGGAGGGCGGACAACATCTTGCGAGAGCAATGCATTATGTGGGACTCCAGTCATCCGTGACAATACATTTAGTAGGTCTTGTATGAGGAACATAAGCTACGCCGAGTCAGTGGAATTCCTATTAAACCCTATAAGATAAAGAAGGAACTACAATCTTCCATAACCCTAGTAAGGAGACTATATTCCTGTAGATAATCTTATATTATAGCCTTACTAGAACTTATAGGTGTGCAGTGTGCTGTTATCACCTCTATTAAGCTCATTCTGAATTTCTGGCTTTGCACTAGATAAGACACTATTAAAGTTATCTTACCCTATGTACTCTGCTCTATTTATAGCTAACATAGTATATATAGAAATCCTCAAAGTGATAATAAGGTAGGATACATACTATAGCTCGGATTAGATTAGTAGGTACTAGGTACATAGGGAAGTAGCTTCTAAGATAGTACTTGTAAGAGACTTTACATTATAAGAGATAGATATTGGATTGGTTATGCAACTCTATCCATAATCCAAACCGCATGGATATGAGGGTCAGAGGGTGGGTTGAATAGATCATGGATAAACCTACAATCCGCATTGATTTGGATCAAACATGGTGCGGATCAATCCATACCCAATGCATGTGCCAGCCTAGACCTATCACGTGCCGAGTGGGGAGGCGTGGCGTCGGCTTTAGAGGGATTGTTTTTGTCCGTCGGTCCACTCATGAGCCTGCTAGGGATTTCTGGCAAAGAGTGGCTCGAAACGTAGAAACTGGTCTGTGGAATTAGACAAAATTCAAAGATTGCAATGGATGGCCGTCATCTTACTGTCAAGGATGATTAAATTACAGTGTAGGAAGAGAGCCCATGGATAACTGGGACTCTTATAACAAAAGTTTTTCTAAGGTACTCAATGTTGTAGCCAAGGTATAAGAAAGCAAGCAGAGTCGCCCAGGAATTCTGTGCTGGATTCACATTGCTCAACAGACCTGAGCATAATCTCACTACCTTTGTCCGGCTTTTGTCTCCGTTTAAGCGGTTTCCTCCTTATGCTCACTGGTGCCAGTCTTGTCTTCCAATCCTTTGGATTTAATTCGCTGCGCCAGGATACTGGTTTCCGTGACTCGGTGCTCGCTTTTGGTGGAATTGCCGATGAACCAGGGAGACTCGGCGAAGAGTTTCCTCATCTCCTCCAAGGGCAACTGTTTCGTTTCCGGGAGCATGGCCCAGAAGAAGACGGCATTGGTGAAATTGCAGACCTAGATACAGCATGTCAGCTGCCAGCGAAGGTTCCCCCGAGTATCCTGGGATGCAACAGGGAGATCGCGGAGGCATTTGATGGATACTCACCACGAAAAGGATATAGAATTTCCATCCAGAGTTTGCCATTCCAATGGGTGTCACTTGACCAATCATTGTGCTAAGAGAGAAAGATGAGTTATTAGCTTTATCTCTTTACCATAGCAAGGTTCAGGCTGGGAAAGGACACACTTGAAGGCAAATGATAGCATGCAGCCCAAGGCTACCCCCCTAGCTCGTGTTGCTGTATCGAAAATTTCGGCAGGAATCATCCAAGCTATATAAGATTTAGTGACGACTTCGCTGAATTGGTCGAAGAATAATATGAAAGGGAGGAGGTTGGGCATACACAATGATCCCATAGTGGCAAAGCAGAAATTAAAGACCCATGTCATGATAATGAAACCCCAGTGTGCGCCCGTGCTGTCAACCTCAGGAGGAAACTGGGCTAGAAGGATTGTGCTGATCACGTATGTGAGACACATGGCAAGATTTCCACCCACGATGAGTTTGCGACGACCAATTTTATCGACGACCATCATAAGAAGGAATTCACCAATGAGGCCAATGATTGAGTTGATGGCTTGGTAGCGCAGAGTGTCCGTTCCGTCTATGCCGATTTGTTTCTAATTGAAGCTACAGTCAGCCATTTGAAGAAGAAGAAGAAGAAGAAGAAGAAGAAGAAAAAGAAGGACTTATGCAAGGAATACTTACAAAGATGGTGACCGAGTAGTATTGAATAGCGGAGACTCCCGTCATTTGTGTTGCAGCTTGCATAGCACAAGCCAGTAGCAGACGACGGAAGTTTGACTTGTCGACGATCCACAGATAAAATGTGACCTGGCTATGCTCCTTCTCTGCGGCAAGCTGGGCTTTGATCTGTTCAAACTCGGCAAGAATCCAAGGGTCGGAGCTGTTGCCGTTGGCATGGAGTCGCGCCAGGGTCTGAAGGCCTCTCTCCCGCTGACCGCGGCTAATGAGCCAACGGGGCGATTCTGGGAACAGGAAGATCAAGGCGGACAGTAGAGCCGCCGGCACAATCTGAATGCCTAACGGGATGCGCCACTGGCGGTTATCCGCAAAACTAACATAGGTGCCGTAGCTGATCCAGCTCCCGCAGACACCACCTATGCCGAGCATGAACTGTTGCAATCCAGTCACCAGACCTCGGATATCGGGATGAACCAATTCGGCCTGGTAAATTGGAATGATCATGGTGAGTACACCGATACTGTAGATTGTTAGTTAGACAAGCCCTGTCCCGGTCGTCCCAAGCCAGGAAAGGGACTTTGAAATGGGGAATTTACGAGACACCCGAGATGAAACGACCACCTAAGACGTAGCCATAGTTTTGCGCACCGGCCTGCAAGCCACCTCCCAGGCAGAAGATTAAGCCGCCGGTCAGGATGGTTGCTCGGCGGCCAAAGTAATCAGAGCATGGGTACGCTAACCCGGCACCGACGGCGGCGCCGGCCGTGAGAAGGGACGCGACCAGGCCTATCTCAGTGGTGGATGGGCCGAAATAGTCCAGAAAAGAACCGCTGGATACCACTAGTAGAAAACAGTAAAGGTGCATTAATTTCAGCGAACACTTGCAGAGATTTGCGCTCGCTGACTTACCCTCGGCCACAATTGTAAGGTCATATCCGTAGAGAAACGACCCAAGTGAAGCAAAGGCGCCTACCAGAAACTGGTATATCTTGGGAGGGAAGCCCATTTTGGTTTCTTGTGAGACCAATTGACCTTGAGTATGGGTAAAAAAAAGTAGATCAAAGAAGGAAAAGTGTTGTCTACCCACAATATTCGAGGAACACCCCCGGCCTTTTAAGCTATGCCGATCTCCATGCGGGCAGCTCGGCTCTTTCTTGGCGGGAGAGGACTGACTTCGCAGGAATATGTGTGATGTACATCGCTCGGGACAAGTTCCAGCAGCATGCAACGCGGGGAAAAAGTGGGTTACCTTGGCTGGATTCCAGCTGAGGGTGGTTTAACTCGAGGATTGTAATAGACACCCTCAAACTCTACTTTAACACCCTATGCGCAGTATCTGTATTACTATCGATCAATACTACAATTCGGTTCCAATAAGTTTGAAACCCTCCCAAGGTTTCCAAAAGCATCTTCTGAGTCACGGGTGGAATAGAGACCAAGTCCTTATGCCCCAGCCATCAGGAATGACGGATTACAAGGCATTCAGAAGTACCTTTGGAAAGAGAAAGAGAGTAAGTCGCAGCATATCTGATTGAACAGTAGGTCTGGTCTGGACTTTCGGACTTAGACAAGCTGCCACTGCATCCGGGGGATTCATGGGAATACGCATACGGCGCTAAACTAACATGGCGCTCGGATGCCGATTCAGCAATTCGAGTTTTAGCTTCTATTGTTCTTTTTCTAAGGTCCAAACCCACTAATTTCCTTTTTGGGAAGTCCACCGGTGGCTTGAGAACGCCTGCGGAAAATGAGCCAATCAGAGCGCGACGATTCCGCAGTCACTTGTAAACCCTCATCAACTCTCATGATCTTCGCTTCTGCTATGCGAATGTCGGACGATCTACGGTCCAACAAGACAGATGTGACCAAGTAGGCGAGATATTTTATTGACTCCTCGGAATAATGGACAGCGAGTTGAGCACGGGATGAGACAAGACGACTCGAGAAGATGGCCTGCCACTTTCTCTATCTCTCTTCTTTCCACCAGAAAGAGAGAAATCGAAGCAATCTCATGAACATCGCCAAGTATGGCAGAAATTATTGCACTGCGCTTTGAGCACCATCCTTCCGGGCTGGGTGTACATAGCTCCTCGCCTCGTATATCCTGGACATTCTCTGCTATTGACGAGTCTATCCGTGACTGGAAACAATGCCAGTATGAGATTGCCGTTCAGCGTCAAACTGGGCCGCCGGCACACCTCGTTGTCCAAAGCGCAGAGTCATCTTTAGTCGCATGGCCGAGCACGCCGTTACAGTCCCGAGAACAAGCTCAGGTCCGAGTTCGAGTGCGTGGAAGCTGGATGGATCGAGCAACCGGGTGCGCACATTCGGATTGGTCTGCATGGTCATCTTGGGCGACGGTTGAATGCAGCCTTCTCAGTTCGCAGGATTGGACTGCTATGCCGATCTCTAGCCCATCCGTTCTGGTGAGCCCCCAAGAGCCACTAAGGCCTTTGCTCTTCCGAAAGGCCTTTGTTTTGCCTTCCGCATTTGGCTCGGTGTACCACGCCCGCTTGTATATTACAGCCTTTGGGGTCTATCGGGCATATCTTAATGGTACCCAGATTGGAGATCACGAAATGGCGCCCGGATGGACAAGCTACCACCATCGCCTTGCATATCAAGTGTTTGACGTCGGCTCCTTAATCACCACCAAGGGCGATAACGTGTTATGCATCGAGGTTGCTGAAGGGTGGTTTGCGGGCCGTTTGGGCTTTGGTGGTGGCAGGCGGTATATCTATGGAGATCGCATAGCCGTCATGGCTCAGTTGGAGGTAGGAGGCCTCGCAGCTGAACGATTCCAGGTTGTGTCCGACGAGAGCTGGAAGTGCCACCCGAGTCCCATCGTGAGCAGCGAAATTTACAACGGCGAAATCTATGATGCGCGAGCTGAGGTTGGCGACTGGAACCAAGATGGCCCTCTCTATATTGACGCGGACTGGGAGACAGTCTCCGTTTTGGCTTTTCCCCGTGCGCGATTATATGCGCCAAACGCCCCTCCAGCACGAATCACGGATCAATTGACACCCAAAAGATTATTCACCACCCCCTCTGGCCGGAAGATTGTTGACTTTGGCCAGAACCTGGTCGGAAAGCTTCTCATACGTTCCATGACGCTTCCGGTGAACGCAACAGTGAGCTTCACCCACGCAGAGGTAATGGAAGATGGAGAATTGGGCACGAGACCTCTTCGCGGTGCACAATCCGTTGATACTGTCGTCTCATCAGGGCGGCCGTTGATTGATTGGTCGCCGAAATACACCTTTCATGGCTTTCGATTTGTGCAAGTCGATGGATGGGATCCTGAAACGGAGCAGTTCTGGCAGACTAACATTCGTGCACTCGTAATCCACACTGATTTCAAGCGGACGGGGCGGTTCGAGTGTTCCAATATGGCCATTAATCAATTGCATCAGAATGCCTGCTGGAGCATGCGTGGGAACTTCTTGTCAATTCCGACGGACTGCCCCCAACGGGACGAACGCTTGGGATGGACAGGAGATATTCAGGTTTTTGGCCCATCTGCAACATTTTTGTATGACTGTATTGGCATGCTTTCAGAATGGTTGGAAGATGTTGCCTGCGAGCAATCAGAGCACTACGGCGTTCCCCCGTTGGTGGTCCCCAATGTCCTGGACCAGGTGTGGCCATCCATTCCCCAGGCTTTGTGGGGTGATGTGGTGATAATTCTTCCATGGATATTGTTCCTGTCATCCGGTGATCGCGATATTCTACATCGACAGTATGCCAGCATGAGCTCATGGCTGAACCAGGGGGTCCGTCGAGGCCAAGATGGACTGTGGGATCCCGAGTTATGGCAATTGGGCGACTGGCTCGATCCCCAGGCGCCACCGGACGAGCCTGGTGATTGCAGAACAAGCGGTGCCCTGGTGGCAGATGCATACCTCGTGCATGTCACATCCCGCATGGCTGATATTGCATCGGTCCTCGAGAGGAAGACAGAGAGTACACACTACAGCTGCAAAGCTCAGCGTCTCCGTGCCCTGTTCCAGGACAGGTACATAACACATTCCGGCCTCATAGTCGGTGACTCCCAGACTGCCTATTCCTTGGCGATTGTTTTCGGACTTCTATCTACTAAGCACCAACTGGACACTGCGAGCCGTCAGCTCGCGGCGCGTGTACGCATGGCAAAGTTCCGCGTCGCAACCGGATTCGCCGGTACGCCTATCATTTTACGTGCCCTCACCGACACTGACAACCTCTCCCTGGCCTATCGGATGCTGCTCGAAGACCACTGCCCATCGTGGTTATATCCCATTACTATGGGTGCCACAACCATTTGGGAACGCTGGGACAGTATGCTTCCGAATGGGTCCATTAACCCCGGTGAAATGACTTCTTTCAATCATTATGCCTTGGGGTCCGTTGTCAGTTGGCTCCACGAGACTGTGGGCGGTTTGCGGCCACTCCAAGCTGGCTGGCAGACTACATTGGTGTCTCCACAGCCCGGAGGGTCCTTGACGCACGCTGCAGTCTTATACGAAAGTGTCTACGGCCTCTGGAGCTGCCAGTGGAAAGTGGTTCACGATGAAGACAGAGATGGAGCGGTTATACTCTGTTTGGACTTGGTCGTCCCACCAAACTGCCAAGCCGTGGTCAAAGTCCGGACTGCTGAAGATGGATCCAGCAGTCTAGAGGAGAATGTGGGATCTGGAAATCATCGGTGGAAGGTTCCCTTCTGTCCTTGGCTATGGCCACCCCAGGCGACTGCTCCATTCATCACAAACCCTGGGCAGAATGTCAATTAGATTCGCAGTTAGAGCACACAGCATTTTGAAATCATTCCACTAATACGCAATCTTCGCAATCAGCAAATAGGGGTAGTAAATTTCGATCTTTGAACCCATCCTGGAACCCATCACGGTGGGTGGGTCTTATGTTCTACCGAAGCGATCTGGCGTAAGGTTTTCCAAGAGAGCGTCATTTGTCTTACAGGAATCAGGTCCACTCGGCGATTTGCAGTTTTTGGAGTAGCGTAAACTAAAACTGAATTTATTTGAAGTTTTCCCTGCATTTTAAGTCATCAATAGCCCATATAGCCGGCGCATTTTAGTTGCGGGTGAGTGGATTTGTTGCCTGCATCTTCGGTGAAGCTCTCACCGAATCTTTTCACCCTTTCAAGAGACAGAGAGTCTAATGTCCCACCCTCGGATCGATGCTCCACTGTTCGAGGTTGGGGGTTCTTCCATTGAACATGCGGGGAAAGCACGCGGTGTCGCATGTGTATAAAGGCCCGTCCCCCGGACCTGTCTCTTGAGGGAACCAGACCAGGTCAACTTATCAAATGTGTTGATCAGAGGAAACCTTATCTGCCGCTTAGAAATTATGATTCTGTCTTCTATTTTATGTTTCGCTGCTAACGTAGCGGCGTTGACACTTGACATCGCTTCGTCTGGAGGCAATCAGTCAAGTCCACTCTTGTATGGACTTTTGTACGAGGTAAGTCCGCGGTTCCCCTTTGTGTCAATCTCCGCAAACCTGGAATTGAAATTGACCTTCCACGGGATATCTACCACTCGGGTGATGGTGGCCTCTATGGTGAGATGCTCCGGAACCGAGCATTCCAAGGATCCTCGTCTGGTGGAGCTGCCAGTCTAGCAGGCACCACAGATTATTGGCATCCTGTTGGTAGAGTTTCGCTAGCCATCGACACATCTTCCCCCGCCATTTCGTCCAGCCTGCCATACCAGATGCGAATGGATGTGCCAGCGGGAACCACTGGAACTGTAGGATTCTACAATGAAGGCTTCTGGGGTTTCGACGTTGACGCGACCAAGCGTTACATCGCTAGCCTCTACATGCGCGGCAATTATTCCGGGACTATCGACTGCTACTTCCATAGCAACACAACTGGGCAAGTCCTTGGGTCCACGAGCATGAGTATCGATCAGACATCATCTGCGGGATGGGTGCAGAGCTACTCCGCGACGTTCCGGCCAAGTCGGACTGGCTCCGACGGCAACAATACGTTTTATTTCACGTTTGATGGTTCGAAACTCGCAGGGCAAAGTGTCTATTTCAACGTTCTCAGCTTGTTCAAGCAGACGTTTGATAACCGGTACAATGGCGTGCGCGAGGATCTTGCCGAGGCGTTGCTCAACATGAACACGAAATACATCAGATTGCCTGGTGGAAATAATATGGAAGGCAGCGAATCTCCTTATGAATGGAAATGGAACGAAACCCTCGGTCCCCTTACGAGTCGTCCAGGCCGCCCTGGCACCTGGGGTGATATCAATACCGATGGATTCGGTCTTCTGGAGATGATGCAAATGGCACAAGATCTGGGCCTTGAGGTGATTCTAGGTATCTGGGCTGGTCTGTACCTGAACGGTGAGGTTGTCTCTGTGGCCCACCTACAGCCATACATAGATTCAGTCATGAATGAGTTGGAGTTTCTCCTGGTAAGTTGAACCGCCTCATATCCTCTATGTGCCCGTGTCCACGGATGCGCCGCCCGGCTCTAGAAATGCGAAACGATCGCTGACGGGACCAGGGAGAGAAATCTACCACGTACGGAGCGAAACGAGCTGCTTTGGGGTTTCCTTCACCTTTTACCATCAACTGGATTGAGATTGGCAATGAAGACTACCTCAATGGTGGAACGAACTCCTACTATTCGTACCGATTTATGGCCTTCTACAACGCCATTCACGCTGTGTATCCGTCCATCAAACTCATCTCCACCATCAACCCAAACCCAGTCACATCCAACGGCAGCTCGCTGGACCTTCATATCTACGGCAATGAGAACTACTTCGTCTCTCTTTTCAATACCTTTGACCAGGCTAGCCGCAAATACCCCGTCTTCGTCAACGAGTACGCAGCAACCAACACGGGATCTAACAACAATGGCCAGGTGGGAGCGCAAACCCTCGGGATGTCTTGCGCGGAGGCCATATTTCTCTTGGGCTGCGAAAGGAACTCGGATGTCATTGTCGGCTCTGCCTATGGTGCCTTGATCAAGAACTACAACGAAGCCCCTGACACAGTGGCCGTGATAAAGCACACCGCAAATGAGGTCCTCTATACTATCAGCTACTACGTCCAAAAGCTTTTCGCGGACAATATGGGCACCATAACTCTGCCCGTGACCGCGACAAATGGTGGATTGGGCCCCATCTACTGGTCCGCAACAGCCAACAGTTCTTCCACTATCCTCAAGCTCGTCAATTACAACGGGAACACCGGCTCGTCCAACGCCGTGCAGGTCAACGTCAAACGTTCGTCCAAGACGACTGCCTCTCTGATTACCTTGACTGCCCCAAATTCAGCAAGTGTCAACAAACTGCCATCCTTGGGAGGTGAAAGCAGTACCATCACTACCACAACCTTGTCTGGTCGCGCTGGTAGCTTCGCCGTCAGCTTCAGCAATCCTTATGAGATTGCTATCTTGGTTGTCTAAACAAACCTGCTTGACCGAACGCAGATTGACATACAGATAGATGCTGAAATATTTGACATGACCAGTTCCTCTTCCAGTTAAGTTGTGGACATAAGGGTTAGAGCTTGGCTTGGTGACAACACATTGCTGCAGGCCGGAATCACCAGATGAATTCTTGTTCAGTCAAATATATAGCCCGGTTATCCATTATCCACAGTCGGCTTTGTACTAAGCGCCTTTCAGAGGAAGATAGATAAATATGGAATCTTGATCATGAGTTGAAATCCATTCAAGCCATCAAGTAGTTGCATTGGCACTGATCGTACCTGCGACGACATCTCGTTTTTGCTATCAGAAATCTCTTAGCCGATCCCAAATGCGGGCAGTCGACCCTTCTCAGTGAACATATGTGCCTGTGTGGAGATAATCTCCATCTCCACGGCCGTGTGGAGATCGATGGCCTTCTCCTCGAGTGGCAACGCGTACTCGAAGAGAAACCGTACCATCCAACGGTCGAGGCGATGGGGGTGATGGTGGTGGGAGAGGAGCAGGCAGTTATTCTGAAATTCCATCAAACGGTTTATCTTCAGTGAACTGTTAGCTAGACGAAAACAGGAATGAAAAAAAGGGACAAAAAGAGGAATTTACGACACTGCAATTCAGCGGATCAAGGAATAGTTTACCATGGTTTTGACAACGGGCCAGTACTCTCCCAACTCGAGCAAGGCCTCAAAATTCGCTTCGAGGAAGAGGCGTGACTGCGGAAGCTCGTTCTCATCTCCGAAAAGGAGAGTGTGAAGAAGAACAGATGAAGAGACGATGGCCATGTGGCCAACGGTTGGATACACGGCCTCGCAGCCGGGCTGTTTTCTTCCGCGGTCGAGCCAGGTGCTATAACTGAGAGCATGGTGTTTACATCGAGCTGCAAACTGCCGAGCACGCATAGTCAGCGTGGAGCGTGTATCAAGGTACTGGTAGAAAAGTAATGTGGCGTAATGGTGGAAGCCAAGATGGAGGCCGATGAAGGTGCCCCCTGTGCCCCGTTTGTTGTGTTCGATGAGGTTTGACTCGGACAACTGGACATCGCTTGGCAGTCTACTTTGCCAGTCATCTAACTGCTGCGCAAGACGATCTGTGTCTTGTTCGATTTGGTCTGGATGCAGCCCCTCGCTGTTAGCGGCGCGCCAGTTGAGCTCCTGGATTGGGCTGAACACTTCAATGAGCGTGGCCATGTGGGCCCATAGACCAGGGCTCCTACTTGGAGCGGTGGGGTCATTCAATGGCTCATCCGGAGTCATGCCGGCAAACAGGCGCTCATCCATGGGTAACCGAGCCGGTCGAGGCCAATCCCTCATTTGGCGGGGAAAGCCCAGGCTCGAAGAGCACCAGTTGTCTGCAGCAAAAAGCGCCCACCAGATTCGGATTCGGAGCTCATGAGAGACTGGGTTATCATTGCTTTGCGTCATACGTGATTCCAGCAATTGCATCATTGCACTTGCCGTTCCTAGCATCACATTTAACATGAGTATCTACCTATCCAGAGAACGGTGGCGTCCACACGCAACTAGAAACGCGTGATTTGAATCAGAAAAAACTCACGGAAGAATAGGAATTCTGATGATGGGTTTGCATGCGCCACGCATAGATTTGCGACTAGAATGCAAGTTTGGATATTGTCTAGGCACACATGCTCCAGATTGATCTGGAGTAAGCGTTTGGACTCCGCCGTGAGCAGAGGCGCAAGGGACTGGAGACTTGGCTGATTCGAAACATGTGCCCCCATTGCACAGATCGCGAGAATCAAAGCTCTGCTGGCTTGCCGGTCACGAATGTCCTTCCACAGGGTCGCGTCGTGAAAAATGCTATGTGGTCGACCGTGAATCTTGGACAGATACTCATGGACAAGCACAGCAACGGATCCATCGTCGGCGAGGAAGTCATCTACTCTCTTGTCCCGAGTCTGCGATTCTGTTGACGACTGACTGTCCGGCCGACGGGCGTTGAGAGTCCGCATCCTGAGTAGGTTGGCCTGCGAGCGTGAACATGGAAGATGATGGCGCAGACACCGGTCACAGGGAGCCGATAAAGCACAACCCCTGCCAGGAATACACTTGCGCTTGGCATCTCGACATTGTAGACACGATCTCATGGTCGATACAGGGTAAAATGCAAGGCGAACAAGCAAAAGAGTGTGGGATGGGGAATGTTCCGTGGCCCGCATTTCCCCGCAGTTCGCCAGTGAATCTGACAAACACAGAGGAAGACTGCAGAGAAACCGAAACTTTAAGGCAAACAAAAGTCCCCTAATTATATAACATAAAATTAATCTAGAGATAAGAGAGGAATATTGACTATCTTGATAATCTAAACTCTTTTCGTAAACTTTCGTATATTTAAGAATGTATTAAGGGAGTATAACTTTATAAGTAGAGTCTTTACTAGTAGTAATATCTAATAAGGATAAAGCCTATAACCGTCCTAGTAAAAGACTATTGGTCTATAGGAAGTAATTTTATATTAACTTAATAGTCTAGTAGTGTAGACATTCCTACTAAAAAAATGATAAAGATCTATGTAAGCGCCCTATGTTTCTATTAAATATAATTATTATAGTACTCATAATATTAGCTATTGTTTAGTATATTTAGAATAGACTAATTTGTCTCTATAATTAATAATAGTAAAGATTTCTTTAATCTCATAGGTATGGTGTTTATGTAGACTACTCAGAGTTCTTCCTACGTAGAATGATATTACCATACTATTTCGTATCCCTACTAAGTATTATTATTGTATAGTCAGGATTCAAATTACTATATAGTTAGTTGCTTACTGCCAGCAGGAAACTATGAACTACCAACATACTGAAATACCTAGAGATGTATTTTCAGTTTTGTCCCAATTGCCCAAGTAGCCGAGGGGGAATTTAAGACCCGACGGAGCAATTGGTAACCCGACTCATAATATCTCGGTGCCGACCCATGAACAGGATTAGCATTAACAAGGGTACTTTTGTCACGAATCATGTACTCTAGTCCACCCCTAGATATAAATAATCTGTGATCTGTACACTCGCTTGCTGGAATTGACTTCCTCCATGCCTAAACATTTCCCCCGGCCCTCAATCCTCGGCACAGTCATCATAGTCATGGCTTCGTTTCTCCTGGCGCCATTCACGCCGCTGACTCTCCGGATCAAAGTCTTGGGCGTCAGTCGATTATTCGGATCATTCGAGAATCTTCATGGCGAAGACACCAAAGTCATTCCGGATACCTTGTTCACAGAAGATTTGCACTACCATGCCCCGTCGCATCAGCTGTTCGGCGCGTCCGAAAGTGAGGACAAGACCAGGAATACATGGTTTCCTCCGTGCGTCGGCTATCAATCTGAGCCATAATAAAGACACATGCTGATCAGATTGCACAAAGATTGACCAACTGGAACGAACCGGAGTCGATCGGCCAAGGAACCATTATCGTGATTGATGCCAATGTACCTTATCACCTACCTTCGAATTGCAAACTTCTCCCTTCTTAGAAGCGCGATGGCTAACAACCAGTGGATAGACCTTGAGTGCTACACGTCTGACGTTGCTGAATTTCAAGGGACCCTTCAACACCCATGGAATCGATATCTACTCTCCTCCCGAGGATCCAAGCTCCGTCTACATTGTGGCAGTGAATCATCTGCCCAACCCGGCCTACTATGAGGCCCCCACTCGCCCGAAACCTTCCAAGGTTCCCCAAGCCCGCTCTCGGCTGGAGATCTTCCATCATAAAATCGGCTCCAAAGAAGCAACGCACCTGCGGTCCGTCTGGCATCCACTGATCCGAACCCCAAATGACGTGTATTTCCAAACGCTACATGAGATCTACGTGACCAACGATCATTTCTACCGCGATGGAGTTATGAGACTCGTTGAGGATCTTGCATACGGAAAGACCGCCCCGACCGACCTGATCCACCTGAAGATCGCGGATCCCATCACTCAAACCCTGAAGTCCGGAGGGGAGGTAGATGATATGGCTGGTGTGATTGGAACCGTGGCGAACAAAGGGATTCACAACAACAATGGTCTGGGTCACGGCAAAACCCCGTCGGAGATCATGATCTGCCGTACGGCCATCGGCCAGCTTCTCCTGGCGGAAGTGGACCAGCAACACAAACCACAGCTCAAGATTCACGAGACAATTCAACTTCCCTGCACTCTGGACAATCCGTCCTACTTTGCCGATCCGTACGTTGCCAAAACCGGGGGAGATGCCAGCGGATATGTCCTTGCTGGCCTAGCTCAGGCAATCGCCTTCCCGAATGGACTGGACCCGGTGATGGTCGTGCTGGTCCAGCCCAAGGCAAACACCGAGTCCAAGATCAAAGACAAAGGCGGCAACAAGTGGACACAAAAGGTGATTTTCCAAGATGACGGCCATATTCTCCGAACCGCCAGCACAGCTGTTCTGGTAGCAATTGACCCGGATGAGAACAATGGGAAAAAGCAAGCAAACCTCTTTGTGACCGGTCCGCTGGCCAAAGGGGTCGTGGTCAGTAGGATCGACCTTTGAAGTCTGACTTGTCTGTCCTGGAAGTCACGGCTTGTCTCCTTCCAGCCATTGTGCAAGGATACCCGTTAGTACACTTATGTCTGTTGTCACTGGCTTTACTAATTGTTGCTGTTTGTTTAGATTTCACGTTTTTCTTCATATCCTTTTGATAGTATTTGCTTTCAGAATGTACTAAAGTCAATACACCTAAAGAACACTTGCATATGTTGTAGCAGACGCCAGTCAATGCGCTTGCTGATACATCAATAAATGTCACGGCTGCCATCAGTTGCTTTCTCAGCCAATGACTGGTTGGTCATGTAACCTTTCTGTTTCTGTTTCTGTTTCTGTTTCTGTTTCCCTTTCCCTTTCTCTTTCTGATATCTTATCGATTACCTACTTAGGTGGGACAAAAAAAGACGAATTCGCAGTTAGAGCATCAAGGTCAAGCTCACTGTGACAACGAGAACCGTCTTCAGTAGTCCGTACTGGGCTGGAAACATAATGAAGACCAGCCAGGTACTCTACCTCCACACGTAATGCTCCTCAATCTCCTGCCCATCAGGGTTGCAATGCCGATTCCTAACAGTTGATTGCTGCTGGTTCTGTCCCGGTCTGGTGCCGAGACACCGAACGGGAACTCCACTCGGCTGGTTCTGCGTCAGCTTCGTTGACTGACATTATCTCAGCCACGTTAGCCACGTTTCGTGTAGCAGCTAGGCACAAGCAGAACGCTATTTGCATGGATTATCCGAGCCTATATGCGAGCCACGCAATGACTACCAGCATTGAATAACCCTTACCCATGGCACTGGACCATCCTCGCCCTAGCGGGTTAGGGTGGTCCCACTTCTAATGCAAAAAGATCGTCCCTTCGCCAGATAATTCAACGCGTGCATGTGTGGCGCCCCTCGGATAAGCGTATCGGCCACGCGTAGACATAACTAGAGGGAAAGAATTGTTTCTCCAGAGGACGCCTTTAGACGAAATGAAACAACCGAGTCATCAATTATATGTAGGCGCTGAGGCGACACTCTCGGCTTGCGCATAATTCCGCTGGCAAGTCTCAGCGTAAATATCAAGCCCATCACCTATCACCTTCAAGAACAGCCACTGTTCGTCCCCTCGGATTAGACGAGCCCAGAGCTTCGCCACGGCGTAGCCAAGGTAAACACAGTCGGAGGGACTTGGGGGTCGCGACCACAGATCATCGTCTCCGGAGGTCCGTCCTTCTTCGACAATGTCGGTAATCCAGCTTACGAGGCGAGATTCGTGCTCTATTTTCAGACATATTAGCAGAAATATCAAGTGCAGTTTCTCCTTATTTTCGAAATTGAACTTCTGCGCTCGCGAACAATAATGGAAAATCACATACCGTCCAGCGGCCTCTGGGTCTGGCAATCAGCGATACAGAACAGCCACTTGCTGAGAAAGATGGCAAATTCCAACCCGCATATCGAGTGCTGCACGCTCCACACAAACGCATGGCTCTGCGCCACGAAATTCACGCCCAGTTTGACGGGGATGCTGAGCGCGTGTGTGGCATGCAGGATGGCGGGGAGGAGGTGGGGCCCGGCGGGGAGGCGAGGCATCTGTACTAGTCGGCTGGCTATCTCCTTTGCATCCCGCGATCGCAGGATTCGATACGAACCCAAATCGACACCGAGTCGCACATATGCAACGCCAAGCAGCGCAGTGGATGTGAAAGTGACGGGACCGTTGGGGTTGCGGGGATCCAGACTTGATTCTGGGGCTCGTTGCCAGAGGCCGGTCCAGGCGTGAAGTGCGTTGCTGCGAGGGTGGGAGCAGAATTAACATGGGTTCAACTATGCTATTACGCTGATGCTCCACCTAATGGAAAACTTACCGCATGATCTCCTTTTGTCCATTCATCAAGGTCTTGTTTACTTCATTGTATGGACTCAGTGACCGGTATGCAAGCAGGATCTGCTGAATAACGGCATGGAGAAGGATGTAGTTTGCCAGAGGGGATGGCACAGGATATGCATTCGGAAAGCCTGGCTCCTGCGGATGTCTCATGATGTGGCACAGAGCATCCTGAAATAGCATCTGCTCGCGAAAGCTGGGCCTGCTGCGGATACGAGCCCATTTCTCTTGGTTTGGGGCAATCCACTCCAGGCAGCTACATGGCAGACGAACGCGGACTTCATCGGTCAAGATCACTGGCGGAGTGCCGAACGCTAAAGACTGCAGGGTTAGGAGGGCAAAAGAGAACAATTTCACCCTTCGGTCAGTCTCTTGCTGAATCCATGCTCGCCAGTCCGTAGCATCAGCGTTCAGAGGCGGTGCGGCCTCTTCCAGCTGACATTCCCTGACACACCTCGCCAGGAAGCTCTGGAGGTCGAAAGCTTCTCTCGCGACGTCTTCGTTTTTTTGCCACGTTGCAAATGCAATTAGTAGGAAGGCACAGCGTGCGTCGCGCATTGTTTCGCAGTAATGCGAAGTATGACGACCATTGGTAGCATTGTTCTGGTGCACAGGGCTGTTCAACATCCTTTCATGCTCCGCGAGGTCTCTATCGCGCGTCCTATACCGAAGCACACCTTTGGCTGCATGGAATAGTAGCATTGCTTTTCGGTTCTCGTGCCGGAATTGAGCTCCGAGCGCGCACATAGCTAGGAGGATCTCCGGCTCGCAATCATCAATTCGGAAAGTTGGAATGTGTATCATCGGGTAATGAGGGTAGAACCCGTCGAAGAACCCATTCCCAAATCGTGACAGTGAATGACATGACGGTAGATTGTTAGCCGCCTCAGTAGAATGGGTCTGGGTCAGAGTTTGGAGCAGGCGTTCCCGATGTTGACTTGTGACGGTCAGGATAGGCAATGTCAAAACGCCAAATTCCGCTGCAATACATGGTTAGCGTGCGAAGGTCTGCTGCCATTGTACGTTGGGAATATCTTACCAACGGCTTCTCGCTCGGTGGGTAACTTGCTCAACCTTTGATCATCACCCGAGGCATATCCCTCGAGTGGCTGTGTAGTGGATGGAGCTGACTGGGCATTGAAACTGGACTCTCCCGCAAATATCTGTGTGATGCAAGGCTCAGTTGGGAGATACCATTCATTGCTTAGACTGATGTTGTTGCTGAACATCTCCAAATCTTCCAAAACCAGTAGATCCTGAGAGCTGAATGGCGGGATCCCTACATGAAGTCACTACAGACCTGCCATAGCAGACGTGTTTCGTGCCATTCGTCGAGCATTACGTGAGACACGACGAATTTGAAGACGAGCCACAACATACCTTCGAGTTGGACATGGCTAAATTGGCTTGTCTGGCTCGTTGGCCCCGTCGGGATACTTGGCAGATCTGCCAGCTCCAGCAAAGACGGCTGAATACCCGGTTGAGAGTAATCAGCTCGCGAGTGGACATCGCAGGTCTCATGAGCTGCCGTGGGCGACGGGTCGTCCGTTGAAGAGGGGATTGGGGCATGGCCAATGCTTTGGTGGCGCTTTAGAAGGTCACGCCGGCTGAATGAAGCACTACAAGCACATTTGTACGGCTTCTCATTTGTGTCTGGTGCAGAGTTTCTTTAGCTTCAACGATAAACGATTCGGTCCGTGATTGGCAACTAACGGATTCGAAGATGTCGTTGGAGATGTTCGTATCGCCGGAAGGAACGCTTGCAATAGGGACATACTCGGGGCTTCTTTCTGCCGGTCGGAGTGTCTTCGGGAGTCTGTGTTGCTGAAAATACATCCATTCTCACCGCCACTTTACTGGGACAGTAATGGGCAATGAAGGGGTTGGTAGTGTGAGGGAAACAGGAGAATATGGAGGCGCAGAGTATGTGTGGAGGTGTGGAGGTGGTGGTGATCACGTAATCATCGTGAATGACATCAACAAGAAAGGCATAGACGAAGGCCAGTCTGTAGCATTTGTCATCATGCTCTACACTTTGGCCAAGTTTTGATACAAGTTTTATTTCAAGAAAATGTATTGAATGGTTGGAGTCGTTGGACATGTATATTCTGCACAGTCCTATAAATCGATAGTAATATCAAAGGGTACAATCATAACCGCCACAATGAAAGGAAGAAGCAAGCTGAGAATCCTCCTGTTCACCAGTGTCTATTAGCATGCAACGTCGAATACAAGCCACTTGAATGTTCTTACCCGAATGAGCGCGTCACAGGTATGGAATGTCTAGGATTGACGATTGAACGCCTCGACCTCGATTTCGATCAACATCTCCGAAAAGGCTAGGCGAGGAACGGAAATAGCCGTCCAAACAGGCCGATGTGCAGGGATACGCTTCTTAAGCTTCTCGACAACGTAATCATAAGAACTTTCCATATCAACGTGGTAAGAGCGAACGAGATAGACATCTTCCCACCCTTTCAAGCCAGCAGCCTGGAGGACCCGATCGACATTCTCGAAAGCTAGGTCAACCTGCTTCTTGACATCGCTGTCATCGAGGTCCCCCGAGTTAGTCCAACCGCCCTGTCCAGCGCATTTAACAATGTTCCCGGGAAGGAGAACGGCTTGAGAGTAATGGCAAAGGTCGCTGTGCTTCTGGCCAGCACCCGCTTCATTGACATAAGTTAAGGATGACATTCTTCGGAGATTGCGGACAGAAATTAGAATGAGAGGACCTGAGTGAGCTTTATTACAATGGTTGTCTGCCTTGGATTCCAAAGTGCTCTTTAAGTACCACTCTCCTTGTGGTGCTGGACCCACAGAATAAGCTTGCTTGTTTGGAGACAATGTAGAGTAATTTGGAGGTGTCTTGGCATCATGGAGGTGATCCACTTGCAGGATATCCAAAGCTTGGCAGGGCTACAAGCCTAGCCTATCCACCATTGAAAATGATACGGTGATACCCTATGCACAAAGATATTCATTACTTTCCTTTAAACTAATGATATGTGTAGTGGTTTGGTAGATGTAGCAAAACGTAGAACAGGATTATGATCATATGCATTCAAGAGGCGCCCTGGTTCATGCATAATGTGTCCAAGAATATAGTTTAGGGGCTGTCAGTCAGAAGGTTCAAGGTTGTGTGGCTTGTATTTGCTTCTTCAGATTCCATCTGATTAGTGATAGTACTATGAGCACAATGCATTCTCTGGAAATAACTTGTCAAATTTCCAAATGCATTGTGCGCAGTTTATAAAGTGCCCCAAGAGTCACATCAAAGCTATGCGGCTGAGATTAGCCATTTAGGTCAAAGTCAGGCGGATTACTCCCCTTACAGAGCACTGTGTGTTGCTGTGGTTCTTTTGAGAAGAAGCGACGAATAGTAGTTCTAACTTTCTCACAGATAGATTAAAAGTAAATAGAAAAGTTTAGGTCCTGTAGAAGCTAAATAATGGTATTTGATTATAGTTTGAAGTTAAATAGTTGAAGGAAAAAGGGGTAGGAGGGGAACAATCTAGTGAACAAAGAGATTGAACAGACAATGCCTAGTTACAACTTCTCCATGTGATGTTTCTTAAGCTGGTTATATGGTCACAAAACACTCTGGAACTCCTAATAGAAAACATGAGGTGCAACCTAAGCTGTGATGTCAGTTGCAAACACCCTCTATTGGACTCCTTTCTAACAGATGTATCGCCTTGACCTGGCTTAACCTGGAGAGGGAAAAAAAAAAAAAATTATATATATATATATATTATCAATGGCGTATTGATCAGGTTTTTGCATTTGCATGACAGTCTGCGAAAAACCTAGCACACCAGCAGATACCCGTACCATGGCATGTTGCATGGCACAAGCCATTAAACAAACTTCTTTACTAGATACCAATAACATGACCAGCAGGCAGTTCGACATCTCCAAATTCCGGCGCAACCAACCGTGAAAAACAGTCAAGACAGCTGCTACATATGAGGAACAACTTAGTTATGCAGCCTGTCTATGATAGAAAATGGTACTGTCATGCTGAACTAGCGTAACTTTTTCAGTACTCGTTGAAAAATACCTCGATGCTATCCACAACTGCGCCATCCTTGCCTTCAGCTCCAATCCACTCTCCATTTCCAAGTCGCTCTCCTTCAATCACGTTCGGTTTACCTCCCTTTCCACCAACCTCATAGTGGTGGGACTTGTTTGTGTCGAACTCAATTGCGTCGACATAGCCTTCATTGTCCCCCGCGCGGATGGTCATGGAAGTTATTTTTTCATTATCTTCGAACTCAAATGGTCTGTAGATATTGTCGTTCTTTTCGCCAACAAGCGGGCCTGTATAGCCATCATCCCAGGTGAATTGGAATCCATTGACGACATTAAAGCCATCATAGCTGCGTCCCCAGGCGTCAATTCTCTTGATTTTGTGGTGGCCATGTTCGGCGTCGTAGTAGCTGCCTCCTTTACCACCGTATGGGCCGTCTTCAACACGTTGCGTAATAGGCATGATGTTATGCAGATGCTCAGCAATACTGGGGAGAAAATGCTTGTTTGTTTGTGAGGTTGGAGATTGCCTCAAAAGATAACAAGATCATAGATTCAAGAGACAAAAGTGCTGCTATAGACAGGGAATCTTGTTCTATTATATAGGTCCTAGCTGGATTGAATCATCTGGGCTTTAGTGCTGCATGTCTATGACACATCAAGCATACAGTTCCCCAAATCATGCCGGCTATTTTTTTTCCTTTTTTCCTTTTTTTTTTGGTTCAACATTGTCTACACACCATACTCTAGCGTACTGGCGTCATGATGATTTACTCAATGGTGTCACAAGCACAAATAAAAGTGAAGTCCAATTCATGACATAGGCGGATTTAGAGACAATCAAGTCTATCCAAGTCTAGACCTCTCAGAGATGCTTTGTTTCCACAAGCATTGTGTATGGGCTAGACGCTAGAGGCAAAGATAGAGCCTTCCTACAGTAAACTCCATGCTAAGCAACCTCAGAATGCAAGAACGAAGGAACAATATAGGACTAGCCAATGCCGTTTGCGGATATCTACTAGCCAGACAGGCGTTTCCGAAAATACTCTCGTTAATACAATTAAAGCATCTTTTCGACATCATCCACTAGCCATGGGTTCCATGGGTTAGGGTTTAGAATACAAAAGTGTCCAGAGAGCTCCTGGTATTTTCCAGCTCCGCCTACCATGGAAACTATTATTTCTTGAATTATATTGTTAAATCAACTATCTATGAATTCTTGGTACATTCTCCGCGATAAACTTTCAAGTGAGTCTACCCTGAAATGTTACGTCTAGGTTCGATATCCCAATCAGAGCGATCCATTGTTACATTTGCAGTTACTGAATCGCCTTCGGAGTATTGTTGCCACAGAAGAATAACCCAGGGAAGTCCTTCAAGTGATTGTTCTTGGTTATAGTATCCTTTGGTGTAAGAATCACTGTTTTGTTTTTCCGCATCTGGTAGTTAAGGTTCCGGCAACTTCCTGACAGTGCAAACACCTAGCCAACAATGCATCCCTCTTTGATGAGCTCTTTGCTTTCCAGGTTATTTTTCCTTTTGAACTATTCCACTCCCTGGCTCATGCTGAAGAAGATATATTGTGGGGAAAAAAATACATATCTGACAATCTTGATTTTGGTGCTCTCGGGCCTGTTTACAGGCTTGTGCCATTATATTTTCCCATTACGGAATATATAGAGATTACTAATTGTGAAATTTTCCATTATGACTTTTTGGACAGCTGCGCCAGGAAGAATTGTACTTCCTGAGGAGCAAGCCTGATGAGAAAAAACAGGATGGATATGTCATGCTGCTATTGTGGAAACGACTAATCCAGCTAAGTCTTATTATAGAGAATGGGCTAGTCTAGTACTAGCGATTGCTAGGCTGAGCAGGAAGTAGCAGGGGAGGAGATGATATTAAGCGGAGTAGTAAAATATTAGGCAGAGGAGGCTGTGTTCTGGAGGTGATTAAAGTGACAGTTCACTCAATGATTTGAATGGGAGATGTGAGGTGGTTGAATGGGAAGATGAGAGGATAGGACTGGAATGAGAAAATGTGAGTATGAGTAGCGTTTTGTACTCTGTGCAATCGTGCTAGTCAAAAAGGGAGGGGGCCTGGACATGGGATAATACCCCCATCCAGTAACATATGCAAATCAATACACATCTATTGTCCCCTTCCCAATAACCTCCTCGAGGAAATCAAACCCTTTCCTCTGCAACCACCAAGTCTGTGACCCAACCTTCATCGTCGCCGCAAATGTATGTTCCTCCCCAGGAATCTCGGTCATCCCACACTTCACACCTGCCTCTTCCAGCCTCTTAAAATACTCGCGGCTCAAATCAATAGGCACCAGCGTATCCGCCGTGCCGTGCACAATATACGTCGGTGGAAAATTACCCGAAACATTCTGCGCTGGGTCAACCAGCCTGTACTCCGGATCACTGCTTTGACCCTCAGGGTAGATTGCGGAAAGTATAGTTCCGGCCGCGATCTGGGTAAATGCGAATGCGTCGCGTGGTTGAGAGAAATTGGGACCCTTGGATGCGCCGGACTCGATTTGACCTTCTAGCGAGACGGAGCTCTCTGTCGGCACGGGTTTTTCGGCGTAGACTTTATTGATGAAATCGGTTGACAGATTGGGGGGCAATTTAGCTCGGACGTGGGGGAGTGTTTTGGACCAGAATGGATCGTTGAAATTGACTGCGCCGTAGAGAGAGAGGAGTGCTTTTGGTGGTTTTGGGGTGTTGAAGCCCTGTTTAAGTTAGCTTGCTTCTTTTCTTCTCACCCAATATACCTTTAGAATGCGTTGAACACATCGAATGGACAGCATATCCATTCACAGATACTCTGTGTATTACGGAAGTTGAAAGAAACATACCAAGCTCAACGCCAGATGCCCTCCTGAAGACGTCCCAAACGCAGCAACGTTCTCCAAGTCCGCACGGTACGGCCCATGCTCTGCCAAAAAGGTGTCTAGGTGCCCGGCATGTATCCACGCCAGCAAATCCCGGATATCCTGCATCGGGCCCTCCAGCAGGTTTACACCCGGACACAACCGGTGATTCGGAACGAGCACAATCCAGCCCCGGTCGAGGCAGTCGTTGATCTGAGGTATAGACACCATGCGCGAGTGGCCGAGCATGAAGGCACCGCCGTGGATGTTGATTACTTACCAATCAGCATCCCTTCAAACATAATTTACAACTGGAATATGACCCTAAACTCAACTGGTATTGAACGGTACTCACCGACAGGACAAATCTGCGGAGTTGCGGAACCCGAAAGGGGAAGATAGATGTCCGTTGTGATCTTGCTGCCGTGGACCTCTTTGTAGACGGTCCTTAAAGGTTTTCCGCCACCCATGCTTGTTGTAGTATTGGTCCGATTTATGAGCTACGGGTATCACTGGCAGGTTAACGGATAACGGTTGAGGAGGGGCAGTTTTATAGCTGTCAGCCAAGCTCCAGACTAAGTAGTTCGGGAATTCCGGGCGGGGCGGTCGGAGACGGACGGATTGCGGGAGGGCTAGTTGTGTTATGAATTACAAAACGGAGAAAGCATGCTGCGATGTCCTGTTGAGGTTTCACGGCCCTATCATGAACGGTAAAATGGGGTTTCGGACATCCGCCATTAGAACTACATTGCCGGCCAAGGGACATGCGGACGCCAAATGGGGCGGCGACTACGGGCAGACCCTGAGGCCATTGATTCTCGCAGTGGAGGAGATTAATGGCGAGGATTAGATAGGAGAAATCGGCCTTGTAATTCTGTTTCTGTGGTGACCGTGTTATTTATTCCTTGCTGTTCTTGTGTATACTAGAATAGCCGATGTGTGTTCGGTGACATGTTCATGATTGATGATTTCAATAGAATAATTGTACATACCGATGAGCGGAGCATGTCGATTACTTCGTGGAACCTGCGTCAAGCAAGGTTTCTGGTGAATGCTGTGCTGGCTTGCGGCGCAAACATTAATGGTGGTAATTCCTATCATCCTATGTCCACTATCCCTGCCGAGACCCTCCACATGAACCGCCACAAAGAGACTAATCTCTCGTGGCGGTTGTCTGACCATCTTCTTGGGATGCCATATTTTCTCCTCTTTCAATGGTACTGCACCATCCGGAGACGCGGCAGAGTCTTCTCAGTATCACTTTAGAGTATAGGAAATACTATATTAGCCGGGGAACGAAGGTTAAAGTATGAAGTAAAATCTTCGATTGCGCAAACGAGGGAATATCATAAACATACGCATTCCATAGCTAACCCATTACACAAACTTCTGTGTTCTGGTCCGAATCCAAGGACCGGCATAGTACAAGGGAAGCGCCAACGCAATCACCGCCCACTGGATACCCGCAAACTCGTAGAACATCTTGTCGACGCCCTCACGCGCCATCCACGAGAACGATCCCTTGGCCAGCCCAAAGGCGACCACGTTCTTGGACGCGTTGACCAGAACCAGCGCCTCGCCGCTCGTGGACGGGTACGAGTCCACCACATACGAGAGCATGACCGAGGGGACGAGCGTCAGGGACGCGGCGGATAGAGCTGCACCTGCGGCGGGACCGATGTAGTGTCGCTGGTGGGCGACAGAGTAGCCGAATATGATTAGGCCGATGGGGCAGAGGAGAAAGGGAACGAGGAGGGCTGGGAAGCGGTGCTCCGGTTTGTGGATGTTATTGTTGCGGCGGCGCAGCCATTGCGAGAGGTAATCGGTGAGAGGGCCGGCGATAGGGAAGGCAATGACGGTGCCGATAAAGCTGCTAAGGGTGAAGAGACCGAGATCGGCCGACGTGAAGAGGTAGGGAGGCGGCGAGAGAAGGGATGGGCAGAGAGTTGAGATGGAGACAGTCCTAATATCGTCAGCACACGGTGATTCCAACTTTTTGGTATGGAAACTGAATGGCTTACCCTCCGAGAATGACACCATACATGATTGAGGCGAGCAAGACTCCGGGTATCATTATCATCGGTAGCGGCAGGGCAAAGGCATAGCCCAAGAATTTCAGAACTCCCTCTTTACGGGCCTCCTGTGAGATACCGACCCTGAACAGTCCCTTCCAGTAGGCCAAATAACTAAATGAATCACTGCTCGCCCGCGAAGATACCGTTGCAATGTGTCGGTGAGAGACCTTCTCCAAATCCTCCTGAGGCTCGGGCTCAGTCGCAGTCTCGGTCTCATAAAGGGTTTCCGGCAACAGGAAAAAGGTCGTCACGAAGTTAACGGCAGCAAGGATCAAACACGGGTAGAAGAACCAGCGCCAGCCTTTCGATGCAATCAGGTAGCCGGCAATCACGGGCCCAATCTGCGATCCGCCCGAGAGAAAGAAAGCGTAGGTAGCCATCGCACTGGCATAGTTGCGTTCGTAGAATAGGTCTGTTAGGGCACGTTAGACGATGCTCGATCTAGAATCATACTTATGCAGATGTACCTGCGAAGATACTGGGTCCCAAGGACTCGATCGAACCATATCCTAATACAATCAGCGGACGCGTGATCATCAAGACCCAACAAGACATACCGAAACTAGCAAGAACACGTGCTCCCATGAGGCTATTGTAATTTTTGGCGACACATGTCCAGATAATACCGGTCAAAAACATCGCCATGGATATGAGGACAATAGGACGCTTGCCAAAACACAGCGCCAGAGGCATCCAGAAAATGTTTGCTAAGCCCATGGCCAGCACGGAGTAGCTAATTAGGTCAGAGAGTTTTGCAAAGGGAAGGTGAAGATCCTCTGCCAAGCTTTCGAAACCAGTGGCTATCCCAGACTGTACCGATGTCGTCAGTGCTTGGTTGTCGAGGAAGACTCGAGTCGTCATTACGTACCGAGTACATATTGCCCATAAATACAAACACGTTGACAGTGAGCAGGGCGGAATATCTCACCCGCCGAGGGAAGATCTGTTGAATTCAGTCATCGGCATGGCCCTCACAGGATAGGCAAATGGCGGCTAGAGCGATCGCATACCCTGGGATCGATCTTTGATTCCGCCATGGTGTTGTTCACTGGGCGGCCGGAGTCCATCAAACTGACAAGGATGTATGTTGTGATGTGAGTGAGAAGTTGTAGTCCTGCGGCAACCGGACATCGTAGACTGAGAATGCAGCCCAAGGGAGAGCACAAACATATATCTCGTCCTTTCGGCAACAGCCTGCTTCTCGGCTATGCTGTTCCTGACCACTGCAAGCTTCAATAATGCACCCAACTTGTCTTGAGCAATGTGTTCCCCGTGGGGTATTGGTCATCCGTGGACGACACAGTGGAGCTAGATGCGCCACCTTGCACCTCGACAAGCCAGTCATATCCGTTGCTTGTTGAAAGAACCGGATATGCCGTGCACGCAGAAGTGTATCGGGTCCATTTCGGGTCCACATTCGGACCCTTTGATTCGTTGACTCGATGAGTGGTTCTCATTAAGTTTTTAAACAATGACAGGTACCTGTGCCAGAAACTGATGTACACCCGAGATAGACGACTTGACGCAGTTGTGGTAAGCAATTGTCTTGACTCGGATTTCGTACAACACGTAAACCCCTGCATGGTTGACGCGTTAGATTCTTAAACCGTGGAACTGATCCAGAATCTCCAGCTGTCCTTTACCCTGCAATTGTGCCGAGGGACAGGGGATCCCGGTCCATATGACATGTCCCGGTATTTCCGAGCAGCCCATAATGCTGTGCAATCATCTACTACCTTACAGAGAAACGGCCCGGCAATTTGGCAGCCAGCTGATGGGCTGATGGTGACGCTTAGTGGGCTGCTTGAAGGAACTGTACAGTATTAAAGTATTACGAGAGCTGCTTCTTTCGTAGGTCATTTCCTCTTCGCGGTTGTTTTGTCTCTTCCCACCATATCAGCAATATTTTTTGAACTCAAACAATGGTGAAACTCTCTTAAGAAGATCATCTCTGCATTGTATTGCCATGCTGGCCTTAGTGATCTGGTTGCAGCAGTGTCATACACACTTACCAGTTATATAGTAGAATCAGTTGTGATATTCACTCAGCACAGCACTGATACCTGCCATCCTATTCTCCCTTACCTCGCCCACATAGGCCACTAACTTATCTTTCAAAGATGGTGCAGTTCTAGGTTAGCTACTTAGCCACACAGCACATAATACCCATCTACCATAGATTCTCCCCCTGTATCTGAGCTTACAGAAATCCGACAGCAAAGCCATTATTAAGGAGACTTTTAAGCAACTTAGTCTGTAGACTCATTCCTACTTCTATCACACTATTGATATTCCTTTAAGAGACCATGGCTCCACAAGCCAGATGGCAAACAGCAAGAAACGAGGGATGAGATCTTCTTGTCTTAACTTAGGAGATCAACGGCGCCTTTTCTAGTAGGTGGTGAGTATCTAACCTTCTTTTTATACTTCTGGTAGGACAACCAGCTGCCTGCGCATACAGAACATGCGCATAGGTTCAGCCTTGGTTATATGGGCTACGATACGATCAAAGATGATGAGAATGCGATTAAGTAGCACCCTGTATTGTTCTCCAAGACGTCTCCAAATACGTAGTTCTTTTTCTTTCTGGCAGAACTAGATAACTTGTATCAGAGACTCGCATTATACTATTACTGACCCTGATAGACCCTTGCGAGTGCATATGTGTATTATGAACAACAGTTAATCATATATACAGCCGTCCCCATCCAGCAGCCACGCACAGTATCAGCTATCCAACATCGGAAGCCCACCCAAATCATCAAACAACCTCGTAATCCCTTCAAACGAGTAGTCGGGTAATCCAAAGCCGTATGCCCACTCCTATTTGATGATTAGTATCCAACAAAAGTCAAGCCTATCAAGATCCTCCCAGGTCCCAACATACCGGGATATCAAAGCCAGGCGGCTCCTCCTGTTGATGCATTGCATGAGCGTGGATACTGGCATCATCGCCATCGTCACTGGCAGGGGCGGGCCGAGGTTCCGAGCTGCGGAAGTCCTTCAGGTAGTTCTTGATGATTTCGACGGACTTTTTCGCGACGACGGACTCGTCCATCGCTTCTAAAATCTCGACCGCCATGTCGACAGACCGTAATAGCGGGATTGTCTCCGCACACATTCCCAGCTCGGACATGGGGAGGAGAAGGGTCAATGTCGCGAACATGACGTAGGTTGTGTTGTACCACCTGTTACAATATGCTCGTTAGATCTCCATCCTTTGCCGGGGTTGGTTCTGGTGGTGGGGGATGAAGGGTACCAGCAGCGGAAGAACGTGTGGATGCGGAAGACGTCGTATATGACCTCGATTGTCTTCGTGGCTGCATCCAGGCACTTTGCGATGGTTTCGTCTGGCTCCGTGGGGGTGTGTCGCAGTTTGCGAGTGAAGTAGCTCAAAAAAGGGCGAAACAGCAGCATCTTCACGTTATAGTATCCTTTGCAAACTCAGCGGCTCCATCGGTCTACTATAGATCCCTGAGACTTACGGATCTGCAGAACCAAACGCTGTCTGCGAGCCCATTTAGGGTCTTTCAATGCGCCGCTCGACGGCTGGTGCCCCAGGGTATCTGGTTTAATCCGGTCCGGCAGCCGGGCCATCCACTTGTGAAGGTCTGCCTCGATATCTAAAGCGGCCTGCAGTTTTTCCTGCAAAGTGATGCGCGAGTGGTAGATTCGGACGGATACGCGCCGGATAATCTGAGCGAAGTCCACCATCCAGGGTATAATGGCGTATTCGGAGTCATCGCGCTCTGGGAGGCCGCGGTTGTGATATTCGTCCATACCTAGGGTGTCGGGACGTCCGATAGAGAAACTGATCTCACTGGAATATCATCAAGATGTGGTCTGGCGTCAGACACATAGTGGACTTACATTTCGAGAGAGAATATGCCCCTACCAAAAAAGGGGCTGAGTACCATGATCATGAAGTATGCTTGCTTGTACTCACCACCAAGTCTTCGAGATCCAGCCCGAACGTTGTTCGTCTTTTGGATTGCGTACATGTCGGTTGAAACCAACAGCCAAGCAAGTACGTACAGCGAGGCCCAAATACATATAAGCCACTCGTGTTCTAATCAGCAGTTGTTCACCTAGCAGACTGGATGGCACTCACAGTTAGGATTTAGCTCGTTTTGGCATATTTTTGCCTTGGGTCATGTTAGCCCGACGTATATCATAATTGGCAAGCTGCATTTACCATCAAGTATAAACACTGAACTGTGTCCAGATTATTAGAAAAGTGCAGGTGATTCAGATACATCCGCCCTTCACTGAACAACTTTCGGCTCCATTCGAACCGCGTCAGTCCCCCTAGCGTCTTCTCATCCCAAACACGGACCAAAGCTCCAAACGAGAGTACACTGAGGTACAAAGCCACAAAACTCGGCTCCGGCTCCCGAGTCCTATTGAACCATAGATCGCGCGCCCGGGAATAGAAATCCTCCTTGTCGATCAACGGATGAATGAAATGGATATTCTCAAAGTACCCATTGATGAACGCGTGCGCATGCTCAAAGTAGTAGTTATGGTCCTGTAGTGGCGCCAACTGCGCAGAACCAACTGTGCAAGACGGCGAGAAACTGGAATTATGCAGTGTCGAGATTAGCGAAAACCCCGCCTCTGGGGCGCGAGAATCCCATTGTTTTTCGGCGCAGTCTTTCTCCCTGGTCGTTTGAAGATGTCCTATCAGTGCTGCCGATGAGGAACTGCCGTGAAACTCGATCCCGTTGGTGTGATGATTCAGCCCGCTGATTTCGTGTTCGACAGTGTCGCATGCTTCTTCCTGCGGGTCATAGGGCGACGGTAAAGCCTCCCTTGGAGTAGTTCCGTTCGGCGGCATAGACGAAGGTGTAGCATCGATGCTAGCCCGGGGAGCTGGTCCGGGTCTCGAGCGCGTCACAACTGTTGGCGGTTGATGAGCATAGTGGGAGATGAGTTTCGACTCCGCCACGCGCAGCTTTGCAGTTAGCTCTTCGACTTTCGTTTCTAGTTCGATTACATAGCTAATAGAGTCAACAGAGCCATTATCGATCTAGAACGAACGAACTATTGGAAAAATACCTGGCTGACTGGCCGCTTTCGCGCTGCCGGTAATTCCTCTGATACACGCACTCGAGATGGTTTCCTGCACGTGGTTAATCCTCTTATCCTATTGAAGCCAGTATATGTGACAAGCTTACTCTTGCAGTGAGTGCAGGGATACAATTCATCGCATTTATATTTCTTCAGGCGACACCTGTCACATGCCTGCGCGGCACGTTGTCGCTTCGGACGCTGTGGGGGAGTTGCAGAGGATCGTTGAGGCTGATGCTGCATCATCCACGCATATTTGTATCGTTCAATTAGATGATTATATTTCGAATACGCTGTCAAGCGTGGCTGTAGATAGATGGACGTTCGATGAGGGGCCGCGATCTCTCTGTTCGGCAAGAAAATGCGCCGGATATCCCGACGAAGGCTACGAAGCCGGGATGAATTGCCGGTGGTCGCATGATGGATCTCCCCGTGGGGATTCCCCGCTTCTCCGCTACTCCGCTTTTATGCTTTGCACAAATGAAGGCCCCAGTTATTTCCTGATGAGTATGCCATCTGTATATTCTTGCCTATGTACATAATGAGAAACTACGTAATCATATGATCACAGTTCAATTTCCACATCGAGATCTGTAGCCACAGCCTGCACTTGACTGTAGTCCCATTCGGGCTCCTTGTCAGGCAGGATGGATCCCTTGAACGGCTTTCCGAGCCGGTGCACCAGCGACTCAATGCCATCACCATCAGCGAATGAATACAGCCGGACATATTTGCTGTCGAATCGCAGAGAAAACGGCTGACCAGCGGGAACCACCACTGTCTCTCCCTCATGGAACACCGTGTCAGTTGAACCCTTGAGACATACGGTCAAAGTCCCTTCCAGCACACAGAAACAGTGATCTACCGACTTGAAGGTCATGCGCTTAGAAAACAGACCCTCACTGTATACCTTGGACGACTCAATGCTCGAAATCGCGCAGACGCCATTGCTTTGTTTCGTGGTGATGAAGGGTCTGGACATCACACCCCCCAGCATCCATTTTGGGCCCGTGTTAGAGCGCAGATAGTATGGCTCGTGACCATCTGGAATTTTCTCGTCATCCTGAGTAAATTCACCCACCTCGGGAGGTTCGTAGTCGGGTTGGAAGACGACGTCAAACTTGTCTTTTGCGGCAATGACTTTGGGGATGAGGATGGACTTTAGGTCACGGTTGTCATCCTCGGGCACAAGGATTCCCTCGTACGGTTCCGAGATATAGCGGAAGAAATCTACCCAGTCGCCGGGGGTGATCAGACCGTAGATCTCGGTATGGGGTCCAAGCATCTCGGGATTGTGAATTACTTTCTGTAAGGAGCTTTGTCAGTTTAAGCACTAGTGGAACGGAAAACAAGATATCTACTCACAGGAGGCACGTACGCGAAATCGCCTGGTCCCATGATCCGACACTTATCCCCGTTCCACAGTTTCAGAAATCCTTTCGTTACAAGGAACACGTCGTGCGCGTGGTTATGATAGTGGAATCCCGGGGCATCGGATAGCACAGCGCCACTCTGGAAAACTGCCATCAATCCATTTGTCTGCTTGGCCGATGCAAGAATGCGAAAGGTTCCCTTGCTACCGGGGATAGTAATGCGTTCGCCTTCCAATTGAGGGATGGCGTAGGGGACCCTCGACTGGGGCGGTTGATTTGTGAAGGCGAGAGACATGGTGGGAGATGAGTCGAGCAAGATGTTTCGCCGTATTCGCGTGGAGAAAAGAGGAAGATGGATCGGTGCAAATGAATACGCAGAACGGACGAAAAAGCGCTTTTATCCTCAAGGTAAAAGCGCAAGAAGCGCGAATGGTATGAACACTTTAGCGGATCCAATGTGAGGGTGATTGTTCTGCCGACCCCGGATAACCCGTCGGTGGAGAGGTCGGGATATCCGAACTGGTGGGGTTCAGGATGCGAGTCATGCAAGCTAGAACGAACCCAACGTATGATGCTGATTCCCCGCAAATTTGGGGTGATCGGCTATGAAAAGGCGGCAGTGGGCAGTCTGTAAATATAGAAGTGTACATCGTTCGACCACTTCCGCGATGTTAGGTATCGCGTTCGGAGGTTGGTATCTAGCACGTTCTATCGGCTTCAGTTTCTCCGCACGAGAGTCGTGCAATTTTCGGATTGGAAGCTGTAATTTAGTGAGGAAAATTGTCAGTTTGTAGCCATATGAGGATTTGCAGTAGCATTGTCAATCGGTAGATCATGGTAGATGTACGGAATCTAAGCACAAACGAACTTGGAGACGATTTAATAATGTCTGAATTGTACTAAATTACCTTGGTGCTCGAGAGAAGGAATATGCTCTAGCAATGCCAGGGGGAGCGTAAGGAATCCGTGAGTGACCCTCGTCATGGAACCGCCCCATGGGTGAAGGACGGAGAGAACCACCCACTTCAACAATTACCGAGCTAAACGCCCAGATCTTTGAGGGTAGAAGGTATACTGGAACCTTGCTCGTAATGAACTAGGTGCTACCCAGAGTCCACAGAGTCTCCCGAAAGGAGCTCTCTAGACAAACAAACAGCAGAACATTAATTGATTCATCATGCCAGTCACTAATAACCAAGCTACGGCCAGAGTTTGCTTGATACTCGTTATGGGGCTACAGGTGCGGGCAGCGATGTGTCTGAACCCCTAGCTAGTTTGGTGTGAGGCCACGAAAGCTGCGCAGTAGCTTCCCCTATCGTCTTATGCTCTGTTTATCAGTCTCTTATCGTTAGGTACCGACCTTTTCACCCATTTCTACTTTTCTCTCCATTTGTGCATGGTTTTTCGGGGGATTACATCTACTACCCCTTTGTCGGCCACCTCTGAATTGGTCGCCATATTCTATAACGCCCTTGTACTAAGCTGATAATACAAGACCAGGAGTATTGAATTCCCTCATTATACGGAGGAGAGAAAGGCGAAAGTTCGATCCAAGCCTCAACGCCCATCATAGCCGGAGTTTCTAGCAATAGTGGGAGCAAGTATTCTATCATGTGAAGGTCGTGACGCCGTCCTGTTGGGCATAGGCGCGCGCTATAACATTAGTATGTCTTCCTACAGTGTGGATTTTAGTCCACGTCGGCGACGCCGTCATTTGGTTCTATAGTCATGATCAAATGTCACGTTCCAGATCAGGATCACTAACCGATCTTTCATGTTGGCTAGTGAGACGTCCTCTCTTCACGGCAGTATTCGTGACTATCACTATGAGAATGGACGGCGATATATGCAATACAGAGTCGAGAACACAAAACATTCTGGAACTCGGATGCAACAGCCGCTGGAATGCGCTGGATTTGTAAAACAACACTTTCCTAAATAGATGCAGCTTAGGCGAAGGCAACTCGTATTCGAAAGCCACAAACACTCAGCCGCCCCGACAGCATGCGGACAATCGCAGCCTGTTGGACAAGGGGTCAATTCACGGCCTGGGACAGGGGCTTTCATTCATGTCAAAAGTTTACCCGCAGCAATGCCCAGTCAGCTTCCTTTGTTGAGCAGCTTAATCAAAACAAGCCCCCAAGCTCGCAGCTTAACAATGCGCCCCCTGGTATGCCATGCAATGACCCTAGGATCAAAGCGAGATGACTGAAGGCAGAGGCTGGTGTTTAGGTTGCAGCAAAGTACTTATACTAGATCGATTGCCGCTCGGAGGTTCTCAACTGACTCTTATATTTTCCCATATATCAAAATAGTCCATAATGCTCTCTAGAACAACACTCGCAGCCTTTATGACAGCGGCTGCTGCTACTTTGGCTCTCGCTCAAACCAACATCACCGCTGATGTCTGCGCAGACCCCTCTACCTTTACCAGCTGCACAACGAAAGCACTTGCGGACAGTAAGGCATGCACAGATGTTTGCAACGGAAACAAGCTCTGCGTTCTGAGCTGTGGATGCGCCATGTACCAAGCTTACATGAACTGTGTCGGCGAGTCGTGCTGGAATCAGGTACATTTCCTCCTTTTTTCCTCATGGATATGTCTAATCACTCGATGCAGGCGTACTCGTGCGAATACGGCAAGCTGGTAGCAATGTACTTTGTCGAATGTCCCACGGCCTCCGAACCGATCCCTTTCTGGCCTGCACCCGATAACGCTCCCGGCGGCTGCTAGTGTAACCTCGGCAAGGTGCTGCAGGCGATACTCAACGCACAGAAGGAGAGAAATGCATGCTTGACTAACAAGACCACAACGAACGTCATTGAACTCAGCAAGAAGTATACTGCATGTGGGTGCTGCGAGGTCAGCACCCGGTTGTCAGGCTACGTCGCCATTCGCCTTGTCCGCACCATAGTTACTGACAAAAAGGGACAGGATGTACGAGATCTGCCCCGACACCATTCCCGCCGACATGGACGCAGACCTCTGGCTTAGAGTTTCCACCATATACAGCGCCGCCGTCCACTGGAGCTCGTGTGGTAGCGTGATGGATGCATATGACTGTGGAGGGCTGGCTTTGCACCGCCGTCATCCAACTCGAACACGTTTTACAAGCCGGACAACCTGCCCCCGAACGGTACGCAAACGCTGTATAATACTGGCGCGGCGGACGCGCTTACTGCCCCGCCGAGCGGCTCGGTGTTCACCTGGTCACAGTCCAGCGTCACGTACACCGTGACGGCGTCGCCGTGGAAGAATAACTAGGTCAAGGCGACTGGGACCGGTAATGCAGGGACTGCCGGGGCGACTGGGCCTGCGAAGAGTAGAGCAACTGCATCAAGGCAGCTGTCGCTGGGGAATCCCGCTGTCTGGATTCCGGTAATCACTGCAGTTGTTAAACTTATGCTTAGTTAGAGTTGCATTCAGTCCAAGTTTGGGTGAGTTGAAAACCAGCTGGCACCAAACTACTGCAATTTCAAGTCCAAATTTTAGAACTCTGAACCCACCCTAAACCATTCTAATTCAGTTTAAGCTTAACTATATACTTAAAGCTTAGCGCAGCTAAAGTATTTCTGGCAAAGTTATATTACTTGTTAAGTTGCTATTTGCCAACTATAGTTAGATTTAATTAGGATTTAGGTTAGATAGACCACTATTTAAACTAGTATTAATAACTATAAGATGTTATAAACTTATAATATCTCCTTATATGCAAAGGTTTCGTCCTAACTTAATAATTAAATATTAGGTGAACCGTGACTTCATAGCTTAAACGTTAAAACACAATAAAATATATAAATATCATAATTATACATGTATAAAAGTGACCCAACTCTTCCCCTTCCTATTCATATCTTTTAATAGCAACTCGCACTATTTTGTTTGCACAAATCCGCACTGCAATCACCCTTCAGTATTACGCCGAGCTTCCCTCGATGTGTTGCCCTTCCATGGACCATTTAAGAATAATCGCTCTAACAATCTCTATGTGTTCTCTTGTATTTAAGCCTTGCTAAAAAGGCCCTAATTGACTATCTGCAATATTACTACTTATAAACATGGGTGTGATGCAGGAGAAGCTAAATACCTTGATAATGTATATATAAATTGTTGGACATGTTAGAATATGCTTATAACTCAGAGGGAATGACTCTCTCCAAGTTAAATTCTAATAATGTATCAAACAAGTCGCAACAGGACATACAGACACATTCTATCTACATTTGGCCACCATTATATAAAGAACCGCCGGATCTTGGCTTCACGCCAGTCACTACCATCACGGCTGAAAATGATCGCTACGAATGGCATCAGTTGCCTCTAGAAGCTAGCTATTGTTTAGGGTACTATATCAAGATGGAAAATATTCATTTCAATGAAAATCTAATGTTCCAAACATAGATACAAAGACTTTGTCAACTCGCTAGATGAGCAGACTTGCAGAGAATAAATTTGCCTTATGGTTGCTCCGTGGTTTCCCTCAAGAAGAACTGTTGGTTCTGGCCCTGGGGGCGTTTTGGAAAAGTTATTATTGCGGTCCCATCATTAGTCCCATTATCTCGCACATCAACTACATTCGCAGGGTATGCAACACTATAGATACTGATATTGGAGGGTTAGCTCTTTGTCTCACTAAGGCTTTGAGAATATGGGAATAACTTACTAGTACGCCCCGCTGTCGTCCTTGACAGGCTTGACCTTCCAGCGTACTCGTTTCTCTCGCGGGGGGATCAGATTCCCTGTGATCTGTGCTGTACCGTCGCCTGGACGAGAAGAGGATGTCTAGTATTAGCGCAGCCCACATTGAGAAAAAAAAAAAAAAAAAAAAAAACCGCTTACGTACCACCCGAAGCAGTCAGATACGTGCCGGACTTGGCATTAATGATGAGGTACTCATCAACAACGCCAGTATAAGCAAAGAGAAATTGCTGATCTGGACCCCATGTGGCATCGTCGAGCTTCCGACTAGCAAAGGTGTAAGTCAAACAAGGCAAGCGTTGCTGAGACGGAAAACATACTAGAGTTGCAACTTGGTGCCATCTGTCTTTTTTCCGCCGTCCAGGTCAAGTCTCTTGTCGACAGATCGAGCAACGATGGTATAATAGCCAGGTCCAGTAAAGTCACTCATGATTGCTGTAATTCTGAGTAGTCACTTCAAGGACAGTTGGGAATACTCGAACTGATGAAGAAAGAATTAACAAACCAGAAACAGTTGCTGGAAGATGGCGGTTATTTATACCCTTGAATCATCTCCAGGATCGCTAAACTGCTGGCATTGCCATTAGTCCTGTTGATTCCTTTCGGCGATCGCCGTATTCTGCTGGGATGTTTGCCAAGGCCGCATTTCATCCTTGTAATATTCGAAGCCATGGGTGCTGCCTTAGTGGGAGCTCTGCTGTGGTAGTCTATCCTCAATGCCGCCGTTTGATGCAGATGAGCACGATAGCCCATTAGTATCGTATGGACTATCTCAGTGATTCCATTGTAATAGAAGGGTCGTCGAAGGCGAAGATTGCCAACTGGCACTGGCACATAAACCCCTTGGCTTTTCCCTTGCATGCCAAACTTTGCAACTAGACAAAGGGCTGAGAGAAGTTCAAGTGATTGGCATTTATAGACTGGCTAGGACCTCAAGTTATCGTATACCAAAAACCAGTCAGAATACTCCTAGAATGGCCGAGATATGAAGCTTCGAACATTGCGCTTCAGTACTGCAATATAGTAGCGGTGGTTCGGTGATTGGATACATTAGAACATGGAGACCATTCTCTAATTGCCCTAAGCTGAGCTCTTCCTAATGGCAGTGATTGTCCAATGCTGCCCTGTGTGATTCCCATCGCCCAAGAAGGGGTTGTGTGTATCCGCATACGTGTCAAGATGCAGCTCTGGGCCTGAATATGCATTGCTTAATTTCCACGTGCCATCACCCCAGCTCTCCACTGTCCACTGCTGCCCTGAGTAATTCCCTGCTGTCGCTAAGTGTGGCTTTGTTTTGTCATCCCCATATACATCCAGAACCCTGTTTGCACCGAGAAACATTGTGTAGAGCTTGTAGGTCCCGGAAGGTTGAGGAACGAATTTCCAGTACTGGCCACTGTAATCTGCGGAAGGTGCCATTTTTAAGAGCCCCTCTTTGTTGTCTGAACCGTCATTTTCCACGTCAAGAGCTGTGGAGGTGCCGAGATAGGCATTTGTGAGCCGGTACCAGGTGTTAGGATCAAAGGAAGCCGCCATGGTGCTTTAAAGAGATGCAAGGTTAGATTCTCGTTTATGTAGATTCAGCAAACCCTAACAAACCTCTTTGAAGCAACAGGGGTGATGACACAACTAAGAGTGTGATTACAAGTTTGAACAAAAGTGCTTGTGGAAGTTGTGGATCATCTGTGAACGACCCTGGAGGTCGTCCTCTTAAGAGTGATACTTGTCTCTGCTCGTTATGCCGTCATCTTCGCTTGAGCTACTTAAACCTTCCAATGAAGGTGGCTCCGCAAGTAAACTCTGGCACTGATTTTGGTCCAAAAATAGTCCATAATTCTATTGCTCCTTAGACTGATTGCCCGCGTCGCTTATCCCCCTGCCCTACTGCATTGCTGCCTGACGATGTAACCTTGTCTCACCCGCCTGCAGAATCAGGCCTAATAAGCTCCAAGGATATCTGTACCAGTTTAATATCCGTCACGAAGCTTTGAAATATGCAAAATGAGTGTCGGCTCTATAGTCGCCCAGACCTAAGCAAGGGCAGTGTCCGGGGCTGCAGTAATGTGTTACTGGCATAGTGTTAATAGTTTCTTGAGGGAGTTAATAAGCCTCGTAGAATTTCAGCGAGGTCCTTCGCAATGATGGCCATTTTCAGGCGTCTGTCTGGAACAGAATCATCGGCCGTCCAGAACTTACTTAGTCGTCCATTGAATGTGATTGTGGCGACCTGAGATTCTGTGACAACAATGCACTAAACATGTATGGCGTGCCTCAGGTGGCCCAGTTTGAAATCAGCGTCATCCATAATAATGTCTTTAGTTGTACAAGCTATGTAGTAATCAAAGAGGGTTAGGGAAACCAGATATGAGCCAGTATTTCTAATTGGCAAATAGCCTCATGGGAGGTGTATTAGCCACCCTATACATGCGTAGTCCTCCTTATATAATTAGCTCCGGCATTGAGAGCGGGTTCAGAGTGTCGCATTTTGTATGGGCAGCTCAGTGTCAGTTCAGTAACTTTATTAGTGCAAGCACACACTGAGCTGTGTAGCCTCAACAGAACTGCGCAATTAGCACTATTCTGATTATGGAGCCCATGTCTCTACAATATGAAGAGATTTAATGTTGAAATTTTACGAATATCTTCTAGGGATTTAAGTCTAGTATGGGCCCTTTTGGTGCAATTACTACAGGCTGGGGCCCTGTGCGGTGCCTTTGTCTGAGACTCCGCTTATCTAAAATCCCCCCTGTCGATGAGCTCTTTGTCCATGAACTCACTCAATGTCGTAAACTAGCTGCCGCTGATTGAGTGGAGTTCAATCATGCAGAGGCGTAGAACTTCGGCTTCCGTGATTGGGGGAAGAACTATATCTGAGTGGCGTGCGTTCCTGGCCAAGTTTATCAGGGTGGGGGCATACGAAGGGGTGCAGTGGAGCTGAGAAGCTGAATCACCCAAGGGACTAGTTACTGCCTCAAGGCAATGAATACCACCGACGAGCCTGACAGTGGAAATCCTTGAATGCTAGCTAGAAAAGAGGGGTCTTCCCTTTCAGTTTTGATGCAAGAGTCAGGTGGGCTGCTGCTAACAGGCTGTATAGGATAGTAAGCAGGGCTATATGGATTGCGCCAACCATTCTGCTGAATCTGGATGGTGAATGTGCCGAGAAGGATGCTCAAGGATCAAGGGATGGAGGTACAGTATTGAATTCTGGAGTTGGTTCCAGGCCTTTATCCAGTTTGCATGGAACATTCTACGGATCACCCGGCCCGGGCCGATATAGTTCCATCTTAAAGATATCGAAGGGCGGGGTAATGAAGCTCCCCCACATGTTAGGTACGGCTTCCAGTTTTCATGCGGTTTGCATAACATTTAACTGTAAATATCAGAATCATGTGGTTCAGACCAATAGTAAGCCTGGCGGATCTTAGCTCATGGAGACCTGGTAGTTTACTGTAGGTCTTCTTCTCATTTGACAGTATCCGAGCCGATCACTGTTTTTTCTGCTTTGTGATTGTTGGTGTGGGCGCACTATTGACTTGCGTATGCCATCCCGGACATCCTCGAAGTGTACTTGCTCTGAACTGAAGGCGCGCAAAATGGTGGGCGGCAGAGGGCGGTCGAGCCCGTAGGCAATGAGGAAAACCGTCCTCTTTGTTCGTCGCAAGCTTCGAGACGGTGCTGGTCCAGCTAACTTATTCTTAAATCATGGTTATTGTCACAGGTAATGTCCTCGTATACATATGTCACCACCAATGAATTCCCGACAGAGATGATTATTCCCTTATATAACCCAAACACTAGATATTGAGTGTTTATAGTATCTATATCGAACATCACCTAGTAGGGTATCAGCTCCTCTTTCTGGGTTTAGGCAGTTCCTTTTTAACCGTCGTCTTCCACATCTACTCCGTGCCGCTAGGGCCGCAATTCCTGGTCCAGAACGGGGACATCCTCCGGTTGAGCGTGCCGAATTGCCCGAGCAGGACCTGTTTTGCGCAGAAATTCGACGACGCAGCGGATCGTCGTAAGTTTCAGTATTTCCATGTTCCGTGAGCCGCAGCCAGGACATTGCGAGAAACCAAGAGGAACACAAAACCGAGAAACATGGTCACAACGGCAAATACTTGCATGCCCATATAGGTTGAATCATGCTGCCTTCCCAAGATCGCTCCCATAATCGGCAGGCCAGTAAGAGTGCTGCTAGATGTCAGTCCAGTAAAAAAATAGAAAACCATTCAAATGGGGCCAACGAAGACCTACGAGATAGCTATAACCCCCTGATAAGTACCTATCTGTCTCCCCAGGGTCTCTAGTCTGCCGGACTTTGCGCAACATGGCATCATGATGCTAACGAAGGCGCCGCTGAAAAAGCCATATGCCACAGCAAAAACGATAAGGCCGGCATTTGAAGAATGGTAATCGAAAGGCAGCCATAAACAGAGGATTGCAATGCAGCTTAGGAAGGCGGATGCGACGATGATGTTAAAATATCCCACCTTGTCTCCGATGTGCCCGGGGATAATCCGTCCGAAAAGGGAAGCAGCACTGCAGCTCAGGTCAGCTCTACTAGGGACAACAAGATCGAACAAAACTTACTTCACAATAGCGATCAGGTAGAGGGCCAGCGAATCCGACATTCCCGACGATTGGGCCATGCTGGGAAGATAATCGAAAGGTGCCCATAACCCCCACATCACGAAATATGAGCCGAGGGCATAGAAAGCGAAGCCTCGGTTTTTGAACAGCTTGAAATCAATCCATGCCATTTCTGAGTCCCATTTCCTAGGAGGCAGGCGCGCACTGAGAAGAAAGAAGGAGCCAACTAAAGCAATACCTATGAACAGGGCCGTGTAGCGTACCATGCCATTGAATCCCACGTCTTCCATAACCAGTTGCAGAAAGAATGGGAATACCACGCCCCCTGGTCACATATCAATCAGCACGTCGTAGACACTGACAGGATAGTCTGCTCCTTACCAATACTACTGCCCGCAACAGTAATTCCCAGAGCAAGGCCTCGCTGCTTGACGAACCACTGGCTCACGCAGACCAAGGAGGTGGTGAAGATACCTCCAGCTCCGAGTCCATAACCAATTCCCTGCGCCAAGATGATCTGATAGTATTTGGTGCTAAGGCTCGTCATGCACAGTGAGAAGAGGCAAAGAAAGGTACATGGGAGCATGACCGGGCGCGGTCCGTACGCATCTACAATGCGGCCGAATAGGGAACCTGGAGCCCAAATGAGAGCGAGCTGGATTGTAAAGATCCATGAGATGTCGGAAGGACTGTAGTTCTTCAACAGAGTCTCTTGATAGGTGGTTTGGAAGATACCAATGCTGTCCAGATCAGCAAAAGGACCGGGTCACAAAGCTTTTTCGCGGAGGGAAGGACTCAACGCGTTCAAGAAGCCCAAGGTAGCGAACAGACCCAGGGAACCGCCAGCGCAACATAGCCAACCTTGAAGGCCGCCCTCTGGTGGGAGAGCTGAGTCCAGGGCAGGGCTCTCAGAGACGACGGGGGGTCGTATGGCCTTTTCTTCATCTTGCTGGGTGCCGATGGGCGACTGCATGGCGCAGTCGGGCTTTCTGATGATTGTGCTTCACAGTCTACAGTGATTAGGCGGCGGTTAAAACTTAAAACAGAAGTCCAGCTCGCCATTTATAAGCAGATACTAAATTACTACTAAAACCATAGCTATAGCGGGTTGATAGCGGTCCGCGCGTTCCGCACGTCCCGGGCAGTACTGCGGCCACATAGTAACTAATGACTCAGTGTCCCGCCGGCACTCACTAGGGCAAACGTGTTCCAGGCAGACCTCATCATGTTTCCATTTCCTGGTTCAAAGAGACTGGCAAAATGCAGCATCTCAGCCAAGAAGCGCGCAACGTACGCCCCGCAACTGAACCAGAACATGTAGATCTTGTGTCCAAGATTGTGGTAATGCACGAGAAATCTACACCCGCCCATAACATGTTCACCAAAGGCCGCGCCGATTACAGCATCCTTCTTCAGACGTGGATTTGACCTGAACGGCCTGCCCATGAGGAGTCACCCAGGTGACTCTCACGTATGTGCCAAATGCCGGTTGGAAGCAGTGGTATGGCCCAGGCTCGTTGCCATCCAGAATCTACATCTTGTTAACCATGCTTCTTTGCAAAATTTCAGCTAAGAAAACTCACTTGAAAGATCTGAGGGCATTGATGTCAGACTCATCGTCGCGAAATGTATATCCAGTGCCATTAAAGCAGAGAACAAATTGCTTGGGGCCTGTGCTGGGATCCATCTCATGCAGGACTTCAGGATTCACCCAGCCATTTAATAAGATGGCACATGCGGAGGTTTAAATATCCACACTAGTTTAATTAATGGATCATTATCCGTTCATAGCTGAAGTCTATTTGAAATTCTAAACACCCAACCATGGTACTGTCAATCTGCTCCAGATAACAGGTTCAAGTTTTGGTTATGCATTGAGTTACTAGGATACAGGACACTTTGAATCGCGAGATTCAACCTGTTTCTTCATTCCATATCCAAGCACCCGAAGGTGGGAGCAGTCGGACCCGGAAGAATCGGCAACGACGGCCGGTATGTGACGGGTCAGATATCATCATATCGCCGCTAATGGACCACTGTTTTCCCTTGTCATCAACGAAGCTTCGCGAAGGCGGATGCCTGGGGCAGCATGGCTGTCTTCAGGAATTGCCGCACTGGGTGTCATACTCAGAGTTCCAGTATTAATGCTACTTTTCCACAACTAAAGATGCTAGTAGGTTATGTCAGACCTATTTCGCTCTATCAATAATAATTTCCAGAAGTCATCTAGATAGTGTAACCACTTGTCATGGGGCTGCGGCCAAGGTACGGTCACTGTCTCAGGGAGGCTTATAAGCATGTTCTAGGCCTGGTGATTCCTATGGTCTCACCATTGAACCTTTTTGGTGTTGGGGTAGTAGTTGCCTAGAACGCTGCTTCTTACATCACTCTTAATAGTAAAGATAAGCTTACTCTTTATGGGGAGGTTATACCTGTAATAAAATAGATTAGTTTGTAGATAGATAAGAGATAACCTGAGAATTTAAATAATTAATAAAGAGTATCTATTTATAAGTATCTAGATTTCAGAATATCTTACAGCTATTAGCTAGTAGGACTAGTAGAAGAAAGTATACTAGGAGAATCCTAGTAGCTAGATGTTATTCACTGTCTATAGAAAATTAATAGTTTATATAAAATATATCGTCATTATTATCATACTAATCTCGATCTGAAATATTAATTCAATATCTATGGCGCTGAATGGTGGTAGTCAAGAATCATTCTTAGCTATAGTGATCATTCAAAGGTGGATGCACATATATAAATAAACCACTGTCACATTCATACTATGATACTAGCCCTGTAGCGGGCAGGGCTTGCTGAGTGCTCGAGCCTACTAGGCACTCGCGATCTGCCTCAGGCACCAACGAACTCCTGTCCAGTAAGGACACCAGCAGTCACGTGACCTTCGTAGCAATCAATGTAGTAATCTATCTGGTCACATGATCTCATCCACCATTCGCACACTCCTTTCTATGGTTGGCCGCCACGGCCCTAGTTAGAAGCCTTCAGCGATTTCTTACCGTCCAAATCTAGGTCATAGATTTATAAGGCTTCTAGCCCGTGACAAGCCCCTGACAGAAGTGATTATTACCTTATACCTCAGTAACCCCTAGGTATTTTGAATTGATATTCATATATTTAAATAGCCTAGATCTAGGGTTATCTAGTGATATGTAAATTTAGAGGTTAGTGATTTGTATCTAAAAAGTGTGGATTAGTTGATCTAATCTGATAAAACCGCGAAAACCATAACTAATGGTTTAACTGAATCCGAATTGGTTCCACCCTAGGGAAACTGAAACTGGTGCGATTCCCTAGGCTAGGCACCGAAATTGAACCACTGCGAGTTCTGTGAGGGTTGGATTCGTTTTAGCGATTTGGTTATGCCACTCAAGTGATAACTATCTTAGTTTGAAAATAATTTCAAACCACCGTCATTCAACCCTATAGAAATTAAACTAATATTCCAGATATAGATCACTATGATGATAATTACCATATATTCCATATAAAAATGATAATCTTGCATATTTGATAGGTAGGAGAAATTGAATTCTGAAAACCATTCTAATTTTTTATATTGCCTAGGCCAACCGCCCATCTAGATAGGCTAGTGCTGCTGATCAGGCTTAGTGGCGGATTTTGCGGTGAAACTCACGAATCACACCAAATTAGACCACACCAGGGTGGGTTCTGATTTTCGAACTTCTGATTTTCAAAAGTTGAATTTGAAATCGGTGTGGTTCAGTGACAAGTTTTAGTAGGCCATGACTGAACTCAGACTGAATGCAATTCTATGCTGGGGCTGCTAGATGACTTACCGAGCATAGAGTATCTACACCTGATTATACTTATCTACATAATAACTCTCCTATTCTGTTTTCCATTTAATTCTTGTGGAATATTTATGCATGAGAGAGACGGGGAGGATGTATCACCTAAAACTAAACCAGACAAATAAAAAAACGCCTTTATGGAACAGAATTATTTGGGACGAGATTACACTTTTTCCAGTAGTAAGTAGTATCCAGCTGTCCGCGGACCCCGAGCATTAAGCTAGAGCAAGTGCAGCACAGATCTTGGAGCTACGCTTTCTTCCTGTTGATATCGGGGTCCGGAAGGAGGTTAGTTTACCATAATTTCCTCGTCTAGGACCCTGCTCTGATAGCTTCTTCAATGCTCATAAACTTGACCTACCTTCTTTGTCTATCCGCCGTCTGCCAACACCCCAGCTCATGGCTGTTTCCATAATCGAGGATCCAGAAAACTCATCTCTAGATCCTGAATCTGAGTATCCAGACGGTGGTTGGCGCGCATGGAGTGTGGTTCTGGGCTCCTGGTGTGCTATGGTGCCATCATTTGGGCTGTTAAATACAATTGGGGTGCTCGAAGCGTGGTTGGCAAATGATCAATTAAAAGACTACTCAAAGGCGTCAATAGGTTGGATTTTCAGTTTATATTCATTTTTCCTTTACTTTGGAAGCGTTCAAGTTGGTATATAGGCTCTCGTTCCTTAATGCATGTATGGGCCAGCTGATGATTACAGGGCCCGCTTTTGACGCCTATGGGCTAAAACCATTGCTTATCCCTGGATGCATAGGGCTCATAGGCTCTATCATGGTATTAAGTGTGGCGAAAGGTGTGTTTCACTCTACCTCCGACTCAACCAAGGCCAACTGCATTCTCACTGCTCCCTAGAGTACTATCAATTCATGCTTGGATTCAGTGTTGTTGGCGGCATCTCCTCATCAATGGTCTTCACTCCCAGCGTCGCTTGCCTTACTCATTGGTTCCTGCGACGTCGTGCGCTAGCCACTGGCATTGCTGCAACCGCTGGTGGATTCGGTGGCATAATCTTCCCTGTCATTATCTACAATCTTGCTGAAACCGTTGGATTCCCCTGGGCCATCCGTATCCTGGGCTTCATCTGCTGCGCATTCTGCATTCTCTGCATCCTCTTCCTCAAAACACGGCTTCCACCATCTACCAATGTGAACAACAATGGGAAGATCAACCTTCGTGCCCTGTGCGAAATGCCCTTCACTTTCCTCACCATCGCCATTATCCTTATTGACTTCGCCCTTCTTATTCCACTTACCTACCTACCATCCTTCGCAGAAGCACACGGTCTGCCTCCCTCGCTCTCCTACCAACTCGCCTCCATCCTTAATGCGGCTTCCATCTTTGGTCGCGCGGTCCCAGGCTATTTCGCTGACCGTTTCGGTCGCTTCAACGTCATGATAATAACTACCTTCATCTGCGCTCTGTTCACCTTCACAATATGGATACCCGCTGCGTCCAATAAGGCTGCCATCTTCGCGTACGCCATCTTATTTGGCTTCTGGAGTGGCTCAGCCATTAGTTTGGCCCCGGTCTGCGTCGCCCAAATCTCAGAGACTGCCGAGTATGGCCGTCGTTATGGGACTGTATACTCGTTGGTCAGCGTGGGTGCACTGGTTGCCATCCCCATCGCTGGCGAGATCCTCTCAGCCAACAGCACGCCCTATCATGAAGATTACACTGGATTAGTTGGGTTCTGTGGAGGGATATACTTTCTCGCGGGGGTGTTTTTCAGCCTGTCCAGATGGAAGTGTACCGGCTCCCTAATGGAGGTATTCTGAAACGCACAGACTGACTTGATATAGTTTGGTATGCTCCCATCTAGTGGGTTACTTGGAATTGGCGTTATAATTACATTCTTTCGTCTAATAAGTTATTTTTCTTGTCAGATTACGCATGCTGTACTGCAGCGCCCTGAACAATAGAAGGAAGTGAAAGGTTCTCGCGTTCGTCCAAAGGGCCTACGAGCAAGCTCCAGCCGTCCTCGTCAGCATGCCCGCGACGCCCGCTGCCGCCTCCCATCCCAGCCACCACATCAGCCCCGGACTGCGTCCCCGGCCATTGGGGACAGGCAATCCAGCCATTTTCCATTTGACTCATTCCACAGCATCCCACCATGCCAGTCACGGCGCCCTAACCCGCTGGTATCTCCATGAAACCAGCATGTACCCATTAGGCTCTTTTCAACTTTTTCAGTGCCTTGGGCTCACTGTTCGGTGTCGGTGTGTCGTTTGCCGCCTACAACCCCGAAATGGTTATTGTATATGGATCCATTACTGGGCTGCTGCTCTTTGTCTCTTTTGCAATCAAATTTGCTATCTAGTCAGAGGCAAAGCCTCCAACTGAATGGATAATCTGAGGTCCCAAAAATGGGCCAAAAAAATTCTGCCGTCAACACATGATTAAGAATTATGATCGCGGTCTCAGTACACATTAATTAAGAAAATGGGGAATGCTTAGTAGAATAAGAGTCAAAAGACTGTAAGGAATTTCAAATGCACATAAACAAACAATAGGAACTGCTAGTTGAGATTCTGTTACTTAGCTAATCAGAGTGTTTCTTTATGCCTTATTTTTATTGTAGCTTAGTTAATGCACACTTATTTGGGCTTCTGCCCACTATATTCTGTTCCCGCGGCCTTGTGAAATCTGGAGTTGCAGATGTGGCTTAGGATTCTGAATTGTGCAAGGACTACTTGTCACAAGATATTATCAGTTTTGCAGGTCTGTATCTATATAGCTGGGCTCTACAATTATTTACGTACATGTTATCTGCTTAAGTGTGAAGTCACTTATTCTTTGCAACTAAGAAGATGCCGGTAGGTTATGTAAGACCCATTTCACTCCATCAACAACGAATTCCGGCTGAGCCATCTGGAGACAGTGACCACTCTCGGTGGCGAAGACAGGCGCGCTCTTCGTAGACAGTTTCAAGGATTTCTTCATGAGACCCTCATTCTTGGCGTCGACCGTCTTGATCAACTCTCTCACATAGCTCCTCTGCTCCTCAGTCCCATTCCCTTTAGCTACGCCCGCCTTGTACAATCCACCCCAATCCCTGCTTCGTGTGCCAACAATCACATAACCCGATTTATCTCCAACCAGTGGCTGCTTCTTACTCAGCTCCTTCTTCCGCAGTGTCTCGAAATTTGGCATGTAGTTCTCGAAGTCCTCCTTGCGTGCAATCAGCTTGTACTTCTCGGCTGCTTCGGCCGCCCTGAATGCGTCCCACTTCTCCCGCGTCAACTTGTGCTCCGCCTCTACGCCCCAGGCAGAGTATGGATCAACATCCGCGGCAACAGTCCAGAAAATCGGATCGCTCACATTCATCACCAGGGCGCTGTCTCATGGTTGGCATCCACAGGCACCAGACCAGCGATTTGGTCAGTTCCTTTTAGGGCGATGTACTAATGTATGAGCATGCCGGCCCACGAGTGCCTTACAAGGATCAGCGGGTTCGGGATGGGAGCGTTTTCAATCAGGAGGGAGAGCTCCCGCGCAACGTTCTCGGCCGAGGGAGCGAGCGGCGAGGCCTCTGAGTTGTGATAGCCGGAACGGTCGTAAGTGTAGCTTCGCTGCGAGGGACACAGCAGCCGCACCACGGCTTGCCAGTGGAGGACATCGCTTGGCACGCCCGAGATAAATAGTACGACGGGATCTTTGGAGCTGCTGGGCTCTGGGCCATGAGTGTAGAGCGCCAGAGAGCGAGTGCCCATGTTGACGAGGCGGCCGTTCGAAGGGAGGCTTGAGGCCATTGTTGGGAGATGGTTTTATAAATTCTTGAGGTTTGTAAATTTCTGATGAGTGGTTTGTGATATTCAAGGCCGTTCACCAGCTGAATCAGTTGCAATATATCGCGATATAAGTGGCAGAGTGATGGAAGGTAAAGTGATGGAGGTGCAGAGAGTCGGAGAGGGAGCCGATGGATTCCCTAAACAGGAAGGGGATGGAATAGCTACAGCATCAGTCTCAAAGCAAGCTGTGCCGCAATTTTCTGTAAGCGCCTGTTTAGTCTAGGTACTGGGGGAGGAAGTAAATCCGAGTGATATTACTGAACGGTACAGAAGACAAGAAAGACAGCCTCTCATGAAGATAAAGCATGTGAATACAAAGCTTATAGCATGATTCGACGTTATATTTAATCATACCTTGTTTGACAGGGTCCAGGCTTGACACTACTACGTACCTTAGTATTCCGCATGCCCTGGCGTAACTATGGTTCGGATGATAGAATTCTATTTGCCTAGTATTGCAGTCTAATTGGGCTTTCAGGGATTTAGCCCTGAGCGGGAGCAGGATTAGGGATATGGGAAAATGAGGGACTTTAGCCTCGGATTAGTCCGAGATAGGATCGCTTGAGCTGGGTCCCGCCTATTGTCTCTTACATTTATATCAGAGAATGCTCTCATCTGCTGTTGCTGAGTGTATAGAGCACTGAGTCATTTGCCCTGGCATAACAATGGCCGCTCCACAGCGCCCGCAGGTTCCGCTATGGCTGGCATGGCACACATCTCCTGAGAATCAAGCGTCACCCTCCAGACCAACAATCTTCAGTGAGTCTCTCCAGAGGCGGTCCTCCTCCTCGGGATTGTAGGTCTGTTTCACCCATCCCACTCCAAAGACCTGACCATCGTCCTCACCCCGCTCCGCTTCTCTGATATCCTCCAAATACTTCCCACCACGATTCTCCCACTCTTTGCCCACGGCAGCCCAGATTGTTGTCGCTGCACCCTGTTCCGCCGACTTCAAGATCTTGAGAATGTACGGGTTAGTCATGAGCCCCTCCAGGAACTCGGGGGGCATGTTGCGGGAGATGTCGGTGTTGATGGCGCCGGGATGCAGACTGGTGGCATGCAGTCCTTGAGCACCGTAGTCCCTCTCGATCTTGTTGGCCAAGTACACAGCCGCCAGCTTGGAGTTGTTGTAGGCTATCTCATGCTTATATCCGCCCTTTTCGAAATTGTAGTTGTCACTGGATGGGAGAGTGGCGGCGCGGTGTGCGGAGGAGGCCACTACAACCACGCGGGAATGAAAATCGGGCGTCACGCTGGCCAGCAGAGCTTGCTTTAGCAGTTGGAAGAGCAAGAAGAATCCCAAGTAGTTTCCGGAGAAGTGCGCCTCGATCCCATCCTCGGTGAGAGTGTAGTTCTGCAGGCCCATAACTCCCGCGCTGTTGTGAGGATGTTAACCTGTCCCTTTGTGGCGGAGAGGATTTGCTCCGCACCAGTGCGGATGCTCTTGAAGGAATCTAAGTCCATCTCGACGAGAGAGACACGGCCGGGCTCAAGAATGCCAGCCAGGTTCTTGTGAGCCTTCGCCAGGTTGCGGGCAGTTAGAAACAAAGTGGCTCCTGTGGCCTTGAGGGCGCGAGCGGTCTCGACACCAATGCCTGACGTGGCACCAGTAACGACAATTATTTTTCCAGCCAGCTTCCCTTCAAGACCCTCATCTTGGATGATCTGGAGGGCGGTTGGCCGGGCATCCCCGGCTCCTTTGGGGTCGAGATGCGCAGCAGCGTAGGGACTTGAGGAGCCCATCTTGTGCGGCTCGTTGCAGGTTGCAAGCGCTCAGGGTGTGAAGAGAAAATCAGTGAGATAAGCTTGATGAGGTTCTCTATCGTATAGTCCACGACCTTGGGAGTGGTGTCCAGGTACTTATGACTTTTGAGTGTATATAGATCTCCCCGAATCCCTGGATTTGTCATCTGGCCTCCTGTACGGCTGCCAATAGGCCCCAGTATAATACGCATCGCGGCCGAACGAGCGGTCCCCACATGGCGGATATTGCGGCCGCATTCTCTCCCCATTTGCGGCCGCCTCAGTAGCGGCACCCCCGCTCTCACTCTCGGGTTTTTGGAACTGCGTCCGAGGCAGACAATGTTCGTCTATGTCCTACACCCTCAGTCAACACTCACTCCCTATCTACGCACATCATGCAGACTTCCAGTCGTGATTCGAGCCTCGAACTGGCGCCGCAAGCTTGTCAGTCGTGCAGATCACGCAAGAGAAGGTGCGACAAGGCACTTCCCAAGTGCTCCTCCTGCATTAAGTACGGTAGACCACCCCGTAGATGCAGCAGAGCTGACTCTCAATGCCGCCACAGACGAGGCCGGTCATGTGAATACTGGCGGCCAGAAGCTAGCAGGCACTCAACTACCGCATCAGACCCGAAGAGGGGATGGTACCCCTCTCCGCTGGACGAGGACCAGCCACGGGATGTCCGCACCATAGACTTTCCGACCATCCTCTTCCTCGACCCGAGCTTATTGCAGTACGGCCAGGTGGACACAGCACACAGCGCGGTGTCTGTTCCTCCCCAATTCCTGCATCTGCTCGGTGACCTGGACGAGATCCGGCTTACTGCAGGCCAGTTTTTCGGGCACATCCATCAGTGGATGCCCTTTATCTCGAAAAAAAAATTCTATGATATGTACCTGCAGCCTACATTCCACACTCACCCCGATGTAGTCCTGTTGCTCTTGGCTCTCAAGTTAATCACCACATTCCCCCCGGCTGGGGCGCGGGGTCCCCGCACTCCCTTGTATGACGCCGTTCGGCGTTTCTACGTGGAGGTCGAAGACGCCTTCTCCATTCTTGTGCTGCAGGCTGGGGTCCTGGTGGCGTTATATGAACTGGGCCATGGGATCTACCCGGCGGCGTACCTGTCGATTGGGGCATGTGCGCGGTACGCTCACGGGTTGGGCATCAATGTTTCTCGCACCGTGCCGTCCCGGAGAGTTCTTACTTTGGTCGAGGTGGAGGAACGGCGGAGGGTCTGGTGGGCGATCGTGATTCTCGATCGGTACGTCGCTCAGCTGCATGGATACTGTATGTGCTGTAGACTAGTGGCTGAACCCTGCATAGTTTCGTGAGCATCGGCTGTCCGGGACGACCCTTCGCCACAGCCGATCCACGTTTGGACGATCTTCTACCCGCGGATGATGCAGCATGGGACCAGGGGGTAGGTCTGTACACATGTGTTCCGCCAGTCTCTAATGCCTAGAGTAGACTGTGCGACCAGAGGACCTCGCGGCCCTGTCTTCTCCAGTGACGGGCCATATGAGTAAGTTTGCTCTGCTGTGTCAGGCTGGCCGACTCCTGGGACAAGTCCTGCACCACCTCGGAAGCGACGTCGCCATCCACGACGAGGTCTGGATGCAGCTCGATCGCACCTTGCAGTCGATGCTGGCTGCGGCATTGAACATTGACCGTCCGGACTATGACCAGATTACGTTTGTGTACAGGTTTGTGAACCCTCTCTTACCAGTTGATCAAACTGATTAGTCTCAATCGCCAGTGCGCTTGTCGCCCTGTATACCCCGTGGCTTGTCCCCGGCCGAGCCGCTGATCCTCACAGCGACCGGTTTCGACGGGCGCGAGTCGTGCTGGACCAAATCACGGACCGGATCAGCGCTAACCTGGTGGAGCGTCAATGCTTCCTTGGCCGCGACCCAGAAGACATGTCCCTATGGGGGCTGTACTTTGCCTACCGCATCTGCGGGGCGCATATGGCGTCTCAACGGGAATCGCCACATGCGGCAGTGATGATACAGAGTCTGCGGGAGGCGTTTCGCACAATCAAGGTGCGGTGGAATGTGGCGGGCGTGTATCTGCAGCTGTTGGAGGCCCAGGAAGCGATTCATCTGGGGATTTGATGGTTCTGCTTGGATAGTTGATACAGCTTTGGTAATTGATTTGACATCTATCTTTGCTGCCTTCCAGACAAGCGATTGGAAAATGACACATTGATTCTTCCACTTCATCTCTGCCCATCATTGTCCATATAGACCACCTGACCCTCTTTTATTATCCCCATACTTTTGCCTACCCATCCTGCCCGAGACAATAATTTTTAATTCTCTCTCTATTTTTCCCTTCCTTTTTCTGTTTGTGCCCAACGTGGTTATACAGCCGCACTTGATATTGAATGTAAACTCTGTATGCTGTTTTCTATGACGCCATACGCTCAGGACGACGCTGCAGCTCCTTGACCATATCGATCCCAACTTGGGTAGCCTCGTCCAGGCTCTCCTCCGGCAAACCAAGGAGATCATTCTGGGCCTTGGCCGAGAAGTCGCTCGCATCATCCGGGTAAAACGCCCTGGCGTAGAGCAGTTTACTAAAACCAGCCATGTTACCACCCTTAACCAGCGCCAGGCCATCTTCGTATCGCTTCTTGGTGTCCTCATGGGTTATCGTCCAGTCAGCGTCAGTGGTGCCAGTGACGCGTTTGACGCTCTCAAATATGTCGTTTTGGCTGACGACAAAGCTCTTAAGATACACGCCGTTGTTGAGGAAGGTCGACAGAGTAAGGCTCTTATCGTTTTCGTCGTGAGGCCTCTCGTTCAGGCTCAGCACCTTGGCCACAGCGCGCCCAACCTGCGATAACGTTGAAGTAGTGATCTTGGTATTGCCATCGTCGTAAATTGTCAGGGAACGCTTGTCAAAGTCGAACCCGAAGCGCGCCTCGCCACCCGCCAAGCTGTAATCGTACCAAAAGCCACAGCACACCGTGATCCACTGCATGCCGAGCCTCTCGATCTCGTCCCGATTAGCCTTGGCTACGGGCCCCAGCAGCGTGTCCTCGCCGAGTTTAATGTGGTCAATGTCGCCCGCGTACCCGTTGGGCATGATGTAGGGAACACCAGCTTTAGCGGCCGCCTGGACGAGCTTGCTGTGGGTGTCCCGGGGAGCAGTAGGGGCCATGGTTATAATGAGAAATTGCTGGCCCGTGAGCGCGTCGACAATGGTGGCCTCATAATCATAGTCGACTCGGGCGACTAGGACGCCCTCGGGGAGTCTGTTGCTGCTATCCTTGCGGGTGAGGGCCGTAACTGTGTGTTTTCCGGTTTTAAGAAGAGCGGCGACGATGTGGGATCCAACAGTGCCTCCAGCCTAAGGACGTTTGTTAGTGATTGTGTATGTGGCGCTCTTAGGGACATACCTACACCGACAATGGCGACTCTCTCAATGGCGTTTTTGAAGCCGGCGGGCTGGTCCTTGGCGTACTCGGGCATTTTTCTTTTGAAAAGGATGTTGAATTGATGAGTAATGTATATTATTGTTGTGGTCGTGGTGTTATAGCTATTGTTGCCGTTTGAGCTTGTGGTATCTGGCTTTTCCTCCCTGAAGCAGAGAAGCCGGTCAATTTATATATTCCAGACCCAGTCTCAACATCTCTACAGAGCTAGACTTCTATCCCCTTCCCTCCATCTCAGCCTAGTGACACCCGATCAGATTGGCCAATACTGAACAACTACCTATTCGCTGATTTGGCCAACCTTCAAACTTGATCCACCCAAGATACTGGCGTCCCCGTTCGAGGAGGCCCTATGGACGGAGATACAGCGGTATTACTAATGACCATCCCGCAGCTCTCGGCCGCAGCGGCCGCAGACAGGGCTCATTGACTAACACTGGCACTATTCGAAATTACCTGACAGGGGTCGGCCTGATTAACTCCGCAATAGCCGCACCGCACCGCACCGCACCTACATTGAAAGTGGAGTTAAGACAGCATAGCTGATATTATTGACCTCCCGGGTAATAAACCTCCGCGCATATCTCCGCAGTGCTACGACGATCAGGTTGGAAATACGACCCAGATAAAGAAGAGCCTTATGACTCCTACAGAAGCTCAGCCTCGAACCTCAAGGACCACAAACTATAGATATACTCCATGGCAGGTTGTCAGCACATAGAACCAAGACACAAAGTCGGCAACGCCATCATCATCTTGGCTGATCAAAGTCCATACTACCAGTTCTTACTAGGCTGGACTAACTCGTCCCGTAAGCCTTAGTCCGCCTAATGAATCACGCAGATACCTTTCCCAGACAAATTGACAACATGGGGAAGACATCCGCCGAAGCCTCGAATGAGGACTATGAGAATGGCGTAACCAACCAGGACCACGATGGCAACACCGAAGACCATCAGCTCCAACCCTTCAACTCCAAAGTCGAACGCCCCCAGTCCCTCGCCCGCGAAACCCTCTTCGTTGCGGTCATCTGCTCCTCCCAGCTCCTCACTCAAGCCGGTCTTGCCCTCAGCATCGTGCCCCAACACATCATTGGTCGCTCATTCGGCATCGACAACCAGCCTGCCCAGCTGAGTTGGTTCTCCGCGGGGTACTCGCTCACCGTCGGCACTTTCATCCTTATCGCTGGACGCCTGGGCGATGTCTTCGGCCATAAGCCCTTCTTCGTTGGCGGCTACGCCTGGTTCGGCTTGTGGTCGGCCCTGGCCGGCGTCGGCGTCTACAGCAGCTCCAGCTTCTTCATTTTCTGCCGCACCATGCAGGGCATCGGCCCGGCTTTCTTACTGCCCAACGCCATCGCGATCCTCAGTCGCTGCTACGACCCGGGGCGTCGCCAGAACATGATCTTCAGTCTGTTCGGTGCCACTGCCCCCGGCGGTTTCGTACTCGGCGCCGTTTTCTCCAGCCTGCTTTCCCAGATAACCTGGTGGCCCTGGTCTTATTGGGTCCTGTGCTTTGCGTGTCTTCTGATGGGCGCCTTGGCCGTCGTCATCATTCCCGCAACCCCGGTTCCAAGCAAAACAGGGCCTGAAAGTGCCAGTATCTGGCACCGTGTCGATATCTTCGGCTCCATCACTGGCGTGGTCGCCCTGGTCCTCTTCAACTTCGCCTGGAACCAAGGCGCCGTTGTCGGCTGGCCCACACCTTACACCTACAGCATCATGATTGTCGGCATCGTCATGTTCGTCGTCTTCATCCTCGTCGAGAAGAGAGCTAGCCACCCCCTGATTCCCTTCGGCGTCCTGCAGATAGAATCGCTCTTCACTCTAGCCTGCATCAGTGCCGGCTGGTCCAGCTTCGGGATCTTCGTCTTCTATACCTTGAATTTCCTCGAGGTCCTGAGGGGCCAGACCCCTCTGCTCACGTCCGCCCAGTTCACTCCGGTCGCCATAAGTGGTCTGTTTGCTGCGGGTACCACCGGTCTGATCCTGAGTCACTTCCGCACTTCGACCGTGATGCTCATCTCCATGACCTTCTTCCTCATCGGAGGGATCATCTTTGCGACTGTACCAGTGCACCAGACCTATTGGGCGCAGACTTTCGTGGGGATCATCGTCCTCCCTTGGGGTATGGACATGTCCTTCCCCGCTGGTACCATAATCCTGAGTCGGGCTATGCCGCGGGAGCATCAGGGTCTCGCCGCGTCGCTGGTCAATACCTTTGTCAACTACTCGATCTCCATTGGGCTCGGGTTTGCCGGCACGGTCGAGGGACAGGTCAATGATGGCGGGAAGAATGTTCTACAAGGGTTCCGTGGCGCACTTTACATGGGTGTTGGACTCTCCGGCTTGGGTGTAGCTGTTGCTTTGATATTCTGTTTTGTGGAGCGGCATCAGTCCAAGATGCCAGAAAAGGCGGCGCAGGACAAGAGCGAAACGCAGGAGTACGTTTAGATTCTTCAATGGCACGTTTACATAAATACAGTACAGAATTTCATCCCGGGATTATAACTGAATGTCAGGACCGAGCATCGATAGATATGGCTCGATAAAGAACTGGTCCCAGTCCACCTCCCAGTCCATATCTGGCACAGCAGTGTTGGTTTCGGATGCCGGCTGGGCCGGTAAGAATTGATAGTTCGCCTCGACAGCTTCCAACTGAGCAAGTTCTTTTCGCTTCTTCGCCATATTGAGACTGAGTAGATGCCGCGCCATCGACAACGCCTCACGCGTCAGGATGGTGTCGGCAGCCTTGACAAGGTTCTCTAAGCCCTTGAAGGCGGCACCAATGTGGACTGAGGAGGCCGGCGTGTCGATGGCCAACAGGATGCAGGTATACTGGAAGACGCTGCCAATGACGTTCCAAAACAGACGACCCTGGTTAGCTTGCTGCTCGGCTGCCTCCACTGCGGCGTTGCCGCTATCAATGACGACCTTGATGACCTCCTCCGGTATGCGGGTCTTGAGCTGGTAAAGGCGACGATAGAAGCAGAACGCGATGTCTGCCTTGGTGACCACCAGGAAAGGATGCGTCGTTTGGAGCCCATCCAACACCTTGAGACGCCCAAGTAGCTCCGCACTTGGGGGCGGTGGCTGTGATTCGAGCTGGAATGGAGAGTTGGGCGATGGGATGATCTGGATTAATTGAACGAATTGGTCGGCAACGGACCCTGATACCGGGATGATAGACTGGCAGGTTACGGCCCGAAAGTGTACAGGCGAACGATCGTACTCATAGGACAGCATGTTATTCCCAGCCCACGAGATCCAAAAAATCCTCCTCAGTCGGTCCGCATCATGTCCAAGGGCTGCGGCGCCGGCGATGGACGCCATCTTCTTGATGTTCTCTTCCTCGTGCAGCCCTATCGCTTCACAGAGGTGCATTTGGGTGCACGAGGCAATCCAGGCATTGCTGGGCCGGGTTGTGGCGCGTAGGTAAAGCACTCGCATGCCCCACGCGACGATATGGTCGATACCATGCAATCGCATAGACGCCGGATCATCGAGAATGGCTTTGGCGTACTGCACCAGGTCCGACTCCCGCGGGTGTCTGTTGGGGGACAGGAACGACCCCAGAGCGGCCACACCAGCGGCCACGGCGGCAAAGGCAACCGCATTGCTGCCCGAACTATGATAATAATCTCGACATCGCTGAGCATAGATTCTCGGGTCCATCACGTCGCCGATAGGGCCCAATATCGAGAAGTACACTCCTGAGAAAACGCCGAGGTCTTTCTCCGAGATAAGATTCCCCAGAAAGCAGTGAGTGTTGGATGCCTCCTCGGGGCGAATACCAAAGTTGTACGCAAAGGACCGCATTTTGGGAGGACTGTCCGAGCCAAGAGCCACACTCAGGATGTGTGGGAATGCCATGGCCGCCGATGCCCCGGAGTGTCTGAACTTTTGCTCGTCAAAGATTCCCGGCGAGGTGCCGGCCACGACGGTAGAGCTCTTCGTCGACGAGCCGTCAGCTTCGCGAGAGCCTCGCTCCATGTGAGACCGGCTGCCTGGACTGCGCGCTGTGCGGGCCTGGTTCGTCAAATGATTTTCACCGTCGGGGCTGACGCGCTTGGCTGAGGGCGGAATAAGTACCCCACCACCCATAGTATCAGTGGTGTCGTCGTCGGTGTACCTGCAGTTGTATCCATAAGTGGTGCACATGGCACAAGGATACGCAGTGTCACATTTCCGCTTGCGTTGATGACATCGGATGCATGCTTTTCTCGCGCGCTTGCGCTTGGGTATTGGCGTCGACATGACTGGTAAAAGGCCTTAACCTTCAAAGGCCACTGCTGAGAACATTCAACTGTAGTATAGGTGATCTTCCGGCCCACCGTTTCGGGATAGAGTTGATCGTGTCGCTAAGCACAAGGAGTTGATAATGAGTAAGTTCCTAGGCTCCAATGAGAGAAGATCGTGTCCCAACAGGATTAGCCGCCGCTTCTACGGAATACCGAGTTATCATTGGTGTGGACGAGCGTATGTATCCATTTGGACGTCAGCACTAAAGCTGCATGGATCTTCCCCACTTACAGCCAAAAGTCCAATGATGTCTAGCAGGTAATCAAGTTGGTTGATTGGAGGGGGAACTGTCAACCATTTCGACACATTCTTTATCAGCCGTCACCCACACCATTTGAGTACTGCTTACCGCATGCAATGAGCAGATCATCTATTGCTCGACGCTATAAGCTGTCCTGTCTCTTGATGTCCATGAAATTTATCGAAACAGCAGCATGAAGGTCATCATTGCTGGAGCGACTGGGTTCGTGGGACAAGAGGTCCTTTCGCAGTGCCTCGCCCATCCCTCGATTACTTCTATTGTTGCCCTCTGCCGTCGTGAACTGCCCACCACGCATCCCAAACTCCATGTCCACCGCATGAAAGACGAAGATTTTCTATCCTACTCAGATCCTCAACTCTCTGCCTCTCTCCGAGGCGCAGACGCTTGTATTTGGACGCTAGGCGTTACTCCATCGCGCGCTTCTGATGAACAGGCCTTCCGGCGGGTGACACTGGAGTATACCAGCCAGGCCGCCAAGGCCTTCAGCAATGCCTTTACTGCTTCAAATGACGCAGGGCAAGAAGCCTCTGCCGGCCCAAAATTTCGTTTCGTGTATGTCAGCGGCGGAATGGCTGAACGAGACCAGTTAAAACCTCTGTGGTTCAATGCGGGCTATCGTCGTGTGAGGGTATTAACCCCTTCCTCTTCCTCATTCTGAACGTAGAGATTGACCACCCCAGGGTCAAGCTGAGAATATTCTGCTGGACCACGCAACTGCTCACTCCACCACATTCGAGTCATACATCATACGCCCGGGCATGGTGCTGAGTCGACAGGGGACATTTGCCGACCGCATCCGTGGTTTGGCACCCTCAGTAAGGGTGGACGTGTTGGCGCGGGCAGCGGTCGATCTCGCCGTTCAGGGACATTCGGAGAAAATCTGGGAGAATGCCCAAATTATTGAGTGGAAGGGTGTTCGTGGTCGACATAGTTGATTATGATACAGTCGTACCGATCACTGCCTGAGAGTGGACAGATACATATTTCGTATTTCATATGTTTTGAGCTAATGACTATACTGAATGCTTCGCAAAGGAACCTCAAGAGCGAGCTCATTTATCATTAGAGCGTAGTTTGTTCCAATGAGATGAACAAGGATGCGCCAAAGTCCTGAGAGAACTCCACAACAGCAGTATTAATGGAGATACCATCAGCGGAGAGACATCATTGAAGGTTTGGCACCACATCGAGAGGCAAGTTATTATCACGTACAGACCACCTGCGACATGATCTCGGCGGCAGCACTGGGCCGACGTGGGTTATCGCCCATGTGTCTCTCCTGCCGTAAACGTCCGTCTTAGTACCTGCGCCACGCATGAGGCAGTAGCTGACTCTATTAATAGACGGTTTTTGACATGTAAAGAGAGATTAGACAAGTTGCCGATCCCATCTCAGTCTGGAAGAACCCGGTCACCTCATAGGGGCGACGCTGTGCTGGTCCTAGTCTGGTCCGGTCATGGCCCCAACACCATATCGAGAACCACCACAGCCGCGATGGATTGTAAAACATATGTACTTCACCATTTTTAGAGGAGCAAGCTTCAGACAAAAAGTAAGAGTCTCCTGAGAGATTAACTGCAAGTCAAGATTGTCACGATCATCCTTACCGCCCTAGCGAGGTTGCTCTGGAACTTTGACATTGTGCTTTGTCCAGAGAGCGACACTTGGGACAAACAGGCAACGTATACTTTATGGGACAAGAAGCCCCTGATGTGTCAACTGCGTGATGTTCGAGCCCGATAATTTTGCGTTGTGAGACATTGTGGATGAGGTTATGCCTTTCAGTCCAGCGTGGGCTGGGTGAAAATGTGGGCCTAAACCAGAATTGAGTATCTTAGGAAATGAAAATACACCGTATGAGCTTCTTGATCAAATGAATACAAATTGGACTTTGCCAGAAAAGTATCAACCAGCTCTTACTTGGATATCTGTCTTGTTCCATGGACTCTGACCACGCTATGACCAAGAAAATCAGCCACAATAAGCACTAATGATAGTGAGGATCCTTGTCGATATGCGCATTTTAACCACTTGAAAGAGATGAGAAATTAAAGCACGCCATTTACCCTACCAGGGCCATCTCCGTTCTTGGGCAGGATAGCCTATGAAAGCTTAACCCCTCGTCAAGGGTCCGAAATCCCCTGTCTGGAGGCATCTATTTGTTCACGATAAAGACGCTAAGATGTCTCGTGAAAGCCTACGATAAGCTACTAGCGCATTTCGGTTGAACAGAAATAATCAATGCAATTCGAATCCTCCCCTGGAATTTGTAATCAGTGGCTAAAGCGTTTTTACCAAGGGACCTCTCTCATCTGGCCCTCTTCGAACTCCCACTGGGTGCCTCCGGGGTACTTCCGCTGGTCATCCATGATCAGTTGGACAACCACCTCTGCTCCGTCCTTGGGATCCTTGCCCATAGCGGCATAGTGAGTAAATGCCGTGTTCAGTAATCCTGGAGCGACCGAATAAAACCGGATTCTTCCCGTCTTGGAGGTTGCAGCACCCTCAGCCTCCTCCCTGGCAATGCGATCGTTCTCGACCGACTGCATGTGGGCCGTCACACCGTTCATACCCACTTTGCTCGCGCCGTATGGCGGATAGCGGACCATCTTTTTGGTCATAGCGTTGGCGATGCTTCCAAGGCCCGACGTAATATTGATCACCTTAGGATTCTCTGCCTTGTGAAGCAAGGGCTGGAACGCCGTCGAAATCACTGCCACTGAGGTAAGGTTGACATCCAGCATTTCGTTGGTGACTCTGCGCAGCTCGGGAAGGCTTTGATCTTTGATGAAGCTAATGATCCCGGCGTTGTTAACCAGGACTGAGTTGTTAATGAGTTATGATGTTTCTGGAGAATCCATGAGCTATGGTGTGGAGGCTCACCATCGAGTTTGCCATGTTTCTCCTCGACATACTTGACAGTCTCGAGGATCTGGTCATCGTTGGTCACGTCCAGTGGAATTACCTCGATCTTTGCCTTGACGCCCTCCTTGACCAACTTGGCAGCCGCTTCTTGACCAGCTTCGAGCTTTCGGCTGGTCATGATGAAAGTGCTCGCAGCATTGCGGGCGCCCGCAACCTGAAGGATGGCGTAACCCAGACCGCGGTTGGCGCCGGTGACGAGAATGACTCTACCGGTGGACATGATTGGCGACTCTTGCAGCCGAATGTATGAGGAGAAATAGAGAGCACTAGGATGGAACACAATTAACACCGACAGTATTTTCTTACCCTGAATACGACATTCCCACTCTTATATGTCTCATCTTCTTTTGACGTGATAATAGAACCAGCAGCCGCCGTGCCTCCAACCATGGTTCTAGAGATCAACAGTAAGTGTCGGCTCTCTTCCGACGGACAACAGGGGAACCAGCAGGGACCGCAGGATGAATCTTCCCGCTTCCCCACATTGACTCTGGGGGCGGCCGAGATGGCTAACGGCGTCCAACCAAGCCTTCTTGACGGCTCGTTGACGGCTTTTTCTCGTAGACTCTGTGGGTACGAGGCGTAATCAGGGCGAACCTGGAACCATTAACAAATCGCTTGGCATTGTGCCACACTAATAGATCCAATGCGGGGTCAGGTCAGCATGGGGACCATTGGAGTCTATAATGCCCCTCATGGATCGGCCCGGCACGCTTGATATTGCTTGCAAAGCTTGTTATTGGTTAACCCCTATCTAAATTTTGCTTTTATGCGCCGAGCCTGGGAGTAGCTGCATTAGTGAGATTGAATCAGACTTCTAGACACCGGATAATCGGCACGTTATCAGGTCAGTACATGGAACATTGGAGTCTACAATTGCCCTCATTTGGATTAGCCCGGCACGTTGTTGGTGAGGAGTCTGGTTGGATCCAACAACCCGCACGTTCCTCGAAATCATTCCTTGGTCGTGCGGCGGACGAGCCGGCTCTGCTGCTCAACAAGGCCAACACAGATTATCTGGCGGGGGAAATCGGACGGCGTACTTCCGGTTTATGATGAAGCCTGAGGAGGTATCAAAACAATATACCACTAGGCCAAAAGGGTGTCCGGACTATATCCCAGTCAGGATAGGGTCTCATATCTGTAATCATAGCGGTATTCTATTCTCCAACAGGAGGCCTTTGAGGTCGGACTGAGCCTGCCTCAAATTGGCATGAACAGTCGGATGGCAATTGAACTCCAACGGTGGTGGAAGAAGGCATTTGGTTTGGATATCAGTGTGCTGGAAATCATGGGGCCTGATACTGGAGCAGTTGGGCAAGGTCCAGGTAAATGGTGTGGAGGTGAAAAAGGTGAAAATAAGGCAGCAAGGGCGCTAAACCTAATAAATCGAAAAGAATGGGGAACTCCAACATATAGTAGTCAGGATTCACTAACTACTAACTGACTAGCGTGTGGTTTAGAGCAGCTAAAAAGGGCCAGATGAGTCATATCAGCTTTTCTCCGCCAGGGATGGATGTGATCCCAAAATAACCACTGGGGACCGAATATACTAAGTCAGAGTGTTAAATACCTGCTTCTTAATTCCATGTCTGCTACCCTAAAGAATTTAGGTCAAAGCCTCGCGCGCATAAAACCATTTTCTTCGCCAGCTGCAACTTCGAGGGTCGCTCTGGCTTATGAGCTACATAGCCTCACACCTGCAGATCGCAAGAATCTGGGTGCCAACAAGCATGTCCCCATAATTTTCCTGCATGGATTCCTTGGGTCCAAGCGAGAAAACCGACGGATGAGCAAGTAAGCTACTATGTGGTCTTCTCACACTGTTCCTTTCCGGGCTCACTTTTCAATTGAGGTTATTGGCAAGAGATCTATCGAGGCCAGTCTTCGCTGTAGTAAGCATTGCATTCGAATCATGTCTGATGGCTTTTCAAGTTAACAGCAATGGAGGATCTTCGTAATCATGGGGAGTCGGGCCATCACTTGAAGCACAATTACATGGAATTGGCGTTGGACGTTGCATCTTTCATGCAGAGCCATGGGATGGAGAGAGCAACACTTATCGGTCATTCTATGTGGAACTCCCTTTGCGGGCATCCTGGATCTCTCATAATGCTAATCTACTGCCAGGGGTGCCAAAACCGCTTTGACTCTTGCTCTTGAAATGCCAGATCTTGTCTCCGATGTTGTAGCCATCGACAACTGCCCAATCCATTTACCCTTGTTGGATGACTTTCCAAGGTACCTAAAAGGAATGGCAAAAGTGAATGATGCCAAGGTGAAAACTCACCACGAGGCTGAGATGATCCTGCGAGAATATGAAGATGTACATGCCGCTATTCTATTTCCACCCCTTGTAAGATGGATGCTGACATTGATTGAGCCAGTCTTTAACCATACGGTTATTTTTGCTGAGCAATTTTGTCAAAGATAGGGACTCGCCGTATCTAAAATGCCGCGTTCCGTTGGATATACTCAACACGGCATTGACTCCCTTGGGCGATTTCCCGCACAAGAACGAGACAGTACAATTTCACAATCCTACCCTTTTTATTCGGGCACTTCGAAGTCATTATATCCCGGAGACTGCGTTTCCACTCATGTCTTCCTTCTTTCCTCAGTCACGGATCGTCAATATAGACTGTGGACACTGGGTAGTTCAGGAGCGGCCGGAGGAGCTGCAATCAGGTTGATTTACCTATTTCTTGACCCTAGAATATATCTGCTAACTTGAGTCCTGTTATAGCAGTGGTTGATTTCCTGAAGATCAAGCCTTAGGGGTCTTTGACAGCTTCAGGTCTGGATAAATCTTTCTAAGGGCGCTAGCCCAATGCACCATGGTGTTGAGGGTTGTATATGAGAGTAGAATATGGATAATACTATTATAGGCCAAATGTGAAATATAATATAATGCACATCCACCTTCATGCGGTGCTCTTCCTATGCACCATTAGCACCAGTGATGGCCTGGAGAAGGTCTGCCGCATTCTCAGCAAATAGCATAGGTGCCATGAGAAATATTATCATATCCATTAACGAAAACGGCAGTTTGGTAGGCTAATTAGACAAGTCACACATCAATAACTCTCATGTAGACCTTTCCCCGTCCAGCTCAAATCGTCTTGTCTGACTTCGTGCAGAATCGGCAGGTAACTCTGCCTTTTCATAAGTGAGTGGTCTATGCCTTGTGCCTGGCAATTCAGCCAGTTCACTGTAATCGGAATTCCCAGGCTGATCGTGCGTCGCATTGGGCTGTTGGCGTCTTCGTCGCCGGGACCATAATAAGCCCAGCGCAAGGGCCGTTGCTAAAACCACCCCGGCAGTGACACCCAGGCCGATGCCCACTTTCGCGCCCGTGCTGAGGCTGGATGAATCTCCTGTAGAGCTTTGTGTCTCAGCTGGCGTAGCTTGTGTGGTGGTCACGGCCCTGGTAGCTGGCGGGCTGGTGAAATCAGTTGACTGCCATCGAACCTCCACACCATAAGCATTGAACGAGCCTGGGCTCCTCATAGTACCAGGTTTACTCGTCTCCCGCCCGTCCGTGCCGATCGACGTGTAGGTATAGCTCGTCGCAGCGTCCGTCGGAGGTCCCCAGGCACACAACTCAGTCGCCCACCAGGACTCTGTCGACGTTGCGCTCGGTCGAATGGAGTACGTGTTTGAATTAACATCCCTAGAAAAAAAAAGTTGAAAAGTATACTGTGAGCCTGGCTCCACTTTTGAAATTTAAACGGGTTAGATGCCAGATTGATTTACACCGGACAGCATGTTGCGACAGTCTCCGTCATAGTCCCTGCCATGTTTTTCGAGGTGGTCGCGATGACATAGCCGCTGGGGCATATTCCGGGTGAAAACTACGTAGTCGCTGCCCAGCCAGACGGGAGACATTTTGTGGTATTGATGGGGCCCAGGTTCATCCACAAGTCGTGATTAGGGGCACTGCTGACGGCCCAGAGATCTTTAAGGCATGCGCTGGGGGGCGTAAATGTAGTCGTCAGGGGAAGGGGGGGCACTTGCAGTGGCTGAAATGATAGGGTAGATGTTCGCAACATAAAGAAGGTTTTTTTCTAAAACACTATAGGACCAGCGACAATGTGGAGGACGATGTAGCATTCATCCTACTGTGGCGAGCTGTAAACAAAGGACAATATTGATGTTGCTATTGTGAGTAGGAAGAGGGGTCAGGTTCAGACTCAGGACTCGGGAGGGGGAAAAAGGTAGAATAAGCACTAATGACTAACTACAGTCGTACTTTGTACAGAGTGTCTGATCAGGCCCCCCATAGCCCTAAAATCAAACTACTAACCATTTAAGGCAACGGCCGATAGATCTGTCGAGGCCCGAGGCAGCACGGATACAGTATCAGTGCCTCGTGAGATGTAGAAGCATGCTAAGCAAACCATTCTGCATTTTGGGGCAAACAAGCTCTTTTCCAGCGTTTTGGCAGAATGTGACTATGCTACAGTCGGCGAAGACACTGTCCTGATGGGCTTGTCAAGCACACTTACAGCAAGCAGACACAGAGACACAAGAATGGAGTCACTGAACACAAGTCAGGCACTATATTTCGTGAACAAAGCAACCATATCTGGCCACACAGAAATGGCTCTCCATACTTTGGCTACTAGGACTTAGAAATAATATTGAAGAGAATATCTCAGATACTGATTTAGAGATGTCTGAAAACTCGCCCACAGTGCTGGATAATGCGTTCAGCCAGCACAACTGCATGGTACATGCTACAATTGACCCCTTCGCCCACAAACAGGGTCGACACTTGCGCTGCATCTCCAAGCAAAGTCACCCCAAAGAAGCGACCTCGCGCTTCCAGCCAATGCCACCTAACTCCATGCGGTGCAAAGGCCAAGCACGGAAGGGGCTTTCGGCGTTCGCAATAATGGCCTTGAGCGCTGGCGCCCAGGATGCGTAGAAATCGTCCAATGGCAGCAGCATCTGACGTACGGCTTCGAAGTCATTTCTCTTCTACCATCTCTGATGTCGAACTGGGGCTCAGTATACAACGGATTAGTCTGGTCTGAAATCATTTCCTCCTTTTCTAGTTCGTTGACCAAGGATCCTAATTTGATTGAGACAGGGAGCTTCTGTATTATCTGTTTACCCCTTTCTTCGTGATATTCGAGAACATCGTCCATCATCACAACCACGGACCGACAATTGAGCAGGATCTGAGTTTGTTGGCAACAATGGTAACCTACTTTGCCGACATGCGATCGCAAATGCGCCCGCTGGCTTCTGTCTGCTCCAAATTGCAACACACCGCGGTTGTTTTTCTCCAGCTGGCTCAAACTCATGTTCGTCCTAAAGCCTCGACAAAACCTGGCAGCAAAGCGACTCGATCATCAAAACAAGCCATCAGCTCAAGACTTGATGGCCTGCCACATAGGTCTGTGGGTCTAACTGACGCTGGTCTGGGACAACTTGATATCACCTGTTACCTAGAATGGCTGTCGGCAGACATGGACAATACATATCGGGTGCTGGAAGTCGAGATGCAAGATGCGACTGATCGTCACTCTGGCCCAAGTGATGGAACCGATTTAAGGGAATTTCCAACTCGGGGAACGACATCGGATCGCGTCTTTGATTGGTTTTCGTGGGACGCCTACTATGCCGAGATTGTCTCCTGAGCTGGCAAATCAAGGAGTACGAGGGAGTTACAAATTATGCATTATATATGACATTCCTGCTGCAGTAAATCCATCTCGACGGATAAAGATCCTCTAGTGGCACTTCGGAGTCGCATAAGTTACCCGACGCCGAACCGCCGAACCACACTGACTCTCCGACTCTCCCTCCACTTCTCTTCCCTAATTATTATCATTCCTTCTTAGCTTCTATTTACTCACCAGCATGAATGAACCATTCACCCATAGACCCCATTCCCAGCGCCGCAGCTGCCTGCTCTGTCGCTCACGGAAGGTCAAATGTGACCGACAGCAACCGTGTGGGGGTTGCATTCGAGCTGCTTCCACCTGCATTTATCCCAGTGGGACGGGGCGCGCTCCTAAGCGGCCACTGCAGTCCACGAACAACTCGGCGGTGCTGACTAGACTTGACCGGCTGGAGAGCATCATTAGACAACTGGAAAGCCAACAAACCCAGCAACAGCCCCTGGACTCATCCACAGCCTCTCCGCCACCCCAAGGGAACCAGCGGAACGGTCGTCTCGCTATTGACAGCACCTCCAGTGTCTATGTGAGCAATGTGCTCTGGGCTAGTCTGGGCGATGAGGTCTTCTCTTTACCCCCAAGTTTACATTTCGATAAGACCTGACCAAGGACTATAGATTGAAGAGCTGCGGGATTTGCTACACGAATCCCCATCGAATAACGACGATGACGACGAAGGGGGTTGGCAGGAAGAAACCGATGAACAGGAGGAATCCGTCGGCACGAGGGGGTTGAATGCCGCCATTATGGGCTTCAGGTCGCTCGCTTACTCACTGCGAGACTACCATCCGTCCATCTCGCAATCCGTTGCTCTGTTTGAGATTTTCCAGGCCAACGTCGCTCCCGTGGTGAAGATCTTCCACATGCCGACCCTCACCAAGCTCTTCTGGGACGCGGTCGGGTCGCTTGACACTCTCGATTGCAACACGGAGGCCCTCCTGTTTGCCATATACTATGCTGCGATCATCAGTACTACCGACCAGACCCAGTGCCCTCTTGGCCTACCTCGACCCCACGCCCTTCGTACCTGTCGCTTTGCCGTTGAGCAGGCCCTCGCCCGCGCCGATCTGCTGAATACCCAGAACATGATCTTACTTCAGGCGGCGGCCTTATTTCTCTGTGCCCTGCGCAACGAAGATGACTCCCGAACTGTCTGGTCGCTGACAGCGTTGCTCGTGCATATTGCACAGGCTATGGGTCTCCATCGCGACGGCGCGGCCTTTGGATTACGGCCCCTGGAGACCGAACTGCGACGGCGACTGTGGTGGTTCATCGTCGGCCTCGACCAGCGCTCGTCGGAATATCACGGTTACGAACCTATTGTATCCGAGTCGTCCTTTGATACCCGGCTGCCGCTGAATATTAATGATTCCGATCTGACCGCGGACATGGTTCAGCCGCCGGCCGAGCGAGACGGCGCCACAGAGATGACCCTGAGCCTGATTGGGTTTGAATCCATCCCCATCGTGCGCAAGGTAAGCTTCATTCCACCGCACCGTCGTCAGACAAGAACAACCAGCAGTGCATCAGTTACCGAGTTGTCGTTGCCCGAACGGGAGGCACTGGCCGAGCAGCTCCAGAGCCGCCTTGAGACCCGATATCTGGCATATTGCGATCCCTCTGAACCCTTCCTCTTTGTCTCAGCTACCGTGGCGAGGCTTATCATCGCCCGCGTATGGTTGATGGTGCACTATCCTCGCAAGCGGGTGGATAGTAGTAAAGACGTATCAACAGCCCCGCTGCAGGCGAGTCTACAGGATAAGATCTTTCACCTCGCCATCGAGATCTTGGAGCTCTCCTGCTCCGTCTTGTGCAATCCGAGCATCGCTCACTGGGTCTGGAGATCCGATACCTACTCCCAGTGGCACGCAGTTGCCCTCGTCCTGTCCGAGATCTGTACTCGGCCCCCTTGCCAGGATTGCGACCGGGCGTGGGCAGCAGTGGAGATTCTCTATGACCGCTGGCGTATGAAGGAGCATGCGCGCAAGGGTACGTTGTGGAAGCCGATCGGGCGGTTGATGGCCAAGGCGCGTTATGTCCGTGAGATGCAGTCCGTGGCAGCCTCTGTCGGGGGTTCATCATCGGTGGTGGAAGTGAGCCCTAGCCTCCCCCAAACTGCCCATCAGAACAATGTCACAACAACGTTGGATCCCTTGGATGATATCTTCTCTCTGCCACCCTTTATGGAGATGAGTCCCAGTTTAGATGATCTATTTCTTGTGGACGATGACTTTGTCCAGGTAGGTATGCGGACTGGCTTCTAGTATACTTTAGACTTGACGTAGGGTTCCCTATTTCCATTACGTTTTTCTTTTGTTGTTACGAGAATACAGAGGCATGTACTTAATTTTTAAAAAAAAATTTACTTGTTAATACTTCATATTTTCCAGCATAGCATGAACCATGAAGGCTAGCTACGTATCAACAGATGGAGTCCACCATCATAATATTTATAGACTCTAGCCACAGACATAGCTAACGTGGCTGTTGTTCTAATCATAAGTCTATCAAAGACCAGGAGTAAACCCTTCTGTCTTTGCATTCCAATCAGAGGGGAAATGCGGACCTTCGCCGCCGTCCCATCCCCCTGCCATCATCGCAACGGCCAGAAGCAAGGAAGATGAGGCAGGGAAGTACGGAGTGGGCACCCGCGTGCCGCCAATGGGATTGCCAACATCATCAAATTGAAAGACGGGGTCGAGAAGATAATCCACAGCCTGCTGAGAGTCCCCCAGTCGGATGGCAGTCAGAGCCAGCATGGGGAAATCCCAACCGTATGAGTTGGTCAAGTTCCAAACGTGGTTGATCTTCGTCATCGTCGCGTTGACGATCCCGACGTCCACACCAGGCGTGGGAGGGAGAAGGCCGTAGACGGCAATCTGGCTGGGATGGTCGGAAATGTAGTCGTACGTGGTCCACATATCCGGAAGATCTGCACAAATGGCGTACGCTCCGTCGGTCACAGGCAAGGGAGCCAGGTTATCATGAACATGTACCCATTCAGATGGAACAGGTTGACCTTGTCGACGATTCCACTCAGATGCAATTCGCAGACCGAAGCGCCAGTATGCCAATTCGAAGGTGGGATTGTATGTTGAATTCGGGTTCGTGTTCTCCGACGATGGGTACATTGGTGGACCTAGATCGTACACCTGCGTCGAGGTATTCCACCACGCATACGAGGCCATGAACTCGGCGAGTTGTGTCAAGACGGTGTCCCATTTCCTGAGAGTCTGAGCCGTGGGAAAGGCGCGATACTCCAGCTCGGCGAAATACATCGCGTGCGGCTGCTGCCAGATCAACAGCGCGTTGATCTCGCCCGGGGCCGATCGACCGGATGGATCACTCATCTTACCCAGTCGAGCGCCTGAGTATCCTTGTTCTTTGGCGCGCTCGATGGACGAGGGAAGAAAGCGATTGTATATTCCGAGACTACGGTTGAGGAGCTCCCATTTACCCCATCGGGCCCAGTGGCCTAGATGCCAAAAGACCATCTCAAGATGGAACTTTCCGTACCATCCGTTGTTTTGCAGACCTGATTCTTGCGGAGGGTCTCTTCCCGCGCAATTGACGGCCAGGAGATACTGCGAGAGAATAATGCGCCGCTGCAGTTCTTTGGTGTCTGAGCTTTCGGTGGCCGTGAGGTCGACGAACGATCCAGATTCCCAGTACTCGGCCCACCAGTTCGCTGATTCTGCTTTTACTTTGTTGAACGTGCTGACCTCGGCGCTGTTCTCCGGGGTATAGGCGGAACTGAAGGAAAACGTGGTCTTTCCAGATGGGTTCAGGACATATCGATGGGTTCTGTGGATCGGACCGCTGATACTCCCTTGCGGTAGCCACGAAATGCTGTTGTAGTAGGTTTTTCCACCCAGAGAATGTTGAATTACGGCTTTCTGGTGGCCATGGACGGAAATCCTCGTTGTATGGTTTGATACAGCATCCCAATCACCGACAAACGGCGCTTGAAATGACGCTGCCCCGGTAGTCAGGGGATAGTCGAAGAAGACACTTAATGAACCATTTTGCAGAAGCTGCGAATCTACGCGCACCGCAACCTCGTCCGAGCTCGGGCTTCCAACGGTCTGCACAACTACCTTCTTCCCTCCGAGAACGAACTCGGATGTCAAAAGTCCAGTATAGAGATCCAAGGTCTGCGACATGCTGGACAAGTCTGCCAGCGAGATATTCTTGCCATTGTACAGCAGACCAATCCTTCCAAGGTTGACACGATGCGGATTCGCCCTCAGCCAAGTCGAGATGGCTGCCTCGGCCGGATTTGGCATATCATAGGTTACCAGTCTGCCATGAGTCCACCAGTCCAGTCCCGTAAAGTCGGAGGGATCATCCTGGCCCGGTTCGGAAGGCAGAGAGTCATTGGCCCAACACCAGGAGGACAGAATATTGTACGGCAAAATGGTCTGCAGCCCGGTAATATCAGCTCCAAAGGCAAAGTTGCCATTTCCCACCTGGATGGGAGTCGTGGAGGACAAGTTGGTCCGGACGGGATTGAAGCGACGGACGACCTCCCGCCGGTTTATCGTCGAGCCATTTCCCCCCGCCGCGAGGGCCAGAAATATGAGTATTATAGCCTTCAACAGGCTGGAGAACGCCATGATAATTCGCTGGTCTTGGCGCCCAGATGATGAATGGTCTACATAGAAGCGGACAGTCTATCGCTTCTACGATATGTGAACCCCAGATGCAACGTTAGAAGTAGACATGATTAATCCGGGATGAAGTCCCAAAGGCTCTGCACCATCATGCACTTTTGATGATGTCTCGGTCTAATGTGGACCGACCAGTAACGATCAGACCCTGCAGATCTGCTTGCTCCATTTATTCCATTGGTGCAAAAACCAGATCCTTTCAGACGCGGACTAGGAGACGCAAGTTCCATCCATCCATACGGCAAGTTATCCAGTTGGAGCCGTGACGTCGACAAAACCGTCTTTGATCTAGATCCCGTACCCCGCGTTTGACATTTCCGCTTAGACAAAACATTGACTTTTTTGGCAGGCCGTATGATTCAATATCGGACAAGTAGACCCTGAGAGGTCTTTCAGAAGATTTATAAAGAAGTAATAAAATTAAGTAATTTAATAGATATGCTAGTACCCTTAAGAACATTTATATTCATTATATTACTATTATTATAGATAAAATAAAGAGATTAAAGACTAGTTATACTATTCACTATAGAGTTGCATAACCGAACTGCTAAAAACAAATCCAACCCTCACCAACCCTGCGGCAGTTCGATTCCGGTGCCTAGCCTAGGGAATCGCACCAGTTCCAGGTAGCTATTGGCTTGGCGGCGAGCCATTTTGAGCTTCAGGGCGAATCATCGCGCACTGACTAGGGGGATATGGATTTCTCATCTCGCTTAAGCTCGCTGGCGGCTCGGCGCGCATAAAGCGATGCTACCATTCGCCCCTTCCAGTTCATATGGGACTCGAGTTGAGGCTGATAAAAAGCACTCTGATCCCTGATTGATTGAGAGACACGTGGAGTTTGATCGTCCTCCCTGTTTCTAGAGAATGATTTCATAGTAATAGATAACGAAGACAGAATATCGCATTCGCTCGCAGTCGTCGCCTCAAGATGAGAGGCCCTGATATTCTATCTGCTTCAATCCTGCTGTGCGGTGCTACAGCTGTTCAAATAGCCAGGCAGCCCGAGGTCGCCGTTCATTACCCCTATCAACACCAACACACACTGGGAACTTCCAACGAGAATGACACAAATTCCGCGCCCGATTTCCGCGGCTTCCAACTATGGAGCGAAACGGACAAACTAGACGCCAAAACGCTGTCAAAACTCAGCCCGGCATGCAGGGCATCCATGACACAGAGGATATACTGTCACAAGAAGACACGATCTCTGCAGCGCCTTGGGCGTCGGAGGTGGGGTCTGGGTCTCGGAAGCGACGCGCTCAGCGATCTTGTCTGTGCCAGCGGCTGTGGGGAGTCCATCGCCGCGTGGTTTAAGGGCGTCGAACGCGATTGCGCGACATTAGAGGAGAGGATCCTCTTTCCGGCCCAGCGTGGTGGGCAGTTGTGGGCTGCGTGGAACGAGACTTGTCTTAAGGATGAGGAAACAGAGAGATATTGTGGTGGTAAGTTCTTCTTTTCTCCGTCCGCCGCGAATGGTGTAGGCATGGTGCTCACCTACATTATATGGGCAGATGTTATGGACGACTTCACGACCTCTTTCATTTTCATCAATCAAATGCCGGTCGAAGAACTCTGCTCCTTCTGCAACGTGCAATGGCACCAAATGATGCAAACGTCCCCCTACTCTCTCTACGACAAAAACTACAAATCGAACGTCGAACGCATCAACAGCGCCTGCAACCTCACCCTCCCGACAGCTATCCCGAACCTCATGCTCTTCGAAAACCCATACGTAGAGTGGGACCGGTACTGCCCGGGGACCCATCTTTCGTATACCACTTCAGCAGGGGATACGTGCAACAGCATCGCGGCACAGTTCAATGTTTCCTCAGCAGCTGTCCGCTCGGTGAACTGGCCGCCTATCGACTGTTTCGCTATTCCCGAGAGTACGAGGCTGTGTATCCCGTTTGGGTGTAAAACTTATACCCTGAAGGATGGGGATACGTGCGACTCAATTGAGCGGGAGTTGGACTTGAAACCATGGTGGCGACTCTCCGCGATTCGGGAGTATAACCGTTGGGTGAATGAGGATTGTTCGAATCTGCATGAGGTTAGTGACACTCTTTACGGGCATGTTATCTGTGTTGGCCCGACCGGTAAGTCGATCCTGGACGCATAAAGTTTTGTTCTAGTTTGACTTGTAGTCAACATGAAGTGGCTGGCTAAACGGATAGTATCCAAAAGCAAGTTGGCCTTGTGCTACTTATTACGCAATGAAAGATGCAGTTTGATCCTAGTGGATGTTAACACATTTTAAGGCTACATTATCATGCTAATAATAGTGCTATTAGCACCAACCTTCCTTCTAATAATACTAAAACTTTTGCCGCTCATAACCCTCGCGCGGTTTATCTATTACTTCCAGGTTTATGACGGCATCCACGGGGCGCAAGTCCGAGACCTATTCGAAAAGGCCGTCAAGCTCGAAGTATCTCTTGCGGTAACTGAAGGGTTTGACTGCTGGTACTACAAAGTAGTTAAATCACCGTCCCGATATTTGGCTTCTATCTATTGAATCGGCGAAGGACGGTTACCGTAGTGACTTCTGGCCTTGAAAAGTTACTTGACTGTGAAGTTACGGACCAAATCAGAGAAAGGAAAGAACGGCATCTCAGATCATTTAGGTCATCCTGGACAAGCCGCCCTGCGAATTGGTTCAGATTCATACACCAAGACACTCAGTCCTACAGCTTGAACAGGTTCTCGCAATGCCTCGGTGTATATTACCGAAAGCACTTACACGCACAGATCGCAAAGTCCTCGCGGGAAGACTGTTTCCGAGGACCGATCAACCAAGCATTGGATATACTTAGCAATGGAGGGCCCACGAGCCGCATTGGTGCCCTCATCGAGCTCCTGAGCTGTCTTATTTGCGCAGGGGATTTGAAGAACGCCTCTGCAGCGGCGGCTGTCCTCTTTGGCCAGCCGTCCCGCTTGCCAAATAATGAATTCGCTTCCAGGCACGCTGAGCCGGTTGAATCCTGTACTAGTGTGGTCTTTTGCGATGGCCTCTGCTTGAACGTGGACAGCCGTTGCAATGTCTACAAACAGAAACACAAGGAGCTTTGCACTTCTGCACGGAATGTCCTGGCATCATCTTTTGCGAGAGTTGTTTCTCACTTTCAAAGAAGAGGAAATTGCCGTTCAGAAAGTGCAACGCTGAGCATGAGTTCGTGCAGTTCGGGCCGGTCCCAGAGGAGGCAAAGGGTATTGGGGGTAACGTGGCCGAAGACTCGGTTGAAATTCGGGAAGATTGGGTGGAAGCGCTAAGGGCGAAGTGGCCACGAGGCTCTGCCTATAAAGCTGTGGGTACTCTTACAAGGAAGCAATACAGGTCATATTACATTGCAGTGGATGAGTGGCCTGAGCAGTCAGTCTCGAATTGGGAGTGATGGTGACAAATCTACATTGCTTGAACCAGCGTTTGTGGCCAACTACAAGTACTGTATTTCTGAAGCCATATATAATCGAATAAGCTAATAGTTCATTGTCCACGCTCTGCTAATCTGGTACTTGCGTGATTAGGTTTAGGAACGGGGTGAAGTCCCAAAGGCTCTGCACCATCACGCACTTTTGGAGGTTGTCTCGGTCTAGTGTGGAGCGACCAGTAATGATCGGACCCTGCAGATCTCCTTATTTCCATCATTCCATTGGTGCAAAAACCAGATCCTTTAGGAAACGAACTACGAAGCGCAAGTCCCCTCCATACGCAAGTTTTCCAGATGGGAGCCATGACGTCGGCAAACTGTCTTTTGATCTAAATCTCCGTACCCCGCGTTAACATCTCCGCTTTGACAAAGGATTGATTTTGGCAGACCGGGTGATTCACGTCCCTGAAGTGACAATACATATCTACTATAGCTTATCATCTTTGCTAGGCTACGCCTCTGGTAGAGCGAGTCTCGGGGAGAATAGATGCCGACTGCAGCTATTCCTGCACTCACCATGACTTCCAAGCAAAGGCTCTGGAAGACTGCCAAGAAGGCAATATATTTCCATCTATCATTAATGATGGATAATCGGCCGGCAGGCTATTTTGCTATTCTCTATCAAGGTCATTGGTTTGTTAACAGCCTGTGTACCATAGCCAAGCCAGATGCCCATTACTGTTCTTGGAAGACAGCAGATGAAGGGTATATATTATGGGTCTTGTTACTTCATCGGACATTAGGCACAAGTATCGTTAGATCTCATAAGGTATTCAGTTTCAACAGTCCAAAATGTTTGGCCAATCTATTGTTCTTGCGGCCGTTTGTCAGCTTTTGACCCTGACAGCTGCCCTCCCTACAGAGTCTGATTCCCTTTCCCAGCGTCCCAGTATTGAGGTGACACCTCAAGGCGCTTTCAAGCCTTTTCCGTTCTCCCCTGCAAGGCACAAGACTTGCCATATCAAATCCCATGGAGATGGGAGTGATGACTCCAAGTACATCCTCCGTGCGTTTCGCAAATGCAGCCCGGGTGGTCGCGTTGTTTTCGACAAAGACAAGGTGTATACCATTGGCAAGGCGATGGATATCAGATTTCTGAAGCGGGTTGACATTGGTATGTATACCACTGTCTGAGGAACATGTGTATTTACATATACGTGGTAGATATCCAAGGTAAAATCGTCATGACCAATGACATCGATTATTGGCTGGCCAATTCCTTCAAGTACGCCTTCCAGGACAGCTCAAGCTTCATTCAAATTGGAGGCGCCGATATCAACATCTACGGCGGCGGGGAAATCGACGGCAACGGTCAGGCCTGGTGGGACGCCAGGATGAACAACAAGACGATCCAGCGTCCTATCCTGGTCACGTACATGGATTTCCATGGTGGATCTGTGTCCAACATCACCCTCCGCAACTCACCGAACTGGTTTCAATTGGTGTATAACTCGAGCAATATCGTCTTTGACAGCATGTATCTCAATGCTTCATCAAGCAATAGCAATCCGACAGCTAATTCAGGTGAGTTACCTTCCTGGTACGCGTTCTTCAGGGCTAACTCTGCTAGATGGATGGTACGTTTGACCTGGCGTGAAACCAGTCTGAATTGACTCTTATAACACAGGGATACGTATCGGTCTGATAACATCGTAATCCAAAACTCTCGCATTTTCAACTCGGACGGTGAGTCACTGTATCCGTTCGATGATGGTGATCTTTCTGACATGGTTAGACTGCGTATCATTCAAGCCGAACAGTACGAACATCCTCGTGCAGGTAATATCTCACAAGCGTACGTTACCAGACCAGAACTGATCATCTCTGGCAAGAATCTGTACTGCAATGGTTCCCATGGTATTTCCGTCGGTTCTCTTGGCCAATACGTCGGTCAGGTAGACATTGTGGAGAATATTCTGGTCTATAATACTTCCCTGAACAATGCCTCGGTAGGTGATCCGCCACTACCTTCCAGAGCGGGATGCAGAAGCTGACTCGTCAGGACGGCGCTCGTATCAAAATCTGGCCTGGAGCAATTGGCAACTCCACCAATACTGGCGGCGGCAGTGGCTGGGTAAGGAACGTAACCTACGATGGCATGCACAACTATAACAACGACTGGGCCATTGAAATGACTCAATGCTACTTTGCGCCTAATCAGACAGCTTGCAATGAGCACCCGGTATGTTCGGTCGCTGTACATCCAAACTCGGCTGATAGTCCTAGGCTTCGCTCATTATCGAGGACGTTCTGTTCAAGAATTTTGACGGCACTACCAGTAGAAAGAGGGCGCCTTATATTGCTACACTTGTCTGCTCTAGCCCAGATGTAGGTTTCCTTTTGGATGTTCCTCATAGTCCGCTTTGATTGACAAAAACAGGTATGCAAGAATATCCGCACTGAGAATATCAATGTTATCAGTCCATCCGGCACTGACGATGCTATTTGCACTAATGTAAGTCCTCAGGTTACCCGGCGTAGACTCTAAGGTACTGACAACCTGCAGATGGATCGTTCCCTTCTCGACCTCCGCTGTACCAAGGGTTGAGTATTATATATTTATCTTGGCGGAGTTTGATGCAGTTACGCCGTTCCTGCATATTCTGAAACAAAGCAGTAGTATGAAGTCTGATATGTATCAATTATTGCTGTCCCTCCCAACAATCACGCAATGCAATTAGTTATTTTTCTTGAGAGCTCTTGGCGGAGTCAGCCGCACACTTGTTCCTAATTGGCTGTCATAGGTAGTCATGGTAGAATAATGATCTGATAGGGTGTACGGCTCCAGGCTCCAGCGCATTCATCTGCCGCCCAGCAGAACAGCCAATGGTAACCACGAACCTACAAGCCCATTGAGGCTGGGGCTTATGTCGGTCAAACTCAGACTGATCCCCACAATGCACTGTTTGTTCCCCGGCGCCAGTTTCCCACTTTAGAAGACTGAATCAACGGCTTTTTAACTTAATCAGCCAGTATCAGGGTCCTAATCATGGTTTTTATTGCCTCCCATTCAAGCGCCTCAAATTAACCCGTATTGTTGATTGGCTGTGCGCGTTGTTGTCTCAGTGTCTGCCTGTCACGATGTAACGTAGGGCATGGATTACCCGCACTAACTTTGGTAGACCCACAACCGTGTTACGCCGCACAGCATCCATTCGAGTTTCGCGCGACGACAACTCGCTGCTAATACATGTTAGTTTATTGCTGATAACAGGGATTCGAGATCAAGTGGACAGGTGATTCTATCTAGGGACTACGTTGTCAGATTGATCCTCTGAGTCGTCGGAGGAACCGAGGACAGATCCTATCTCCCCAGGCCAAAGGGAAAAGAAACAAACTTTTAAAATGACAGAAAATTTTATCTAATGACATGGCAGACACGTCATTTTGACATGATTCCAATCCCACCCGTATCTCTACGATCTGCGTCCAGTCACAGACCTAGGTCGGGTTGGTTCTTTTTAGATTAGATTTTTTTTCCCTTGTACCTTTTCTGCTTTTCAGACTCGTCTTGATTATTATCACAGGCCCAGACACACTTTCCTGCCAAGCCACAAACACGAAAAGGCACTAATGCCTGCCCGATAGATCATCTCACAAGTGTATTATATAGAAGGGACTGGTCCCTGACATCGGTCGCGTCCAGATCTTACACTTTCCTGTTTCCCTCCTGAATCGGTGTACCTTTTACATGCATTCCCATGTACCTCAATAATGCAAACCGCGTCCTGACTGCGGCTTTTCGCGGGACATCCTCCTTTGCGGATCGCATGTCCGAGTACTGGCAATCATGGCCTAAGAAGAGACAAAAGCATGCTTTTGTGGTCGTCGTGACTGTGGTTTTGTTTTGTCTTGGTCTGAAACTAGGATCTGACCTGTTCTATGCCCATTACTGGGATCGGACGACAATATCCAGCTTTCCAAACACGCCCTACGTTGATTACTGGGAGTGGGAGACAACGACCCGCTTCTCGAATGCGCACAGCGCCAATGAAACCCAAGAGAACAGTGGTGGCGAGGACCTTTGCGACTCCTTCCCATCATACCACCTCTCGCGCGTTCAAGTCGTTCTCAAAATCGGCAGTACAGAGCCTCCTAATCGTGTTGATACCCATCTGGCCACTGTTACCCGCTGCATAACTAACCTCATTGTCGTTTCTGACCACGAGTCGGAATTCAACGGTCATCACGTTCACGATATTCTCGCAACTCTGCCAGAGAGCTTTTGGGGGAATAGCCCTGACTTTCAGGCGTATAGCGCGCTCCAGCGCGGCGAATACAAGAAGGTGGGGGGTTCTCAAGGTTGGACACTTGACAAATACAAGTTCTTGCCCATGGTCGAACGCGCTTATGAAATGAATCCCACTGCTCAGTGGTTTGTTTTCATCGAGTCCGATACATACGTCGTGTGGGACAATGTGTTTCGTCTTCTTGACCAGTTCGACCCGTCTGTTCCTTTATACTTTGGCTCCCCGACTCCGGGAAGGGACCACTCTTTCTTCGCCTATGGGGGTGCTGGGTTTGTGCTGTCCACTGCCGCGGTCCAAAGGCTGGTGACTCGTATGGGGGAAACCAATGGCGTGTACAGTCAGCCTTCGTTGAGTCAGCGTTATAAGTGGTTGATCAATAAGGATTGTTGCGGTGATTCCATACTGGGATGGGCACTCTACCAAAGTGGAGTGAAGCTGTCTGGGATGTGGCCGATGTTCAATCCACATCCTGTGCATGGGGTTCCGTTTAATGAACACCATTGGTGTCAGCCAGTGATTAGCATGCATAAATTATCGTTGGAAGATATGGCGGGGCTGGCGCGATGGGAGAATCAACGGGACCGAAAGGTATGTCTTTCTTCCTTGCCTTCGCTGGTATGTCACCAACAACTCCTAACGTTGACACTTTTTAGCTTCCATTGCTATATGCCGACCTCTTCGAGTACACAAAACTTGGCACACTCGACTATAAAACGAACTGGGACAATGGTGACTGGGGCGGATGGCAAGAACCGCCCGAATCACCCGGCCATAAGTCTGTTGAAGCCTGTGCGGAAGCATGCCATGAGCATCCCCGGTGTTTCTCATATACCTATGTCCATTCTGGTCGCTGTGTTTTCGTTCCATCGATGCGACTAGGCGCGCAAAAACCCGCCACAAAAGACACCACCCTATCAGCCGGGTGGGACCTGGAGAAAATCAAGCAGTTCCGGGATACCCACAAATGCCAGCGACCTCAGTGGGTGAAGCCAAGTACGGAACGCATTTTTTGACGAATATATATGACTACCTACCCTTGCTACCTATAGACCCTTCCCATGTCGGCAATCTCTTCATATTTTTTGACATCGGACGACCTCGATCTACAGACCCGATGTCTACCCCTGATGAATAGCGTTATTTGGCAATGATCACGACCACAAATTTGTCTCAATGCTTAACAGATGGTTGGATAAATGGTTGCGATATACGGGAGAATGCTTAAGGCATTCATCTATTTTATGTATATTAGAAGGAGCTGATGTATTGATGACGCAGCGCTTGCCTCGTCCTAGTTCTGAAATTGCAAAAAAAATGTTATAATTTACCAACTGTAACTTGTTGTGCTATATCTTCTCACAACAGACAGCGCAGACATATTTTGATCACTGTACCTTGCTGATCGCCCATCTCGCCTATATAAAGATGATTTTCGAATATCCGGGTTGTAGGCATGGCTTGGGACCATCATTTCCATGGCTTGAGGATGTGTAATCCCAACACAGTGTCATCTCCCTTCCTGATAGTTGACGACTTGCAGGCCGGTTAAACATCGTGATCTATTTGAGACATTGCTGTACCCACTACCCAGGTTACTTGAAGATCGTTAATGACTATCATCAATCAACCTGATTTGAGGTGTTATGCGGGGTACTCCACCGGGAATACATGCTCATTGGAGGAATAATTCCAAGACCTAAATTATCCGGGGATGAAGCCTAAGAAAGCTTGGGGAATCCTAGGAGGATCTATAGATCATTCCTTCGACTCCACAAAGGATAGCTTCAATTCGACTTTATCCGCAATTTCCCACGTCTTTTTATGAAGGGACAGTTTCCCACCGAGATGATTGTGCAATTGTTTCGTTGTCAAGACAATAGACAAAATGAGGCCTTCTTCCGCTCTTCTTGCCCTGGGCCTCCTCCCTGAAGCTCTTGGCAAGGGTACTCGACCAGCAGAAACATACAAATCCTGCCAAAGGATCACCCCTGATCCTCTTCAGGGCTGTCCCCATGGCACTCTGTTTGTCAGCCAGACCGACCATCGAGCTCATTTCAAATCTATCCAGGCGGCCATCCACTCGCTGCCCAATGATATCTCTTCCCATGTCATCCTTATCGGCGCTGGAACCTATGTGGAGCAGCTCAACGTGACACGCTTTGGACCTCTCACGCTCCTAGGCCAGTCGAATCGCCCCTGGCAGCGGGAAAGCTATGGTGATATCGATACCAACACCACCATCCACAACGATGTTCAAATCTACTGGAATGCAGCCAACCACAATGCCGCATTCCCGGACAATGTCTACACCGGCGTTCTGACTGTCGGTCCTACCTATAACGCGACCATTACCGGCGCAGGCCCAACAGGATATCCGGTGCCTGCCGACACCCCTTTTGGATGCTCCGACTTCCGCGCGTACAACATCGATTTTCGCAACGAGTACGTTCCATATTCATATGGACCTGCCCACGCTGTTGGCTTGGGTTATGCAAACGCAGGTTTCTACTCTTGCGGTCTCTACAGCTACCAGGATACTGTATGTTGTTGAAGGACCTTGACAGATCACCGCTGACGAATACAGTTGTACGTTGGCAAACTCGCCAATGCTTATTTCTACGACAACGTGATTGCGGGCCAGACCGACTTTCTCTACGGCTTCGGCACGGCATTCATCGAAAAGACGACTCTCTCCCTGCGCGGGTGTGGCGGTGGCATTACAGCCTGGAAGGGCACCAACACCACTTTTGAGAACAAGTACGGTGTCTACATTGCCGATTCCCAGGTCATCGCAGCCAATACATCCATCGGAAATGACATCAAGGGACGGTGCTCGCTGGGACGCCCCTGGAATAACCTCCACCGATCGATCTTCATGAACACATACTTCGATTCCAGCATTCTCCCTGCGGGATACACGGTATGGAAGGGAGCACCGAACAACAACTTCATCAATGAGACCTTGATGGCGGTGTATGGTGTCTACGGGCCTGGATACAATCAGGCCGCGGAGAAGAATGGCAATGTCACCCGGATTTTGGACAGAAAGGGAGTGGCGCCGTATGCTCGTCCCATTGATGTGTTCATGACCCCGGACGGTCATCAGCCCAATATTGCCTGGTTGGATCCGATCGCGGCGAGCACTGGAAGGCCTTAAGACCCGTAGCTGGATGGCACGATGGTAATCAGCGACACATGACAATCCCTATTACAGTTTTCTGGGTTGGACTAGGTAGATTAGCTGAAGCGCAGAGTTAGCTTTGTCATTGCAGCGATAGCCTCAGTGTCCCTCAATGTACCCTTCTTCTTACGTATCTGAGCTAATTTATCCTTTGACATGGGTCGAACAATGTCCGTGTCGCCCACGATGACATGGTCGCTCCGACTTGCATCCGTCTTGTCTCCGAGTAGAGGCCGACTTGCTTCGCCGTAGCCAATGAGAAAGGAGGAAAGCTCGTTTGCCTGTGCATCTGGCGGACCCCCACATGGAAATGTGTGGGGTAAAACAAAATTCCCCAGATCATGCTGCAAGGGTCCTGACTATTCTGGCGCTCGAGAATAAGAGGGAACTTACGATATGCAGATACGCTGAATATAAATAGTGCCATATGTCCGGGATCTCATGCATGTCCTCCACAGCCAGGATCGTCTAGCACGCACTCGAGTGTGCTTTGCTAGCCGTCTTGCTAAGAATCCAATCGCGACATGACCATGTCCAACAATCCAAGCGCTATGGAGGGAGAAAAGCCTCGACCTCTCGCGGAGGGCAAGAAGGCCGCCCGCAAAGAACAGTCTATGACACTTTGGCAAGCGGTACGCTTGTATCCCAAGGCCGTGGGCTGGTCCGTCCTCCTCTCGTCGACATTGATCATGGAAGGATACGATTTGGCCCTGCTCGGCTCCATGTATGCCTCTCCAGCATTCAATAAGAAATACGGGTTTCAGTCTGCGTCCGGCAAATGGACGGTTCCGGCCTCGTGGCAATCGGCACTCTCCAACGGGGCCCGAGTGGGCGAGGTCATCGGGTTGCTCATCAACGGTCTGATTTCGGAACGACTGGGATACCGCTGGACAATGGTTTCTGCGTTGGCGGCAATGAACGCCATCATCTTTCTCTTCTTCTTCGCTGTCGATATCAAAATGCTGCTCGCTGCAGAGATCCTGGCCGGTATTCCCTGGGGCATCTTCCAGACTTTGCCTGCCGCATATGCCTCTGAAGTGTGCCCGGTGGTCCTCCGTCCGTACTTGACGACCTTTATCAACATGTGTTGGGTGATTGGCCAGTTCGTGGCGGTGGGCGTGAATCGCGGATCCATACAGAGAACCGACCAGTGGGCGTACCGCATTCCCTTTGCAGTGCAGTGGGCGTGGCCGCTCCCGATCCTCATCGGAATCCTCTTCGCACCCGAGTCACCCTGGTGGCATGTCCGACGGGGTAATCTCCAGGGTGCTAAACGGGCCCTGCAGCGGCTTACTTCATCTAACGATCCGAACTTCGACCCGGACGAGACCATCGCCATGATCCAGCATACAAACGAGCTAGAAAAGGCGCTTGCGAGCGGCACAAAATACACCGATTGTTTCAAGGGGACGAACCTGCGCCGCACAGAAGTTGTCTGCGTAGTTTGGCTGGTCCAGACACTGTGCGGGCAGAACCTCATGGGTTACTTTGCGTACTTTTGTGTCCAGGCTGGCCTCCCGACGGTGCATTCCTTCGATCTCTCATTGGCACAGTATGCCCTCGGCTTCATTGGGACAGCAGGATCGTGGTTCCTAATGACTTACACCGGTCGTCGCACACTGCATGTCTGTGGTCTGGCAAGCTTATTCACTCTGCTCATCATCACAGGTAGTCTTTCCTTTGCGCCGGGAGATGATAGTGCAGCCAAGTGGGCGATTGGTGCGATGTTGATCATCTTCACTTTCTGCTACGACTTTACTATCGGACCGGTGACGTATTCACTGGTGTCAGAACTGTCGTCCACCCGACTCAAGGCCAAGACGATCGTGCTGGCGAGAGTCGGATACAACGTCAGTAACATTGTGGTCAATGTGCTCACCAACTATCAGCTCAACTCAACGGCCTGGAACTGGGGTGCCCGCAGTGCATATTTTTGGGCGGGAACATGCCTTGTCTGCTTCGTCTGGTCGTATTTCCGCCTGCCGGAGCCCAAGGGAAGGACTTATGAGGAACTGGATCTGCTGTTCGAGCAAGGAGTGTCGGCGCGCAAGTTCAGAGAGACGGTGGTTGATCCATACGAGGGCGAGGAGGACCACGTGGAGGTGCGAGAGGAGCACCACAAGGACTAATGAGATTATATAATATATGTCCGTGATCTATTATCTTTGAAGTCAAAAGTAATCAATGTCTAGAACACTTTTGTGTGGCCTGATGTATCCCTGCATAGTGTTGCATTAGGTCTTACGCTGGCCCCACTGGTCCCTTGCCTTGTTATTTAATCCCGCTCATCCATCCTCAACTCTCCTGCATCCCATCCTCTATCTACCGGACTGATCATCATCATGGCCTCTGGACTCATCTTCGATCCCCTGCAGCTACTCCGCGTCGCGCCATTAGCCACCAGCACAGGCAGCCTCGTGCATGCCCTGGTTGAGCTGTTCACCAACTCGGCCTTCCTCCAACCATCTATCCGGAAATCCTCCGACGCAGTCCTGCCGAAATGGTACACGTACGTTTTCAATCGCCAGATCGTTTCCGTCCTTGCGCTTAACCTAGCCACCATCTCCACCGGTCTATCAAATATTCTACTGAGTCGGTCTCGCAGTGCCCTGCCCCTGTCGCGCACAACGTTCTACTGGGCCGGCGTTGCGGGTGCGGTGGCGCATCTCTTCTTCGTGCCGTTTGTGGCGCCTCGGATTCAGCGTATAGTCGAGAACAGCAATGAGAATGGAGCAACAGTGGAGATGGAAGAGTGGCTGGGATTTCATCGCATTAGGATGTTAGTTGCCGATTTGCCGGCATGGTTGGCATTTGCGGGAGCCGTCATGGTGGTATAAGCATCTATACAATGGAATATGTACAGTTTTGCACGATATCCACAGAGACCAGCCGTAAATTGATTGCAAGTCCAGTCACTGTAGATCTCACACTATCGTTAGGAACTGAGGTCTCTTTTCATTCCCTTTATATCGTTTAATCTTGGCGTGGGATGACTCGGAACACCCCCACCTTTTCTCCGTTTTTCGATCCTCCCCGCAATTTCTCTTCATGCAACTAGCAATCAGACCTAAAGATGCCCCGCGACACGCAGATGGTCAAGCAAGCCTGCGATGCCTGTCGACGTCGTAAAGTCAAATGTAACGCCCAGAGACCCTGCAGCCAGTGTCGATCGGCCGGGCTAAGCTGTCGAACATCGCTGGTGCGACAGAAGAAAGGACGGCAAGGCCAGTCGGCCAACGTTCTTTCTGAATTGCGCACTCAGAATGCTCAAGACCATGAGCCATCTAACCCTAAAATTGCAAGTCCAACGGTGGCTACTCCTCTTGTGAATCCAACTAGCGGACGATGTCGATTTGTGCGCAAGGAAAATGTCCTTCCTCGGGAGCTGATCCGGGATTGCTCCGAGTACTTCTTCGCGCGCATGCAAGGTACTGTTCCCATTTTACAGGCAGAAACCTTCCGGAGATATGTCGAGCAGATGGATCATCGTATCCATGCGTATTGCTTGGTGGTTTCCTTTTGTGCCTTTGTCATGATGCAGACGGGGTATTCCTCCTCGCAAGCTGCAGGCTCAAGATGGACCCAGAGTATGGACACCGGGCGCGAATTGCTCGATGAAGCGACAGAAGCGCGAAGGCATCTTGATCCGCTCACTGTTCCTGTCCGGCAGAGCATCACCATTGCGTTTCTGCTGTACGGCTGTCATATCGCCTTGGGGAATCAGCGCCACGCCTACTATTTCCTACGGGAAGCCACCACCTTGTACACGGCTGGCATGTTGGATACTCAAGCAGGCGCATTAGACGGCGATGAAGACAATTCATCTTCTGGCAAGCTCTTTTGGCTCCTTTTGATTTCCGAACGGTACTTCGCTCCATACTCATGTAGAAGAATAGTCCTAATTCAACCAGAGCCCACGCCATTCGCAGACATCGGCCCGTCACCCTACAGGTCACCGCCAACAGTCCAACTCTGGAAGATCATTCACCTGAAGACACATCCACTATTGGATTCCGCTGTCTGGCCGACCTCTATCGCCCATTTGACGAGTCGTTCCTTGGACTCTGGAACGGTACGCATGCCACATGCTCCCGCGAGTCGCTCATTCTTCTCGACAAACATATTTGTGATGCAGTTCCTCCCGATCTCGAACTTCCGGATATCTCAATGGCGGACCTCCGTGTCTCGCAGCAGTGGCTGCGAACCATGATCTGGCAATTATCCACCACGGCAGGCTTTCTGTCCAGCAAAGCCAGCCATCCGTGCATGGAATTTCGGTATCCGCTACAAATTGCCAGAGACCTGTCTTTGGCGACGTGGAAGCTGTCACCGCAGAGTATGGAAACGCATGGGATTGGACTGGTTGGTTAACCTTTCCCATCTGCACAGAACAATGCTGATAGCGTGACAGATTGAGAAAATCTTCGAAGTGGCCTGCACCCTCACCGATGTGATGGCTTGTCTATCGACAGCGGGACTGCGCTCGCCCGGGTTCAACTTGGGCCCGCAGGATTACTTGAAGCATTTCTTCTCGCTTGTGCACACTCTCCCCGGTGGCCGACAACGGTTTCTGCCATTGCTGTTAACAAAGGTGGGACAGACATTGCCGTCCATGCTGCAACCCATCACACAGCACCTGAATCTTCCAGCAGCGACCGTGGAGACTTCTGTGCCGGCCGAAAAGGCTGACTCGGAGGCCTTTGGCGACATGTGGCCGGATGACCAATCGTACAGCGACTTCAACTACGCTGAGATGAGTCGGATTGGAGACAAGACGCCGGAAATAGATGAAGCGTTTATGCAGTATCTGCAATCGAGTCCTTGATATTCTATACCGACATCTCTCGTAACATCAAGCGACAAACAAAGCTATAAAGGAACAGATATAAGAGAGACAACCAAGCCAGCAAAAAGCAACTTCACATCCATCTGGATATTAATCGCTATACTGTCATGGCTGCTCTCTCTCCCCGTCGTCAAAGGCACTGCAGTTGGCATATTCACCGCCGTGGTAGCCGGTGACGGCACCGGAGTCGCGGCGGGCACCGCATCCTTGCCTGTGCCGATTTCGAGGATGGCATCCTCCCCGGGATTGAAGTTTGTATTGGCCATCGAGATCTCGCGATTGGCTAAATCAAAGACGACATACGTGCTACGGAGAAAAGTATCGCCCAATACGGGGATTCCACCGGTAGTTGTATAGATACCGAACACGCACAGCACAGTGTCTCCGTCCATGTCGATCCCGTTCAAAACGAGCTCGTGGATACTGACATCGATCCGGATACCGGAGAAGTCGAACGTCAGAGTGATGTCTTTGTTTTTCATGGAGCACGGGAGAACCGGAACATCGTACTCGGCGTTGTGTGTGACTCCAAGATCAGAGTAGATCTTTGTGGTGAGCGATAGGGGTAGGTGAGTCACGCTTGCTCCTGAGTCGATGGTGACAAGAAGAGGAAACTCGGTGTCTGGATATTTGGTGGTTGTGTTTGACGCGCGCTGTTGCAAAGAAAGCCCGGTCAATATGATTCGGATGAATGTGTACGCGCCGCTAGTGGGCTGAAGGGGAATTGTCTGCAGCTGCCCCAGATACTTTGCCGTGTTCGCGCCTCCGAAGAGGATCGTGCCGCTGTGGGAGGTTACATCCTCCATCCAGAGGCTGTACGTAGCCGACTTGATGTGGCCAGCTTGCACCAGGGCTTGAGGAAAGTTGGGATACTCAGTGCGAGTAACTTCAAGCGCAGGAAATCCAAGACCCAGTGTTCCTCCTGCTTACAGTCAGTGCATGTTGATTAGGCATGTATGGAGAACCGTACGATTTGATGTGCTGTCCTCTGCTATGCCAAACTGGAATTGACTCAACATCGCTCCACCTAACTGCATTGTATCTTTGACATAGTCCCCCGTCGCCTTCGTGCCATCCTTATATGTGATGTTGAACTCGTGGTTGAGGAACATGTAGGTTTGTGATGAGCTATTGTCATAGACCCCATATCTTTCGCAGTTATTCGCCATGTTCTGGCAAAAGTTTGACGAGGGGATATTGAACCAGGTGTCGCTGCTTCCAGTGTCTAATACCACAGCGATCTCTTGCTCTGAGGTCCCAACAGTGACATTGACTGTATATAGCGTCATGGCATCCTGTGACGTTAATTTCGTTAATTCAGGTGTCAAAGTGGATTCAAAGGGACATACCTCATTCAGTATTCCTTCAGATAGTATCGAGTCGCGCCTCGACACAGCGCGATGTATTTCGAGAATGTCATTGTTCCGTTGTCGGTTGAATCGAAGCTCAACAACAGCCGGACTATCTCCCTTGCCAAGAGCAATGGCATTACTTGTCTCAATGGCCAAAGAGAGCAAGGACAATATTCCCTTTCTCATGATGTTTATTCTCTAGCTATAAGCATAGTGCATTGGCATAGGCCACTACATATCGCATAGACGACTGAAATCTATGTTTGCAGCGCAGCGTCCAAAAGTGTCAAGCAATCAGGGGATTTTTCAGCCTCGCCAGGCAGAACTAGTATCAATGTTACATTGTGCTCATAGTCGATTACGATGGCAAGGCTAGAGTGGGGACCAATATGTATGCTTGATCTCATTGGGAATTAGATGCGGCGCAGTAATAAAATGACACTAAGCGACATGACACTAACGCTTGCCCCTGGTCGATAGTGGACCATGGGGCCACGAGTCAGAAATCCCACGAGTCAGTCGTCAAGTCTCGTTGGGGCGTGATATTCATAAGCAGTCGCCTTCAGTGGCATGAGGCTGTTCTTCCAGACACATGGGCTGCACACCTACGATGGTCAAAGAAAGATACTAACTCAAGTAGCATAAGTAGCAGCCAAGGAGAAGATATTTTACAGGTCTCAGGTATCCAATCCAAAAGGCACTGATAGACGTTCAAACGCGAGAGTCTATCCAATATCCCTATATGTTCCTCGGGAATTCATCGGCGGCAGTCTGAATTCGGCTTTGACCGTCGATACATCGTCCGAAGCCGATCCTACTCGCAATTGCTGCCGATGATACCGACAAGGTGCAAACCCTGAACGCCACCGAGAGTGTTAAATTCTTTACACTGGCCGATCGTGGCCTTTCCACCTCGGGAATTGAGAAGATGTTCAGCACAGAGAGCTTCTTCTCCCTGCCGGATGAGATTGAAGCTACGGTCCCCTGGAGCGCAAACAACGCCGGATTGGAAGAAGACATGAGACCAGTCCTTCAACACGCAGATCAGATACCAAGGCGTCGCATCAGCTGCAGTTCGGCGAGAACATGGCCAACCGATGGATCAGCGACGAGCATCTCCCAGGGCTGTAGACCAAGTTGTTGGCGTTTGTACACCGCGCCAATAGGTATCGGAGCAGTTGATGCGCTGCTTTGCTCAAGAACTGGGATTTGAGGAAACTTTCTTCATCAAGTGTCATGATAACTCCCGGCCGGTTGACATACCACCATGCGTCTGCTGCATTCCTTTGCTCTAGAAAGAAGGATAAAGTGGGCTAGAAATCTATCCGGGTCCAGAAGTGGTCACCACAGTTGGAATCGGTGATGCATGGATCCAAGTCGACGAGCACCCGGGGGACATTGTCTGCATCATGGGCGACCTATTAATGTCCTATAAGACGACGGATTCAAATCGACATTTCAACGAGTGAAAGGCGTCCTCGGAAAAGAGTGATTACTTTAGAAATCCGTATATCATTACGTATTTCAACCAACCCTGCAAGGACTCGTCGATTCTGGGTCCTTTAAAGACGTACCCAACGGTGACTGAAAGGGGTTCACTACCAATGGGATGAGGAGGACTTTACTAAATTACAGGAGAAGCTAAAAGGCATGGAGGTAGCTACAGGATCTCAGTTTAACCGTACTCTCCCCGTGAAATAACACAACTATACGCCTTAAAGCTATAAAAGCGGCGTCTGACCGGCAAAGGGCCCTCAAACTAAGGTTGGCGAAGACCAGTATGGTAGTTATCAGTCTGCCTTTTTACAGGGCGTACCCTTACCCTCTAAGCTTCTATCATATGTCACATACTTCCTATAAGACATGCCCTTTCGGACTTTGTTGTAGTATTTCCGGGGTTAACAGTAGTTATGCAGAGGTAGTATATGCATATTCATCTGCCTAAAGCTCTTGCACCGCTACCAACCATCCCTGCTAATCAGAGGGGTATTCCATACACCCTCCTATATCATATTACTTCATCGCACGTCTTATTAGACAGCCGTGCAGCGAACTGAAGTGCGTGGCCACCAGCCACAATGACGTCATTCCAGCCCTATCTATAGCGAAGAGCCACGGAGGACAGGGCGTCCACTGAGCTATTGATCCTTACATGTCTATAATTCTAGTATGCTAATTAAGCCCCGAGAGGCTAATATAGCTGCGGGGCCGACGTAGTGATGATCCAAATGACGTGCGGGCGTTAGCCCAAGGGCTGTCATATTACCTGCTCGAAGATGTAGATCCCTTGGCATACGTTGCGTATCACCTATGATGATGTCTCCAAAAGGATAGAAGATGTTATATAAACTACATCAATCTGGAGCTAAACATCACCATTCACTATTAGCCATCTGAAGCTGTGCCATCTGATCCAAATACTTACTCAAACCATTCCATCGAAGATCTACCAGAAGTACAACCAACCACTCTCACAATGTTCCGCCGTCACCACCGTCCCGCCACGACCACCACTCGTACCTCCAAACCCAGTCTGTTGACTCGTCTTCGTGGTCCCAATGCTCGTACTCGGACAGTCAAAACGAAGACGACCACGACGCGCCATAACGGCGCTTATGGTCGCACCAGGGCCACTGCTCCCGTACATCACCACCGTCGCAAGGTCACCCTCGGAGACAAGGTGTCGGGAGCTATGCTGAGATTAAAAGGCGCTTTGACACATCGACCGGCTGTAAAGGTATAATTTTGCTGTTGATCGCGTAAAAGGATAAGCTGACTGGTCTTATAGGCCGCTGGCACTCGCCGCATGCACGGCACTGATGGACGTGGAAGCCATCACCGTCGTGCTTATTATTAAGGACTTTGCATATGAGTTATGATGAGATACCCGAGTTATGATATTCACCTGTACTATAGTGTATTTGTATCAAATTAATGTTGTTCGTTTAATCTCACACAAGTACTTTCGCTAGTGACCTCCCCGTAAAATTGCAGGTGATGCGAATATGACAGTGGTGGACGGCGACAATTTGTGGAGGACGCTGTTGACAAATGGCGGGCTGGAGAAGGTGGAGAAGGAGTATACATATTGCAGAAACTATCAAGGGGATAAGAGTAAGGTGTAACGCGGACAGAGAAGAGCTTAGTATCAAGGGGTAGCTGAGAAAGGGATGGAGGAATGTCTCGGCAGGAGAGACATATATATGAGCGAACCCCGTTCTTCAGCATGTCGGTCAGATTATCTGAAGGATGCTCCATTAAACGATCAATCATCATCAGATTTATCAAATATCAGCATCTAGTATCTACCTTAGTATGAGAGATTATCGCGTTGTTTAACCCGATTTGGTAATTCATTGGCGCTGGATATCAACTCCGCTAGGGCGAAAATAACAGCCTGGCCACATTATAAAACTCAACTTCAATTCCAGCAGGATTCTGGTTCAGTCGACCTTTAATCTCATCAAAGATCAACATGTCATGCAATGACTGCCATTCCTGCGAGAAACCCTCACAGTCCGACTCTACAGACAAGGGTCAATCTGCCCGTGCCCTTCAATGGATGTCGGCGGTTGTCCCTGAAGGATCAGCGCTGCTGTCCTGTTCGTGCTGCTGGTTACCTGTCCGTCCGACACATAGGTATAAATTGTTTGTGTGCACTCAACTAACTGTTATACAGACAGTTTTAGACTTTGTCTTTGCGGGTTCAGTGGCCGCAGCAGGCATTCAAAAACTTCGTCCTCTCTTCTTGGCTGTCTCCGTCTTGACCCTGGCGTGGAGCATCAGTCAACAAGGCCTCAACAAGAGCAACCTGCGACGAGCAATTATTTGTGCATGTCTACTAGCTTGGTCGCAGTATAGCGAACAGGCACAGTCTACAAAGGGACATCATAGCTGTCATTGATTAGAGTAATGATTGTGGGTGACTTGGTGACTCAAATACAGGAGATATGCTGATTGTCCACTAGGTAATAATACTCCATTGTGTACCAACATTATGCTTAACACAGCACTATGTGACTTAAGATAAAAAATTGAGATTCCCTTGTCAACGCCGTAGTGACCAATCTTCAGCTACTGCAACAATCTCCGCTGCGTGTCTGGTAATTTCTCCCCGTGAATCCATCTTATTTCCTCCCGATTTTCCCCGTCCCACCATCCACGCGCCCCATGTACGTACATCTTTCGCCTTTTTTCGATCAACGGCCACATAGCCATCCAGCGTCTGCCTGCCTGAGTATCGTTGTCTTGCTGCTGTACCTGGAAAGGAGTCCCCAGGTCTCTCCACTTTTCGAGACGCTGGCTGTCCCACATGACGTAGCCAAACCGCCGGAGCTCACGATGCTCCTTGTCGCAAATGAATTGATAGCACCGAGCATCGTTGTGGGCCCATTGCCATGCCTGCTGAGGGCCAGAGTCGCTGTCGTGTGCAAACGGCTTTCTCACAACCTCGTCAATTTGCTCAGGTGTGAGATCTCTGTACAACATAGCTCCAAGGGGCCCGACAGCGAACCTCTGCAAGAATTCAAGCTCATTGACTAGGAGCCAGTTCGAGCAGCGGGAGTCCCGAACTGAAATAAGCCCGATGCGGCTGTGGTGGTTGGCTCTTATGACAAATCGATGAAGAGCCGTCAATCCTTTAAGCAGCTGGCCAAACAGTTAGTGATATGTCAGAATGTGGAGCTGACAGCTTACTTACAAATCCTCTCTTGTGTTGGCTTCCCATGACAGCCTCCCATGTCTCGTTGTCTGAGAAGTAGACCGTATAATAACCCAGCTCGACGTCGTGTGCTGCGATGTTGTTAAAGGCTAGATGTGACGCAGAGAGTCAGCGGGACAGAACCGAGATGGACAAAGTGTAGAGAAGTAGGAGAGAAGGATATACCTGGTGAGATCTTCCAGTACAAGTACTCATTCACAGCGCCAATTTGCTCCATCTCCCAGGGCGCGTGCTTGCCGAAGAATATTTCATACTTTTCCCGATGCTGGAATTCAGAGGTTGATGGACGTGCATATTTGATGCCGCCAGTAATCCAGCGCTCTTCTCGGTTTCGAAAGCAGAAGAGATGGTTGATCGTCTCCTGTAGGTAGAATGCCCGAGCGACACGGCACCACTCAGTCTCGGAGGGTGCGTGGACTGGAAAGTTTAAGGGTGCTACGAGACCCAGGGCATTGTCGATGTAGTC